GACGGACTATGGAAATCGATTATAATAGACTTCGTGACAGGATTTCCGGTATCTAAAGATCCAGTAACAGGAACCGCCTACGATAGTATATTCGTGATCGTCGACCGATTCACGAAATACACTCTTTATATTCTATATATCAAAAACACCATAGCAGAAGAACTAGTAAGTATCTTTATCGACCGCCTAATCAGGGATCACGGCGCACCGAACGAAATTATCACGGACAGAGATAAGCTCTTTACCAGTAACTTCTGGAAAGCAGTCATAAGCTAGCTAGGAACGAAACATAAGTATTCGACAGCGTTTCACCCTATAACGGACGGATAAACCGAAATTATAAACTAAGTCCTAGAATAGTACCTACGATACTACGTAGGGCACGAATAAGATAATTAGGTGTAATACCTGCTACTTATATAGTTTGCATATAACAGCTCGTTGAATGAGTTAATAAAGAAAACACCGTTCGAAGCAAATTACGGATACACCCCGATAGTATTTAGAAAACCTTTGGAAGGACCAGACGCACTAAGAGCGATAAGAACAGTTAAAAGCATGAAAAAATTACACGAAGAACTACGAACCGACCTGGAGATAGTCAGGACACGAATAAGCAGATATACGAATTAATCGAGGATTAAGGGACTAACCCTTTTAAGGGGGGATCGCGTCTACCTTATTCGTAAAAACATTAAAATACAGCGACTAAACGATAAATTAGATTTTAAAAAATTAGGACCGTTTAAAATCCTAGAGAAAAAATCAGATACGAACTATATTCTATCACTACCTCCGATAATAAGGATACATAATAATTTCTATATCTTACTACTTAAACCAGCACTAAAAAACGCAAAAACAATATAAGATATAATCGTGGTCGATACTAGCGACGTGTATAAAGCAGAATAAATCCTCGATTATCGAGAGACGCTAGACGGCACCGAATATTTCATAAAATAGAAAAATTACGACCACGGCGATAATACCTAGGAACCTAAAGAAAACCTGATCAATTACAAGCAACTTATAAAGTAATACCGATAGAGCACTATCAGGACCTAAGGCTAGATACTCCTGCACCTTACACCACGCCAAACTCCGTAAGCACCGAAGGAGACAAAACCATATCCGGGTATACGGTATCCTAGTTATCTATGAAACCGTTAGGAAGGTGCTCGAAGGACGAAGAAGAGGGACGACCGCTAGAGGACCGCTCACGCTCCCGATCAGCCTCTTCCTTCTCCACACGCTCCAGTTCCTCCACACTATCGATACCTCGGGAAACCGCCCGCATCATCTTTTCAAACCATAACTTTTTCTGTCTTCTTAAACGTTAGACCTTCGCCATCGACTACGCGAGCTCATCCTCGGCGGCTTCGAGTTCCGCCTCCACCTTCGAATAATTATCCCCGATTTTGCGAAGTTATTAAGGGGTTAGCCCCTTAGCGTCGTAACGGGGCTGATTACTTTTGACGCAGCTAAGGTAGCGGGAGGAGTCGGACGAAGTCGCGCACGATAATTTCTTTTCGGAGCAGAAAGAATAAGGACGATCCATGGCGGAAGGGTTCTGGAGGAGAAGTTACAAAAGAACGTCACGCCTTTCGGTTTTTGGGTAACGCGAGGAAGATTTATTAACACGGCCTAACATAGTGGAAGGATAGTTAGCAGAAAAGAAAAACGAGGAATAGGCCGAAGAGCGGGGAACACGTACTTATAGATGCTAGGATAGCAACCTAGAAGGAGGGAGGTAATGTTACGGCCAATAAGACAAGGCCCGGGCCGAGGCCACTACGGGACCCTGGGTCTTAAGTATGGATATCACTATAGCACGAAGGGCAAGCTGAGTCAGGAGGAACGCGGGTCACGTGTGCGGACACGTGACCATCAGATCGAAGGACTCGACAGATGATCCCTATGATCCGAAGGGATCATCCAGGACAGCCTATGATCCTGGGAGGATCATAGTGGAAGGACATCGATCCAGACACCGGAAACACATATATATACCAGAGTATCCTAGGTCTTGCTTCTATTAGAGAACAAGACATCGATCAATCTAAGTCTTCACCTGGACCATTAGTCTACGTCTGACTCTACCTTATGAAGAAGACGCCTAGTCTTTACGACGCAACTACGACCAAACACTACGAACGACAGTTACTGCTCTTTAGTTAACATCCTCTTCTTATTTTGAACTAAAACCTCGACGCCAGTCCCCTATCGTCCGCTATACTATAGAGGACCGGAAGCCGTCGTAACACTAATATACCTTTAGAACTGTATAAAGAGCTTAATCTGCTATTAGATTAAGGGATTCACGATCCTTTTAGCGTTATAACGGATATCGTCGACTTCGGTATACCTATAATAACGTAGCAGAACTCCACGATAAAGGCTTTATAAAAGGGAAGGAGGCGTTAATAATAGCCTTAATTATTAAGATCTAGGGGGGTGGCCGGCGGTGGTAGTAAAGGATCGAAAACCACCACTAACGTAAAAACCACCGAAAACGCCTCTAAAAACCAATAGGTTACTAACTAAGAGGCATCACGTAGAACGGCTACCACGGCCGCGGCAGGCACGGTGCCTACCGTTATGCCTGCCGTTATTCCTGCCGTTGGTTCTTCCTCTTTAACTACTATTTTACCCTCCTCTTTAATAACAGCACTAAAAGCACTAATTTTGCCCTCTTTAATAACCTCTTCTTCTTCAAGGCTTACTTATACGCCCTTTTCGCTACCTCCTAACGATCCTTAGACGTTTATAGCTACGGCGGTTAAATACAGCGATTAAGAGAAATCTAACGATACTAGCGGATCTTCCTCTACCTTAAAGAAGGCTATAGGCGAGGCTACTAACAATACCGTCGGAATAGGATTATTATCGCCTAACTAATCCGTTCTTAAAGAGGCCACTGCTACTACCACTACCGCTACTCCTTAAATAACTAATACACAAGCAGTAACCCTATCTTTAGCAGCTAAGTCTAATTCCACTACTACTACTACTATTACGGCCTAATAACTAACCTCTTATTCGCCTACTTTAGCTTTAACGCCTACCCCCGTAGGGCGGCCTGCTCGTAAGCCGACCTCCTTCTAGGTACGACGATTACGTTTCCCACTACACCTTTAAAAAGCCGAAAAAGCCGCTATTACGCCAAGAGATACCTAAGGAACCGTTAAATTAGTCTTAGATACTAAAGAGCCCCTATAAGCTGCAGTGGCTTAGGGCAGCTGTATAAGAGGTAGATACACTTAGGTTAATAGGCACCTTTAAAGCAGCAGAGGTGCCCTAGGGTAGGTAACGTGCCTTAGACCTTAAATAGGTCTTTAAGTATAAGGTTAACCCGTCGGGGTACGTTAGTAAGTTTAAGGCGAGGTTATACGTATAAGGCGATTAATAGTCTAAAACCCACCTTAACGCCTACGTCTCCACCCTCGCAGAAAGGACCTTTAGGTCGTTAATAGCTATTACTACCTATTTTAACCTCGAAACACGTTAGCTTAATACCGTTAACGCCTTTACTAACGCTACCCTTAACGAAGAGATTTATGTTAAGGATCCACCTAGCTAGCCGCTGCTTTAAGCAGTAAAAGGCACGAAGAGCGACGAGGACCTCGAGGCTCTTTTAAAGCTATTACGACCACCCTCGCGCGGTATATAACGCCTACACAGGGCGTTATATAGCCTACGTCGCTCCCCTAAGCTATAGCACGAATAGCTCTCTTCAGTTTTAGGCAAGTATAACCTAAAGTAACTAACTAAAGACGATTACGTCTTTAAAAGTAAGGAACTAATCGTCTTCTTCTACGTAGATAATATTATTCTAATCTATAGGAAGGAATATTAATCTACTGCTAATTCTCTTACATAACGGATATAGTAGCACTTTTAAGTAAGGGACCTAGGCCTACTTAAGTGGTTTCTAGGGATCAGAGTAGTTCGAGATCGCTAATAACGTCGGCTATAACTTTCCCTTAAGAACTATATCACCGAAAAGATTAAGACTTTAGGGATAGATTTCTCCTTTAGTGGACGTAGGGTTAAAAGCCCTCTTCCTTTTCCTAATGTTTTAAAACTATCTACTACCGACTAATAAGCCTCTATAGAGTTAATCCACCTATATCTACGGAAGGTCGGTTCTATTAATTACGCGGCCTATTAGACCCGGCCTAACATATCCAAAGCTGCTTCGAGGCTTACCGAATTCAATACCAACCCGTTAAAACAGCATCATAATACCGTAAACAGGTATTTAAAGTACCTCGCCTCCACTAAGTCCCTATGCCTTTACTTTAGACTACGTAATAACCACCTATAGCACGCACTTTACTATACTTCTAACGTAGCCTTTAAAGACGACCGTAAAACGCGGTATAGCTCCTAGGGCTATACTATACTATTATTCCGGGGTCCTATAGACTAGAAGGCAAACAAGCAAACAAGCATCGTGATCTCTAGTACTAAAGCCGAGCTTATAGCACTTTCTATAGCCACTAGGTAGTATATCGCGATAAGGCGTTTAATTAAGGACCTAACCTTAACCTTTAAGGAGGAACCATAAACGATATACTATAATAACGACTAAATAAGGATCCTATTAAAGGCTCCACGCCCTTAGGTTATATCTAGATTAAAATATCTAGATATCCACGCCATTTAGATCCGACAGGTCGTTTAATAGAAGAAGGTCCTGATCGCCTAGATCTCGACCTAAAAGATAGTCAGCGATAGGCTGACTAAAGTACTTCCCCCGCAGAAACATAAGGCGTTTATATATCTATTAGGGATAGAGGTCCTAAGCCAGGGGGCTTAAGGCAATTCATAAGAGGCGTGGTGCTAAGTTTATAATCTGCAGCCCAGATTAACCGTTATTTTAGTGCCCTTCAGATTATTATTTAGGCACCCGTTTTTTAACGTTTTAACGTTATTATAGGGTTAATTTAACCACCTGTTTTTACACGTTTTTAACGTTTTTAGGCATAAAAAGAGCGCGCTTTTCAATAAGCCGTTCATCCGTTGGATTAATATCTAGGTCTCTATTTTACCCTAGATTTACGGCTTCAATTAAGCAGAACAGTCAGGATTAATCCTGCAGTTCTGGGGGGGTGTGTCAGATACCTACAGCCACCTTATCGGGGTGTGACTTACGCCATTTCTGTAGACGGATAAGGTACTTCCGACCGATATATCCACATCAATTTCCCCTCCTTTTACTTCATAGTTAGACATTTCCGCAGAGTATCTTTTACTCTTCTTCAATGCACACACACATCTTTTGCGTACCTTATTTATGTGCTGACAGCTTTCCAGCAAGTGCCAGTACATATGTAGGTTCGGTATGCGGGCAGACAAGGATATATTGGCGACGGAGATCACCGACCGGAGGAATCCAGCCACGCTTATGAGGAAGACGTGGGAGATTTTGTCTGCTATTGCGGTGGGTGATATTGTGGCGGGTCGGTAAAGTGGAAGTCGGGTCAAGTTACTAGTTAGAGTGGTGCATGAAGGTTGAGATGCTTCCGACAGACACGACCGACCCCCACGGCGAGGGGAAGCGCAAGGTCGTGCCCCCCAATAATATGCGCGCATTTTTCAGACGTATATCGAGAATGCAGGGATTGGTGGCGATATCAAAGAAGAAAATATGTGAATAAAGGGCGTTGGTCGATCAATGACGCCTCAATGGTAGCTTACCGAGCTGAGTGACCAGGTACGAACCGTTTTATGGAGACGAGAAACGGAGGGCTGGGAAGAGGCGCGGCTTGAACGTATATTTGAGAACCCTGATGGCTCGGTCCAATCTTTCCGTCACTAGGTAGGACATAACAGTACCTTAAATTTCACCAAACGGTATCTTTGAATACTTAGTTTGACATGCAGCTAGGCAGTTATAATAAGTATTTCTTTCTTAATGCACTGCTACAGGGCAAGTACCTACCCGAAGCTGCTACCTGCTAGCAACTTGCATCGATTTCTGGCGGGAAGGCACGCGGCATACCGCCACCAGCCCTTGTATAAATCCTCCCAATCTCACATGGCACCCCTCGTAACTCGCACTTCTTCCCTCCCTCCACCCCTCGCCTTCGTTTTACCACTCCCCTCCAGGCTTATTCGAGGAGATCAAGACAAGCCAGCTGCTGGCGTTCCGTTCTGTCAATCCACCACAATATCCAACTCGCCAACTCCCCATTTTTGTGTAGCCACACTCCAGCAGCCATCTCTCTCCAAAATGAAGGTCACCCAGCTCCTCGCCCTCATGGGCGCCGTCACCGTCTCGCTCGCTCAGTCCCTTCCTCCTGCTCCCACCGCCTCGGTCGGCTGCGAACCTCACGGTGACCATTGGCACTGCGAAGGTCCCGCCGAGTCTGGCGCCGCCGCGGAACCCTCCCATACCCACTCTCACTCCGACGACGACGATCACGAGCACGAGCACGAGGACGACGACGACCACGACCACGAGTCCACCCACCCGGACCTGCCTCCCTCGCCGACCGCATCTGTCGGCTGTGAACCCCACGGCGACCATTGGGACTGCGAAGGCCCTGTCGAGACCGATTCTCTCGCTTCTGCCTCGGCCAGCGCTACTGGCATTGCCGACGACCACGAACATGACCACGACGACGGGCATGAAGACGACGACCACGAGTCCACCCCCCACCCGGACCTGCCTCCTTCGCCTACCGCCTCGGTTGGCTGCGAGCCCCACGGCGACCACTGGCACTGCGAGGGCCCCGTTGCTTCTGCCACTGACGAGGGCCCCGTTGCTTCTGCCACTGACGATGAGGCCGCCGCCGCTAGCAGTTCCGTGGTGGATGACGACTTTTCTGGCGCCTCCCAGGTTGTTGCCGGTGCTGGTGTCGCTGTCCTGGCTGCCCTTCTTGCCCTCTAAGTTAGGACCTATGTAGTTCATATCCCGCCCTTTCCAGAAAAAAAGAAAGAAAAAAAAAAAGGAACGAGAATTGACGCAATGGGAGTCGTGTTCAATGAGAGGAATTGACAGGACATGGTAAATGGGCGGCGGAGGGGATTTTGGGGTTTCTTTTCACAACTACGAAATACTTGAGGATGCATCTTGGTTTACTCCTTAAGGATTCGTACCTGTATTCTAGCTCTTTTATAGAAGTGATTCGTCTAATTATTTCATGACATCTTCGTGGTCCCAGATTAAAGAGATCCTCGTCCCAACTTGCGATGCCTTGAGAGACGTTCGTGGATAAGCTATTATGCGGCCCGCGCTGCAGTGGCCCGCGCAATGGATGGTCAAGTGATTGGGAAATGAAATAAATCTCGTTGCTGTGTTTCCGTATACTGACTTTGAACTCGAGATTTGTGTAGCTGTCCTGTTCCTGTGACAGGATCAAGGGACGGTGGAACCTAAATTGCAGCCGCCATCAAGGAGGGAGCAAGTGTCGCAGCAGAAGTCCTGGTGCACGCGGTATTCTTTCAAAAGGGATCGCCGTCGAACTCGAGTTTTTCCTTTACTTTAGACCATTGGATTCATCCAAACCTCCCCCATGTGGTTGGTTGCAGGCATATGAGACCGCGTCCAGCATGTGCGACGAGGCCCATATTGTTGTGTTGAACTATATACCTCAAGAAGTACCTACACATTAGAGGATTCTCTTTTAGTGTAGCAGTACGTTTTTGAGTGCAACAGTTATGAGCCCGGGAGGAATACGCTAGTGTATTCCTGGAACTTCCCCTGCTAAGACCACCCGTTCGAAACCTAGCCGAGGAGATGCCTTAAATGAGCTTTAGTGCCCTAGAAGACCGCTTATATAAAATAAGCCGTGTCGATGTAAGTGTGTTTCCAGTTAGCCTTTAAGCACGAAGATCGTCCTTATCCAGGCAGGGGTGTGTGTTATGTTGAACTATATACCTCAAGAAGTACCTACATATTAGAGGATTCTCTTTTGGTGTAGTAGTACGTTTTTGAGTGCAATAAATATTATTTGGCCGCCTATAGCTATTGCTTACCTACTTCGAAGTATTAGGTTGAAGCTGTGCTGGGTCGATAGAATAAGGTACCTTAGGTAAGGTAAGGTAGCAAGACAAAGCACGGTAACGACGGCCCGAAAATTCAAACAACTTAAGGTAGGTAGGTATAAGAGGATATATACGGAGTTCGCCGAAACGGTATCCAAGAAGGGGAAGGAAACGGTGCGCCACAAAGGCGTGGGTTCCAAACTCGCAGAATTACCTAGGTACTGAGTACTAAGGTACAAAGGAGGCCATCAAGGTTCTCGGCCGGGAGGCGAAGGGGACGGCGGTTAGCGTATATGGCGGGGGAGCCATCAGGGTTCTCCAACGGGCATAACGGACCAGGAAATCAGGTCCAGAGTACGCGTACTTTATCCATAATTACTACAACGTACACCCCCCGATATATCCTATACAAGGCATTGTTTGACCTCTTAGCCATAGGCCAGGTAACGTGGTCGAAATTCTTTCGATTTATTCCGTTTACAAGACTAGATACAAAGAGACGCTGTACACGACTCTTACTCGGTAATTAGACGCTAACTCGACGATAAATACGGCAAATCCAGGTATAAACGATATCTGACCGGTTATGGTCATTCAGAGTTGAGTCTAGCGCATTCGCAGGATCAGTCTTCGCTCAATATTTCTTGGCGGGCCATCAAGGTGTGCACAGTACGCTACCCCCACCCCACCCCACCCGTACAGTGACAAGAAGCCCATCAGCCACCCGAGCCACTCACAGCGGGTTTCGACGTCTTGACATGCAATAACCAACACTTCGTAGTGGAGTTGGCTGGCCATCAAGGTTCTCATTTTCCCATCCCACCTTCCTTTTCCTTTCCCACGACAAAGACCAATACACCAAGACACGAGAGATGGAGCACGGGGGCGGGGGGTCGGGTTGGAAAATAACAAAAATCTCTTTCGAACTGCGATTTACGGAAACGGATTTTACGGATAGGAAAGAGATCGTTTGTATTCGTACTTGCCTAGAGCTTGGCTCCGTGTCATGCTTCTCCACCTGTCCGTTTCACGGTAATACGGTAAGAAAAGAAAGAGCAGAAAGTGAAGATACCTAGGAAAACGTCGTAGAAACAGGAGGACACGAGGGAAGAAAGGGAACTACCCGTCCAGCTGTTAATCGTCTCTACCTTAGTTTTCTCCCTTTTCCATCATCATAGCCCACCTCCTTACCTAGGTACTCTTAGGGTTACTCTTGCCTCTTCCCGTTACGTTACGCCATCCAGTCAATTGGCCGAATTGCGCATGGCCGATCCCAATCACCGTCGCAATTGAGCCCTAAACCACCTTCTATTCGTACCGTTGAGCGCGTCTCCCCTCTTTTGCGCACCCTTTCCAAGTCCTCGAGTCCTTGGCGCTTGGCCCTTCCGAAGCATCGGTCTTCTACTCCGTACTCTCCATCACTCGCGCACTCACCCTAATCCGAAAGAAGGTTCGCATTCGAACCTCGCCTCTCTGTCAATCGGTCGTCGGGGCATTACGTCGTCAGCCTTTGAGATTCAATTTCCTCTCCTTCCCCCACGAACGACGGCTTCCTTGGCACTCTTCTCAACGAGACCGAACGCCCATCCATCGCTCGTGTCATCACCTTCACCACCTTCATTTCAAACAAGGGTCCCCTGTAGACTTACGTATCCCATGTGGTCGTGATCCTCTCCTTCCCATCTTCTCATCTCTCCTGGCCTTCAAGGTTGTTTGCCACATCGTTCATCTCCCTCACCTCTCACATTCCCTCCACCCTCGACGGGAAAGTCTCTCAGAGTCCTTTCCATACGATACATTACGCGCCAGCGCACCTTGATGCAACTTCCTTCTTCTTAAACGAGACGACTTCCATTCCGCTGGCGATCCTTCGACCATTCCATACCCTTAGAGAACCACAGGTCGATAGGATCGAAACATCTCTCCGCCATCGTCATCTCAACAAAACCCCCCTGCTATGGCTCGCTCGGCTTTTATCCTCGCCGTCGCGGCCACTAGCGGCCTCCTGAACACCGCGTCCGCCCACGTCGTCGCACGGCAGACGTCTGTCCCCGAAGTCGACGCCATTTCAGACTGTTCTGTCAGCCAGAGCACACAGTGAGCTTATATTTACCCGTTCATCCGCGTCTCCAGCCGGCTATGATGCGGGAAGCCGTCCATTATATTAACTTGGTGTTTCAGGTACTGCCAGGCTGATGGCACCGAGTTCCGCATTGTCGCTACCCCGACCGAGGGTGCGCTACCAAGCTCCTATACCGGCTGCCACCCTCACGGGTCTGATCTGTAAGCATGCAAAACCTGGCTATTTCTCTTATCGGTCTTGCTTCTTCTGACACCTATACCCCCATTGACACTAGATACTGCTTCCACGATGATGGCGAAGTCGAGGTCGCCTTGGCCGGGGCCGCCGTCACCCCGGCACCCACTGCCACGAATGACGCTCATGACCACGACGACGAACACGACTCCGGCGAAGTAACCGCCGTATCCGACTGCCGTCTGGACGGCCAGGATGTGTAAGTTACCCGTTGGACTCCACGTCGCCGGGTAGTTTGTGCCTATGCTTACCATCGCCACACAGCTACTGCATGTGGGGTTCCACTGAGTATTCGATGGACGTGACGGCCACGGCCACCCAGGACATCGCCCCCGAGTATACCAACTGCCATCCTCACGATGCCGACCTGTATTGCGTTGGCCCCGACGGCGATGACATCCTGGCGGTCTCCGCGGAGGCCGAAGAAGCGCCCGATGAGCAACACTGCCATTTCCACGCCGGCGTTGAGTATGTATCCCTGCCATCCTCTCTCAGAATCCTAACATCTCATCACAACATGTACTAATTAGACCCTAGACACTGCGTCGGCCCTGGCGAGGGTGAAAACCAGGGCACGCGTTCCTGCGAGCGCGTCGACCGGCAGTACAACATCCCTCTTCGAGTTGGCCTTCTCTTTGTGGTCCTGGTCACCAGCGGCCTTGGTATGGGTTTTTCCTTTTTCCCTCTCCTTTCCTTCCTTTCCCTTTTTTCTTTCGGGGTTTTTTTCTTCTTCTTTTTCTTCCTGTCATCATCCACTAATAAGTGCTCTCTCAGGTGTTTTCGGTCCCATCTTCCTCATGAAGCTCCTCCCACCCAAGGCCCACGTCGTCTTGATCATCATCAAACAGTTCGGAACCGGTGTCATCATCTCCACCGCCTTCATCCATCTGTACACCCATGCTCAGCTCATGTTCAGCAATCCGTGCCTGGAAGGCGTCGAGTTTGAAGGTACTACGGCTGCCATTGTCATGGGCGGTCTGTTTCTGTCGTTCTTGGTCGAGTTTATTGGCCAGAGAATTGTGCGTCATAAGATGTCTCACCGTCCCTTCCAGAGCGCTTGGTTCCGACCTGAGACGGTCAGCATCTTGGTCATGGAGGCCGGCATCATTTTCCATTCCGTCCGTACGTGTTCCTCCTCTTCCCCCCTACTTTTTGGATATTGCCCAGGTATTCTCCCCGAAATGGTGTCCCGAGCTAATCAAAACTTGTAGTCATCGGCATTACGCTTGTCGTGGCTGGCGACAGCTTCTTTCTCACACTCTTCATCGTTATCGTATTTCACCAGTTCTTTGAAGGTCTCGCCTTGGGCAGCCGCATCGCTGCTCTCGGTACCCAGCCCGCCGTCCAGCAAGTCGCTCAGCGTATCGGCGGCCACGGCCACATGCACGTTTCTGGCCCCATGTCGTCGAAGACCGCGTCCGGGGCCGAGCCCACCGCCGAAGCGTCGCCTGAAGGTTCTGTCGACTCTAGCGACGTGAATGGGAAGGTCCAGCAGTTTACTCTCGTCAAAAAGTGCGTGCTTGCCGGCGCTTTTGCCCTCATCACGCCTGTGGGTATGGCGATCGGTATTGGCGTTCTAGACCACTTCAACGGCAACGACCCCAGCACAGTCCTCGCAATCGGTATTCTCGATGCCGTTTCTGCCGGTATTTTGGTCTGGGTTGGCGTGGTGGAGATGTGGGCCGAAGACTGGATGTTCGGATCGTCGGAGCTGATGAACGCTAACTGGGTTGTCACCACGCTCGCCATGTTTGGCATGATGGCGGGTATGGCGCTTATGGGTCTGCTCGGAAGGTGGGCATGAAAAGCCCAAAGACTTACGGTTCTCTCTCATTGTTCCTTTTTACGGCAAACCAGGGAGGTCATGACGGTCATCTCGGGATATGACAATTTGGGAAAAAGGTCTTACGGAACTCGGCTTGGGTCTGCATATTTGCTTTCTTTGCACCGATGATACCAGCTTGGGGGGTGAATTATCGTTGATTATGTCTGTGTATTTTACTGCTTTCTTTGCTATGAGGCACAGCATCGACGTCGCATATAGATAGACACGCAGGGATCCTTAGATGGGATCTTATGAATGATACCAGATGAACATGCCCCGGGGGTTGCAAGTGGTGATCTTTTAGTCCTGCGGCTTCCAACCTCCTTCGGCCTGAAATACCTCGCCGACTTTTTTACCAACTGCCAGCAGTCGCAGGTCGTTGTATCGCGGGGCGACAAGCGACACGCCCACCGGCATGCCGTTCTGCCCCTGGAAGCCGGGGACATTGACGACGGGGGTATGCATGGCCTACGCCTCACGACACGCGTCAGCCCTACTCCGAAGAAAAGAGGGGAAAAAAAAGAAAGAAAGAAAGGGTCCATGAAGGAAACAGGAAGACAACGAAGGAAGAACGAGAGAACACTGACCGTCCACAGAGAGTTGAAGATGTGGTCACCCGTATACCCCAGTCCCAGCGGGGCCTCGTCGGGGACACTGGGCACAACAACAGCATCATAGCGGGCCAAGATGGCATCAACGACAGGGCGTGCGGCAGCAATGGAATCGAAGGCGCGCACCTGATCCCGCTTGGACGAACCCCTCCGATTCTCAACATGCCCCACCAGGTGGTCGGCGAGACGGGTCTTATCGAGGCGGTGCGCGGGGAGGAAGGCGACACGGCCTTCCGCGTCGAGAAGGGTATCATACCAAGCGGGGAAATCGGCCGTGTGCTCCGGGAGGTCGAATTCCTCGACGGTCGCCCCGTGCTCGCGCAGGAGCGAGGCGGCTTTCTCCATGGCGGATACGGTGCCGGGGCCGGCGTGGGACCAGACCATTGTTTTGCAGAGGCCGAATTTGGCGCCCTGGATTGAAAATCCGTCCTCCTTCCCGGAGCGCGGGTTGTCGCCACCGTCGCCGTCGTCGTCGTCGTCGTCTTGCAGGTTGAAGACGTCGGCAAGCAGACGCAGGTCGTCGATGGACCGGGCGTACCATCCCAGGGTGTCGAAGATGAGGGCGTAGACTTTCTGGCCTTCCCGGGATACGGCGTTCCAGGTCGGCTTGAGGGCGTAGACGCCGTTGAAGGAGGCGGGGCGGATCAGACTCCCGCCGGTTTGCGTCCCTAGGGCCAGCGGGGCTTGGAAGTCGGCTACTGCGGCGCCGGAGCCGGAGGAGGAACCGCCCGGGGTGCGGGAGGGGTCATGCGGGTTTGTGGTTGGGGGGCCTTGTGAGGTTGCTGCGAATTCGGTTGTTGTGGTTTTGCCTGTGGTTTTGGTCAGCGGGGAAGAAAAAAAGAAAGGGGGCGGGGGAAAAGGGGGTTGTCGCCAAACATGGAATGAGGGGGAACGAAACGAAAGTGACTGCTCACCCAAAATGAGAGCGCCGGCAAGGCGAAGCATGGTGATAGAAGCTGCGTCGACTTTTGGGGCGTCGTTCTCGTAAAGAGGCGAATTGAACTGCGTGGGCATATCTGGTGCATTGTCGTCGTTCAGCATTCCCCCCCCTTTTTCCTTTTTTTCTCAATTTTTTTTCCCTTCTTTTTCTTTGTCCACGACTCATCGACAAGATTCACAATCGGATGAAAGCGCTTCACTTACCCCTGGTGTAGATGATATCCTTAACGGCTACAGCTACCCCGTGAAGCGGACCTCGCTGGTCCACGGGTATACTATCGAGACGCTTTGCTTCGGCCAGAACGAGATTAGGGCTGAGATAGGCCCAGGCTTTAACCACGGGATCCCGGGCAGCGATGCGGGATAGGAGAGACCGAGCATATTGTTCGACGGTCAGGGCGCCGGACCGGAAGTTGGCGAGGGCCTCGGTGGCTGTGAGCCGGTAGGGCTCTGGTTCGGTTGTTAAGGTCATGTTTAGGGGCTGCTGATGGTGTGGTGAGTGCAGTGGTGTAAGTCGTCCCGAACGCCTCAATTATATAGAGAGAGTTGAATCGTGTCGAGAAGAAATGTCTTCGTCTCAAATCCACGCCCAAAGGCCCTTACTCTCGGTCTTTCAATAGAAGCTGGAATATGCTGGAATATGCTGGATAAGGCCGAGTCGTTGATAAGTGACGGCTTTGTTTGCTCCCAGCCTCCCACCGCTGGCCTGATAGTGCTGTGGACAGCGGGCGTCGATTAGCGGTGGACGTTGAGCCTCGGTGATCTCTTTCAGAGACGGACTCGACCATAGAAGTAAGAACTCACAAAAAGCCGCAGACTTGGGGAAATCCGTCAGTTAGCAGTTACTCAACGGCGACCTCATTTTGTCGGAGGATTCTATCGATTGTGATCACCAAGACTGCTCTCGCCGTCCTCGTACCCCCTCATTTTCACCAATATCGAAGCCCGGGTCCGTCATTCCCATCACTAATTATAAGACACACAGCGTCGTATTACCCAAACGGCCAGCTGTCATTTGCGTCCTTTTCCCATTTGGTAATCTTATCGTGATTATCATCTGCATCCCAAGCCACAGGCCGGCGTCGGCAGGCCGCAGATTCCTGGCCCCCCCTGGGCCCTCCGACGTTCCGTCCTTTCTCATTTTCCCTCCCTCACAGGTATCAATAAAGGACTCGCGCCCCTATCGCGACGATCAAGGGTTAGCCCTAAGTACATATCTTTCTTCTAGCGAATACCACCTTTCATTTACAGCAATTCAATGCACATGATATGCTACTACTGCCGTCAATAAGCCCACTTATGCTGCATGCCATTGAGAAACACAATCGAGAGAGAGACCGCTTCTCGGAAGCGAACGTGGGGCTCCTGATGGGAATTCCCGAGGGCCAAGACCAAGACCAATCTTTACCCGTCTCGTCAGGGGTTACACCAAAAGCGTCCATGTTATGGCTTTGATATAATTTATAAATGTCCCGCCCCAATATAATCATGCCGCACCGTCTATTTTCTTTTCTGTACAACTTCCCCTCGTCTCTTCTTCTTCGAAATGCATCTTGATACTGTAGTCTGTGTTGATACAGTCGGCTCGTCAGTCATCATGTCGAAACTATTCGAGCCAGTGTCGGTGGGGTCGAGTAAGCTTGGCCACCGGATAGCCATGGCCCATGGCGCCGCTAACCCGGTAGCGATGCGATGACGACTGGACTGTGATGAAGATTGCAAAAGGTAGGCAGTAGGCAGGAGAGCAGACCCAAAAAGATTTGATTACAAAAAATTGACAAGAACCAAGGGTGAATAAGTCTGATATCACGAGTCGATGGCTTACTTTCCCCCTGTGCTCCCTCTTGAGCACAGAGTGCTACGAACAGCGCGCTTGCGTCCCCGGCACCCTCATCATCTCGGAAGCAACCCTCATCTCGGCCCGCTCCGCCCGCCGCTACAACGCCCGGTCGTCGCCGCCATTGGGGCTGAGAAGACGGCCATACGGCTGAGCCCGTATAGTGACTTCAACGGCATGTTGATGGGTGACCCGGATCCGACCTTCCGGTACCTGACGGAGCAGCTGAAGCCTCTGGGATTGGCGTTCCTGCATCTGATAGAGGCGAGAATCAAGGGGAACGACGATGCCGAGTGTGGTGGGGATAGGACGGTCGCGTGGTTGGCCGAGCTCTGGGAGAATGTGAGCCCCGTGCTTCTTGCTGGGGGGTTCAAGCCCGGTTCGGCGAAGAAGGCAGTCGACGAGACGTTCAAGGAGTATGATATGGTTGTGGTGTTTGGGCGGTATTTCGTCCCGATCCCGGACCTCGTGTACCGGATCAAGGCCGGGATCCCGTTGGAACCGTACGACCGGTCGAAGTTTTACACCCCGAAGGAGCCCAAGGGGTACATTGATTACCCCTTTGGCGAGCAATATCTAGCCAGCGTCAATGTTCAGTAGAAGGCGAAGGGACAAAGGGGGGATGGTCGGTGGTCCGATGGAACATGAAGGTCTGACTGAAGCAGTGTTAAATCCATTTGATTCCTAGAATTAGATAAGTAATATTGCCGGCCATGCCGACCGATCAATTGACTGTGAGAGTGTTTATCCGAGAGCCTCGATATACTAGAGACTGGCGTCTGAGATGGAGGCTGGGCTTTGGAGAATATAGGGGACGAGGTATTGTCTCCTTTTATTGACTTTAGGGGTTGTTCGGTGTGGGTGCATTAGAAAAAAAAAGGGAAGAAAAAAAGAAAAAAAGTAATCCGACAGAGACAGGATTCGAACCTGCGAGGCCGAAGCCATATGATTTCTAGTCATACCCATTAACCACTCTGGCACTCTGCCTCTTGTTACATTAACTTCCCCGCAAACCACAGCTTTGGACACTCCCTCGAGGTAAAAGCTCCAGCCCCCCTTCATCTCCAGGGGTCCGTCAGGGCTTTCTCCATGTTTCTTCGGGAATATTCCAAGGAGGATGTGATCTGACGGCTTCACAATATTGCATGTGAAGATAACGTGATTGCATGTTATAACTTATGCCAGCATGTTTATCTTGCATGTATGTTGCTTCATCATTTATGTTTCCGATGTTAGCGGCCTCGAGGAGAAGATTGCCGTCGAGTTGATAGATCTGTGCGACCCATCAGCCCTGATGCAAGGGATGTCCAGAGTCCAGAGTCCACACTCCAGGGTCTTCGTTAAGCCATCAACGGCGTATTATAGCAAACATTGAACTTGCAGTAGCGCATTGCATTTTACCAGTTGAGAACTTGAGCCCCCAAAGTCGCGCCGTGCTCCAGGAGTCCAGCCTCCACCCACGGGCCACGGCCTCGACTGTCAGGACCCGACCCCATCTGATCGAGTTTTGTTTCAATGTTCGTTCTAACTTCTCACATGGTTCAGTCGGCACCACCGGCTACTTACCTCACAAGGGTGGGGCTACGGGTGTCGGAGCCGCACGCAGGCCGCATTCCGGGATCCGGGATCCGGGACCAAGCATGACCTCCGGAGTCCGGAGTCCGAAGTCCGAACGCCCCACCAGTACCGATTCCTTGGAATACATGTATCTGTTGATTCTGCTCTGCAACTCAGCCGAGTGAAGAGATGGCAAGCCACTGTAGACGAACTTCTTATGAGATTTTGCCTTGGTCTCTACCAGCACACAGAAGCGGTGCAGCGTGCTTACTCTTTCTCGCAGTTAAGTGCATCACTCATGATCACTGCATATGCATCTCTCACCTGAGCGGGTCGCGAAACTCGCCATAATTCCGATCAACTGTTATTTGCACCCCTATATCAAAGTCAGAACTTAGGGTTATCCCATGGTGCCACGTTTGTTTTTATTCGGAAACTTGCAGCCCCCTGCACTCGGCACTCCACGCTCAAGTGAGTCCCAGACCTCCGGTGAACCCGTATTATCGGAACGTAGCGTCTAAGCGCTGATTTCTCCCTCCACCCGCCATTTTCTTTTCACGACACACGGCAGCCTTTGTGGGAGCTCGCACAGAAACAAAGTAGTAAGCCTAACAGTAAACAGACCTATACGAGGCCTTATGGGGCTATCGTCTGGTGGAACTGCTGTGAACCTCCATCTGCGTTTTTCCGTCGTACACCGCTGACGGTGAACACCCTCTCGCAGAAGACCAGAATAAGAGGACGAAAATTTTCATCTTTCCCCTTCGAACCAAGCACGGAGATAACATGAACTTTATGTGGGATGGCCGGATTCGTCTCCAGTTTCCCATTCTTTAAGTTGCTGAGATATTAAAGCCCCTGTCGCCCACCGTTATTACACTCCTGAATAGAGCAACACAAGTTATAACTTATTCACAACCAGGCCAACACCAAACCAGTCCAAGCCAACCCCTCAGCCCAGCCGCCACCATGACGACCCCCAAGGAAGCCCACTCCCGACAATACTCCCACATCAACGGCACACCCGAAGACCTCCTTCACCGTCTAGCCATCTCCGAACTCTGCAAAGGCTGGCCCGTGTACCGCGATGCCTCGGAGTGGATGAACTTTCGCTCCCTCTTCGCCCAAGACGCTACCGTCTGGACCAGTAAGCTTGCCCAAGTTGCCCCCCCCCTCCCTTCTTCCCCTTCCTTCTTGACGCTGCACGGCAAGTCGGAGTTGACATGTTCGCATAGCCTGGAGCGGAGCCCGTTCCGTCGACGACTTCATCGCCATCTCCAAAGCCGGCAAAGCCTCAGGCGCCTTCATCCAGCACCGCGAGTGCGGCACCCTCGTGGAGCTGAACCGCGAGATGAACCGCGCCGTGGGGAAGATGAAGGCGACCATCACGCAGCGCTTCGTCTCGCCCGAGGGAATCGAGTACGACGTCGACTGCGACTGCCGCTTCCTCTTCTTCTGTACCTACGTCAATGAGTCGCCGATGATGATGATGGAGGGCGACAGCGCCAGCGGCACGGGCGCCGGCGTGGAGGATGTCAGTGGTGGCGAGTGGAAGGCGCAGTACGTGAAGCTGATTTATGAAAAAGACCGCCTCGTCCCCGTGGATGGCGTCAACGTGCCCAAGTTTGAGCTGGAGGAGCTGGAGAAGTATCCCGTGGGATATCGCTACCTGAGTGTGGCGCAGGCTTCGCTGGGACATGAGATCGATACGAAACTGGCGACGGTGAAGGATATTGGTACCTTCGAGAGAATGTATGCTTGTATGGAGAAGTGGCTGGATGGGGAAGATCCAGAGCTGTTCTGGTAGGGACCAGACTGGAGCTTAGATGCACGAGGTTGGACTTGAGATCACTCCGGCGCCCCCATAGCACGGGCAAGGGTCGTGTTATGTTATCAACCAAAAGGCCGTTCACTCCGTAGCCCAGGCAGGACTATAACAAAGCATGATCATGAAGATTGTTTGTTGACTTGCTACACGAGAATCCAGGAGATGGCGATGCCGAGCATCACCCACCTAGCCCTAGGACGATGAGCTTCACTTCCTGATTCAGGATCCCTATCTGGATCATCTCCACCCTCTCCTGAATCCGCAGCAACGTCATCCGCAAATACAGGCGTCGGGGCAACACCATTCCCAACCACCGCCGTCGAAGTGGCGACTGCAACAACACCCCCATCATCATCCTCATCCTCATCCCCATCCCCATCCTCGCCCTCGCCCTCACCCTCACCCCCAGAAGAGCAGAGCCCAACAAGACCACCAATAAACTCGGAGCCCCGAATGCCCATAGTCCGGCTGCCACAGTCTACATAAGGCGCCATATGCACGACATCCGCCTCAAGGTCAAACACCACGTAAGCCGACCTGAGAAACGTATCCCCCAGCAACGTAAACTCCTCGCTCGGCATAATCCCCAGCACACACCGCGCCGGAGCCGCCCCATGACCGGGGAACACACGGATCATCTCCCTGTAGGACACAGGCACCGCGACGCCCTCAAAGACAAAGCCGATAGTCCCGGGTAAGTCGACCAGCCCGCAATCGACGGAGTAAAACCCGTTCGCGTCGGGTTCGGGCGCCCCAAAGTCCGCGGCGATGGCGCCCGCCAGCTCCGGCGGGAGGAGCGTCATGGTGGCGCCGCTGTCGAGGAATACGGGAATCGCACTACCGTTGTATGGCGGCCGCGAGATGCCGCTGGGCGGGGTCAGGTGGATGGAACGCAACGAAACCCAGTACCGCGCCACGCGGTCCGGGGCGTCCGGGGCCGGGATGACGGGCAGCGGGGCGAGGGATCCGGTGAACTTGGCCGGGTCGATGCCGCCTAGGATGAGCTGGCCTTGGCCCGCGTCCTTGGAGCCCAGGGCGAGGGAGAAGGCCTTGGTGCGGATGGCGCCTTGCAGGGCCAGCTCGTCGAGGAGGGTCGGGTAGGAGGTGGTGTGGTTTTGGCCGTGTCCTAGGCCGAGAATGCCGGCGAATTTGTCGGTCGTTGATGTCGCGGTGCCGAATTGCACCTGGCGGACGGTGGGGGAGGAGCCGAGGGTTATGTCGTCTCGGAGGTAGGTGATGTTGGCGGATCCGATGCCGTAGCGGAGGGTGGCGGAGGTGCCGAGGGGGTTGGATGTGGACGAGTTGGAGGGTTCGTACGTTCCGACGGCTTCGCAGAAGCGCTCATCTGCCGGACGTAGATTGGCGCAGGTTGGGTTTACCCATAGTTCAAAGGATCCTGTGTCGAGCTGGGCGTACACAGGCTGTGGAGGTGTGCCAATGTTGACTAGGAAAACGTGAGTTTACATGATGTTCATGATGCGATAAAGGCAGAAGATGTGGACGGGATGCTCAGCTTACGCTGGGCGTAGTAGGCTATATCCGAACGGTTGGCCAGCTCCAACTCTATGGGACGGTTGATGATGCTCCGTTTTGGGGAGTGAATGACGGGAAGCGCCAGGAATAAGCCTGAGTCGTCATGGTCCGAAGGTTCTCGGCGATCCGAGACAGGAGCTCGGCTGACATCATAAGCTGCTGGCGAGATAAGAGGGAGTGTGATGAGATTCTCGTCAATAATGTCGTCGACGGGAAGTTGAGGCCATGCTTGGGCGCAGACGACAAGCAGTGGGACGAGGAGTAAAGGAGGTGCCATTGCTGGCAGAAAGAGGGTAAAGGGCTATCTCGTCAAGGTCGACATGAGAGGCTCTTGAGAAATCAAGTCTCGAGGGCTGAAAGATTGGCTCAACTGCTATTGAACGAGGACGTCGAGGAGTTCCGAGTGAACGAGAATGGATAGGCCGAAGGATAACAAAATCATAGTATTAGACAAGAGCGGTTTGCGAACAGCGGCCATTCAGTCGTCTTGTCGCAATCACAAAAAGAAAAGACACCCGGTCAGGACCTCGACACGACCAGCGGTTGAGGTGGCTCGGGTGGGAGCGTGAGGGTGAGGTCGGCCGAAGAAGACAGACGCACGACAACGAGTCTAGGAGTATGCTAAGTTGCTGGGTGGGAAGGGATAAAAAAGAAAAGATGAAGCATGTCCGAGCACACCATGGCTGAAACTGCCTAGAACTTGAAGACGGGGCCGTGTCGTGAACTACGCCCCTGTTGACGATCAAACAGCCCCAAAATGTGATGAGGTTCCATTCAGGGGTCAGGGGTAAAACGTTCGGTGAGAGGTCGGTGAACTGTCGGGACTCGGTGACTACCGGTGAGCCCATCCCCCCCTTACCCAAACTGCCAAAACATATCCGCCATCTCCTCGGCCCTCGAAATAGCTTGCCACCGGCTAATCACTTCAAGACGGGACTCCGGTAAGTAGTAGGCATTGTTGCCGGCAAAGATAAAGTCCTGGCCATCAACCTGGAATTTTCCATCTTGAACCGTAGCAAAAAAACCCCTGCGCAGCGACTTGACGACCCGAGAGGGCGAGGGAAAGGGCGAGGGATATCAGGGAAGCCGAGTACATGATGGTTGATTATGGACCAGACGTCAAAGTCAAGGCCGCTTTGTCTGTCTCGTGGATGTCAAGTCTTCGGTAGACCTCGTTGTTGACCCTGATAGAAACGGATCGCTTTTATACGTTTGCCACATCAGACATCAGTCATGATCCTCTGGTTTTGAGGGCGGAGGGAAATGTGCCCGAGGGTCAGTCGGCCAGAGGGCCTCCTCCCACCAAGGTCTTACAACTTCATCCAACAAGAAACAGTAACTTATTCACATGGTAGACAACGGAAAGATACCATCCAAACGCCCCTAGGTCATCCTGTACAATCAACCGCCAGCCCATACGGAACATTCAACTCAGCCTCCCCAACTCTTCTCATTCCAATGCGGCCCAAACAAGAAGAACACAACCAACCCAATCCAAAACGTCCAAACTCCACACCGAATCCACAACGGCCTCTCTCCCTCCCTCCTCATCCACTCAACACCATCCTCCGACTCGACATCCAAGCCATGCTCATCCGACTCCTCCGACGCAAGATCGGACATGGACCCGTTCCGAAGACTGAGCGGGACGTCGGTGTTGCGCAACATCATCATCATCGTCCCGTAGTGGTCCTCCTCGCCGTCATATCTCTCCACCGACGAAGACGAGGACTTGTCGTCGCTGCTGTCCTCTTTCATGTCTGCGTATTTCTGCATCAGACGACGGAACGACGGGTCGAAAAGGGCGGGACGGGGCTTTTTGTCCTTGGCGGCGGTGGTACTGGTGACGGCTTCGACTTTCTTTTGGGTGAGAGGAGCTGCGGGTTCGTGGGGGTTATAATGGTTCTTGAGGAGAGCGGCGGGTAGACGCGTCGTCGTCGTCGTCGTCGTCGTCGCTTTTTCGGGTCGCCTGGGCATCCAGTGGTACCAGTCCGGTGTGGAATCGTCTGGGATCTCTGGATGGGGCAGACGTGCTGGTATATGACGGGAGTTAGGAGGGCGTCCTTTGATTATGGCGGTCATTTTTCTTTTCTTTTCTTTTCTTTTTTTCTGCTCCTCCTTTCTGCCGCGGGTGAAAGATTCTTGGTGAGATAAAAGACTCAAGAGGGCCGGTCAAGCTTTGCGTTCGGTTCTTTCTTCTTTTAAATGACGGATTGATGCCGTACAGTGATGTGAAGTTCAAGAGGGAAAAGAAACGCAGATGGAAGAGCAAGACGGAACAATGTGGACAGCACAGTGGACTGGAGGCAAGGCTCATAAATCCAACCCCTTTTTCTACCAAGTTGGGCCTTTGACTTTTTTTTTCCTTCTATTTCTTTTGACGAAACCGCATTCAGGCATCCTAGCATTCCAGCGAAACAAAGGGGCCTTGGTTCCTCGAGTCGAGAAGTCGGCCTCCCATCAGTGGACAAGGGATGAAAGGAGTAAGGAGGACGAACAGCCACGCCAAGCCAGGACGCAGCCCGATTCTTTGTTCCTATTTCCCACGACTGGACTTTACGAATAGCAAGGGGCACATCCAACACATGCACTCACTGACAAGCTCACATTCATGTGATGCAAAAAAAAGCCAAATAATTTCTAAAAAAAAAGTTACATATACTACAAAGCAACAGGTTGATGAATGCCGGCTCAGCCATAGTTCAACCACTGCCTCGGGGCCCTGGACTGCCAGGACAAAGGACGATTATACTCCCCCATCATGACCTCGTCCAGGGTCAGGTCGTAAGCGAGAAACCTGGCAGGGGTACGATGGAGCGGCTGGCGACCACACAAGTCACACAGAACACGGTCCGCCCCCTCGACCAGCCGGCGGGTGCGCCAATACTCCATGAAGCACTTCTTCCCCACGACGTGGCCCACCCGGCACGTAATCCGCGTGGCGTCGTGACCCAACGCAAAGGCCTCGTCGTCATTGGCAGGCGGGCCCGTGGTGGCCCCCTTGACGCTCATGGGCATGTAGCAGATGAAGCAGCGCCGATCCGTCTCGTCGAGGGCATCGTACTCCTCCTGCGTCACGTAGGCGCCCAGACTCTGCTCGACGGCCTCCTCGCGGCTATGCTCGTCGCTGATGCGCATCTCGGCGCTGCGCCAGAGATGATACTCCAACTCGAGGAAGATGCCGTCTCTGAGAAAGACAAGCGAGTAGGGCTGTACGAGACTCGCTTGCGCCAGTTCGAAGACGGTCAGCTGCGGGTCCCACTCGTCCGGGTCGGATAGGCGGGTGATGTCGGCGACGACCTCCTCGTGGATGTCGCCGGCGACCCAGTCGTCGCCGATGCGGGAGAGGTTGAAGAACAGGTCGAAAACTTCGTGCGCACGGCTCTCTGTCAGACCGTTGTCGTTGGCGATGAAATGAGCCACGCAGAACAGCAAGGTACGCCGGATTTCCAGGACGTTCAGCGCCCACTGTTGAGCTTCCTCGCCCTCGGGAGACCCATGGGTGGCGAGATATTGGTCACTCCAGCCCCGGTCGTCCGTGTAATATTCGAAGGCTTCGTGGACCCTGTCGATAAGCGCCCTAAACAGGGGCGCGGTCCGCCCCGCTCGATTGTAGTAAAACGGCAGCACGGGGGTGCCGTCGAGGAGGGGGTTCAATTCCCCCGGACTAGGCTGCGCCCTGAAACTGGCGAAATACTCGGCACACTCCTCGGCCAGGGGAACTTCGGGCCAATCCACGGTCATCTCCTGACCACGCAGATGGGGCTGGTCCTCGCGGGGATAGAGTAGACCGCGGGCGGGCAGGCGGCGCTGGGCGGCCGAGATGTTCCTGTACTCGGGCCACTCGTTGGCCTCCTGGCACGGGCAGTAGGCGCCGTGGTCGAAGTGGTCCTTGTTGAAGCGGCAGGCGACTTCGATCTTGAAGGCCTTGTAGATTTCCACGAGGCTCTCGGGCGGGGTGGAATGACGGTAGCTGAGGATGGAGTGGAGGAAGAAACACAGGGCCTTGGCGTAGGCCACGACGGCTGCGTCGTTGGCTTCCCGGTTTGTCTGCATCGAGCGGGTGACTCGGACGGGGTCTTGGCTGGGGGCGACGAAGCGGCCGGAGCACTCGGGACAGGAGATGTCGTAGTATTCGCGCATCCAGGGGAGCGCGCGCGAGTCGTAGCAGGTCCTGGGGTCTGGGTTGGCGCAGCGGCGGATATAGCTCGGACGGTGGCCCGCGGTCTCGTCGCTGCCCCAGCATTTGTACTGCCTGAACAGATGAATACACATGATGGTTTTCTAATTCGATGCGGTGGTGTAGGTAAGATGATATTGGTAGCCGAGTTTTGATCCCGGGACTGACATTGCGAGGAAAGAACATGACCATGATATATATCATTAGGGTCGTGGATTGGCTTTGGAGAGAGAAACAAGACAATACCATTGACACCCGAACGGTGAGCTTGAACAACAATAAAGCCAGGAACAAGAGCGAAACAGACAAAGTAAACGAAGACAAAGTCACGACAGGAAACAAGGCAAGCCGAGATGCAAGAAATCGGACAGCGAGAGCAAAGACGATGCCATTGTGAGGAAATGGGAAAAAGAACAGAAGAAGGATCCAAAGAATGTCAAAAATCAAACAACCAAAGAATCAAACAAACTCAACCTCGGGTTTTGATCAGTTCTTTGTCGTCTCCATCGTTCGGTTCGTGATCCGACATGTTGAGAAGTTGAGCCCTCGACGCCCTGGCTCCTGGGATTGAATCGAAGTTGTAGTTGTCGTCCTCGTCCTCGTACTCGTAGATGCAGGTTATTCCGAAGCCGACAGGTGCATATTTGATGCGTCATTCATTGATACCAGCTCCTCGTCATCATAACAAAGACGCAACGCATGTTGTGCAGTGGTTCGCAGGACCTGTGCATTCGGCAGAAGAAGAGATGTAGGAAGGTCGAGGGTTTGTTGGGGGTGAGTGTGAGGTCGGACATGACAGGGGCCAGCATCACGTGATATGTCTGTATGATGAATAATCAAGAGAATGGGAATTGCTGAGTCATCGTTCCAAGATGATTCTCCCTTTCGTTAATAGCGTCTTGACTCTTCACCTTCACCTTCACCTTCACCTTCACCTTCACCGTGTCCCCCCACATCACGTCCTGTCCCTACATTTATTTTCCCGTCTTATCATCACATAATGACCGGCCAAGACAAGTTTCCCTTCTTTTTTTACGACTACCAACGAAGCGCTTGAACGCAAACTGCACCTCATAACCCACAATGTGCCGTCCCACGTTGTTGCCTACCGGGTTCAACCACTGGCTGGGTCCACGGTCCACTACACTACAGTCTACGACCTCTTGCTTCGGCTTCTCTGCCGGTTGGTGGCAGACTCTACGTGTATATATCCGTGGTTGGTCATCCATCCATATCTGGGTTGATCATGGAGTGTTGCTGCCCAACCTTCACTAGCGTTTTGTTTCCCTTCGACTTCTTTGTTCATCATTTACCTGAAGTCCACCACGGCGACCACGCGACCACGCGACCACGCTTCTCTTCCCTCGACCAGCTCAGCAAGACAGCAACCATCTGCAGCTCGAATGCCCGAAAGAGTTAAAGTCATGAACCTCCAGGGAGTCGAGGAACCAGCACAGCAAACTATAACCATCTCAGAACCCACAACTTGCCTTCCACGGACACCTCGACTATCACGATAACGAACAGCTCACTGTCTCTGGGCCTTCGCTTCGGCGTAGGCGAGTTTTGTCGTGGTGGTCTGCCAGCCTCACCCGTATCGATTGGAAGACGGCTAAAGACCTTCGGTCTCTCGCAGCCAACGGCCACACACCCAATCGGCCTTCAACGGGCCAGTAGCACAGTGACGCGATAGGTGGCTAATGGTCGTCGCAGGCAGATGGGACACGGCAAAAAGACTGCACCCTATCTTCCCTACCCTATCCACCTCGACGAACTTGCCATACTTGGGACCCTGGGTTCCAAAAGCTCAATGGCCGCCCATGTGGCCGTGCTGATGAGCAAATGTGCAAAAGACCATATGGTGGTTAGCACGACATATTTTCTGCGATCGCATGCCCCGAGAAGCTGGCGCAAAGAACGAGTAGGGCTGGCTGGGAAAGTAGTTCGAAAAAGCAGCGCCTAGGGACAGAGACGATGGCGATGCATCTTCCTCAACTCCCAGAACACCATCCTTTTGGGTAGTTACAGCAAACGTATGATGGACCTCGCTTCGGCAACTCACCGCGACAACTCCAGTCGTACTCGCAACATGAACTCACAACTCGCGCCATGCCTTCATCCACTCCCCACGGTCACGGTCGGTCCTTCTCCTCATGCAGCAGACCTGCATACTCATGCATCTGTGTCTACCCATTGAGAGACGACCATACAATATCTCCTGTCCATCACCGGTTAGACTTGTCCTACGATCCCACTGAAATCCCCCCTCCTCTTCTCCTTTTATGGCTAAATGCCAACCCCGTAGCTTTGATGAACATGCTGCAGTGCTGCAGTGCTGCACGGCTGCCGTTGCATGTGCTCCTGCGAGCTGTCTGCAATGAGCGTAACTGTTCAACTTAAATATCTCGCATCGTCACCTGTATTCCGTTGCTTCGTGTCTGCTATAATTTCTGTGTTTTGCTGTTCAGTCTGTTCTTTTTGCTTCAGTTTTTTCTTTTATTATTATTATTTCTCTTCCCTAGTCCCTCTCCTTCCCCGAGCTCAACACCGTTCTTCTCCCCCCCCTTTCGTACGCTCCCTTTCTTCCCCCTTTCTGTTCTCCTTTCGATGCTTTCTTCGTTCTCCCCTCGCCGTCTCCCCGCCCCCGCCTCGGCCACCGCATTGCTGCCCAATACCACCCGACTCTAGCCGCATTGAATGTATATTCCGCCCCAGGTTCCCCCACAACCCGGAGCCTGGGCCGCCCGGGGCCCAGTGGGGCCGACTGAGACTCCGAGGGTTCCATCTCATTCGCCCGTCCACGCCGCTGCCGCTGCCGCCGACATCCTCACCCGCGCCGCCGTCGGGGCCGTCAGTCTCATCCATGCTTCTTTTGCCGGCCAGCAGCACGATCCTCCCACGACACTCACCCGCCGACAATCGAACCCAAATCAGACAAACGTCACAGTCGGCATCGTCATCGGCATCGTCCTCGCCATCTTCATAATCGGCGCCTGTACTTTCCTATACATCTATCGAGGCGCCCTGAGGAAGCTCCATAAACGCCGCCAACGTCGTCGCCGACGCCGCCACAAGTCCACGAGCTCACGGAACTCCAAGAGCTCTTCCGACACGGTTCCTCCTCCTGACGATTCTCCGCCGGCCGCCGAGGAAGGGGGAGATGCCCCTCCAGCCGATGCCTGAAACCAGCTGTGCTTTGAGGCGCAACTCAAACCTGTTGGCCAATCTTTCTCCGACTCCGGCCAAACGAACCTTTGGGTTTCTCTTGGTTTCTGAACATTCCTCCAGGTGTGGCTTCATGTTTCTTTCAGTGACGATCCAGATAAACAACCGATTCTAACCTCGATGTTACTACCTTAGTTGGGGCCAACTATTTCATGTACCTCTAAAATCTGTGCAAATTTCAATGCTGCGATGAGCGTTCCAGGGGCGTCGGCGTTTCTCTTATTTCAGGGCCACGGCCCACGGTACACATCTCCTTTGCTACAACTCCTCGGCCTTTCGCTTTGACCACTTCTGACTTGGTCCGGCATCAACAATGTTATAACTAAGGCTTGCTTGACTATCACTTTACCTTCACTTAGGAAACGGTTCTCGAAAATGTCATATATAATCTGCGTTTTTTTGTTTAAAACACTCTGCGAACGAAGTTAGTTCCATGTCCGAGTCCTGATATTGCGGTATGTTTATGCCATGTGAAGCCTCAATGTTTCTCGTGTGAGAGAGAACCCGGGCTGAAATCGCCGGCCCCCCTTTTCGCCCGACCAGGAGTTGATAGACACATGCATCCTGTTCAAGCCTCTCAGGGCTGCAAGCAAACACTTCTTGATCTGCGTGTATCCCTTCTTCCTGTTGCGGCCAGTTCAACCTCCTCGTAAAGCGTGGTAGTAAAGAACCCCGGGTGACTATTGACATGAGGCATACGTCGCTGTAGCTTGTAGACTCTCACTACTGATTCCATCCTCACTTGTTTCCATTTCTCAAGACAAGCACGGTGAACAAGTTGAGCAAGCATCATTACCTCCATGACAATCCTGTTTGCTTTTCAAAGGCCAGTGCTTACATTTGATGTTTCGGCCTTGCTCCCCCCCGGTCAAACATCTTTTGAGTAGTACGTTCATCTGACAACAAGTAAGAGCATGGAGTCATATTCTCGCTTGCCCTCACCTTTACGGATAAAGAAGATAATATTTCCAACTCCTACTGACCGTCTCGTGACAGAACCCCGCTTGTCCTTAAAGCATTCTTCATCAGAGACTTACCATCACCGTTGAGAATGTTCATAAGAAGGACGATCCAATCTGTCACATCCTGTCCCCCTGTAAATCCAACCATCTATTCTGTAAAGCCGGAGCCACAGGGAGGTTTGAATTTCGAGCCCACACGCTCATAGATGAGGGTGCATGGCACCGCTTCCTTTACCATATATTGGGCCGGAATGGGGCCTAAGACCTAGCATAACCCTTCGCGCCCCTCTGGGCATCCAAGCAAACGTTGCTCACCCCCTCTCTCGCCGCAACGTCGACCGCGGGGCCGTAGGGGGGATAGTGGTCGGCTGCCTCATCCTCGGCGTCCTCCTCCTAGCCGTCGCAGGCTCTTGCTTCCAGCACGACTGCGACTGCAGTTCCCGACCGCCCTCCTCGTCGGGAGCAGCAGGGCACAAAATAAAGAATCACCGTCTCGGGGGGGAGAACCATTACCACGGCCGATACCAACTTCCCTCGAAGCCAAGACACGTCCGCACACGTAAGCACCGCCGCAGAACAGGCACCAGACAAGAAAGAACAACAGTCCGAGTTCCCTTCCTCGACGTTCTGCCAGTGGACCATCCCACACCCAGCACCATCCCTTCCCGTCACCCAGAGATCATCGTCGTTAACGAACCGGAACCGTCCCTCGCCCACCCGCACCCGCTGGAAGAGACGATTCACGTGCGGGATTTCGCCGCAGAACCAACTATCGGAGAAGAGACATTACACGTGGACGACGTCGCTCCCACGGCATCGGGCGGATATGTGCTCGTCGACGCGGTACAGCCGCCGGAGTTGATGATCCCCTGGCCTGCGCCAAAAGAGCACAGACCGAAGGTTAGACAGAAGAAAAAAGATAGGGGTGGGGGTTGTTGCTTTGAGCTTTGCGATCTTCTTTGCGGACCTAGCAAGAAGAAGAAGACCAAGAAAAAGAAGCGACGGAGTGTCAAAGAGAAGCTGGTTGAGGAGGACAGTATGAGTGGTGTGTAGGTCACGCCACGCGTCTAGTGAAACAAGTTGAATGCAAGGTGATCACTGATCACTGGCCCTGGATGAGGGAGTCGGGAATACTTTTCGTCAGTCTGTCTAGATGAATCTCTTACCCTTACGTGGTGACGTCCGAGAGACGGAGCCAATGATAGAATGAAAAGATAGCCATGCTGGATCACCATCAGATGGACCACGACAAGACATAGAAGGCCTGTACACACAGTAAAGCCGCCCCGACGTTCATATCCAGGGAGGCAGAATGTCTAGGTCTACTTTTCTACCCGTATTAGTTATCTTTAGTCATCTTGTCCTTCCAACACTTCCCCATGTACGCACTCTTCAGCCTCATGATATATACATAGATGCTTATTATATATGTGTTGGACTTGGCAACGACTCCTGTCCGGTGTCGGGTATCCAAATTATGTTCGACGGGGTATTCGTAAGGCGGCTGCTCTACCGTGGCGTAGCTTCATAACCAAGGAGTTCCTTGATATCCTCAATCCTCTGCAGTTTCTTCTCCTCATCATTCATCATGCCGAGAGACGTTGCCCTGTAGAAAAACGGAGTCAGTCAGTGCAAAAAGTAAAGCAAAAGAAAAGGACAGAGGGATAATTAGTAGAAAACGCACAGAAACTTCTTCCGCTCCTGCACCCGGAGCATCCTCTCTTCCACGCTCGCCTTCACAATAAACCGATACACCTTCACCTCCTCATCCTGCCCCATGCGGTGGACGCGGTCAATCGCCTGCGCCTCCACAGCGAAGCTCCACCACGGATCCATCATGAACACGCGCTTGGCCGACGTCAGGTTGAGCCCCACGCCCCCCGCGCGGAGGGAGATGAGCAGCACCGTGAAGCCCCTGGCCTCCTGAAACTCAGCCAGCACCGCCGCGCGCGCCTTCTGCGCCATCGTCCCGTCCAGCCGCAGGAACCCGACCCCCGCCTTCTCCAGCGCCGGCTCGATGAGCGACAGGAACGACGTGAACTGGCTGAAGACGACCGACTTCATGTGCGGGTGCTCCCGCCGCAGGTCGCGGAGCCCCTGGATCAGCGCCACCACCTTGGCCGACGACTGCTGCGTCCCGCCCCCCGCCACCCGCTGCAGGCTGATCTTGGGCTTCTGGAACATGTCCAGCACGTCGTCGTACCGGACCACCTCGAACAGGTCGCGGTAGTTGACCACCGCCCGGCAGTTGGGGCACGTCGGCACCTTCCCCCTGTCCGTCTGGTGTTTCATAAAGTCCAGCAGGCACTTCTTGCAGGCCGAGTGCCAGCACCCCCCCGTGACCGTCTGTTCGACCATTGGCTCCTCGGTGCAGATCGGGCACTCGCTCGCGGCCTCGTCCCGGATCTGGCTCAGCACGTGGGCGCCAAACGTGTTGGGATTCGTCTCGGAATCCGACGTGGTGGCGGAGAATTGCTCGATGAGGACGTTGAGGTCCATGTCGTCCGCCAAACCGGCTGCCCGGTCCGCCGCTGCACTTGCCTCTTCTTCCTCTGCGACGATGTCACGATTGCGGACGAGAATCGGGTGACAGCAGGTCTGTCTCAGCCGCAAGATCTGCGCGAAAATGCTCGTGAAAGCCTTCATGACTGTACCGGCCTCCATGTTCTTGGAGAATGTCTGCTTCGCTCGGAGGAAGATGTAGTCATAGATCTCGCGTTCGGTCTCTCCGAGCTCCACCTCCACGATCTCCACCGATTTTGGGGGGAGGGGAACCAGTCTTGTGAAAGGGGGGTAGTGTCAGCAACGTTTCCATGGCATAATACCTCACACACACACAGAGAGAATGACTCACGGCTCTCCATCCGGCGTCTTCATCTCCTTGGTCCGTCTCAGCACCAGGGGCTCCAATACGGTCTGGACCACATCGAGGGCTCGCACAAAGTTCTTCGACTCGAACGGGACGGTGATGAAGGTCTTCCAGAAAGAAAAGTTGTTCCAAGGCTCCACGCGGAGGAAACGGACAAGACTGAACAGGTCCTCCAGCCTGTTCACGATGGGCGTGCCGGTCAACACCCAGCGATGCTCGGCACTAATCTCGTAGCACGCCTTTGCGGTCTTGGACAGCCTGTTCTTGATGTGGTGACCCTCGTCGAGGATGACGCGGAAGAACTCGAGGCTGAAGATGCCCGTGTGGGACGACCGGTCGCCTTTCCTTGCGACGACCTGCGTGAATTCGGACAGGACGACCCCATAGCTGGTGATGACGACGTCGGGAGCTGAAGCAGCGTTCGCTTCGCAGCACAGGGCTTGCAGGTTCGAGTTGGCCTTTTCCAAGCCGTAGTATACCATGACCTTGAGCGTGCCCTCCTTGGACGCCTTCTCGGCCTCGCTCTGCCACTGCGAGAGCAGCGACATGGGGGCAATGACAAGGGTCGTGCAGGGGGCACGCAGGACGTGCGATGCGTGGTGGGATAGACGAGGGAGATCGTTCACCGAGATGGCGTTGCCGTTCAGTCTCTTGGCGCCCAGGGCGACGTCGGATCGGTGGGAATGGATCAAACTCAGCATCTGGATCGTCTTCCCGAGACCCATCTCATCAGCAAGGATACCACCGAGACAATGCTGCTCCTGGACGGGGAATTCGAGCGAGAGATCGCCCGAGTAGGGGTTGATGTAGAAGTGAGTTTGATCTTGAACAACAGGCAAGGGGTTATCGTCGACGTCCTTCGTAGGCCAAGCGTACTCCTCCCAAAGGGGATGCATGCTGGGTTCCCGGCTGCTCTTGAGGTCTTTTTCTTTGGTCATCATCCAGTGGAGAGCCTGCCTCTGGTAAGGCCGGAGCGTCATGGCAAAAGTGTCGGCGGGCTCTGCCTCTGGCGTGCTAAAGTCGAAGGATTGGGCTTTTTGGTACAGCGCGTCGAGTTGGTCCTGCTCCAGCTCTTCCCCATCCTCATCAACGTCCTCCGAAGGCGGAGACGAGGTGGGATCTTTGGAGGCAGGCAGCGGCTCCTTTTCCTTTTCCTTTTCCCTTTCCCTTTCCCTTTCCGCCTTGGTCTTGTCGTCGCGCTCGGCCGCTTTCACCAGCCCTTGACGTTGCTCTTTCGATGACGCGCTATTCGATCGGGTCGGGTCAAGGTTGACTTCCTGCAGCAGCCTCACCAAGGCCACTTGCCTCAGCCGAAGGTTTTTCTCTTCGGAAGATTCCTCCTTTTCGAAGAGTGCCAGGGTCCGATTCGAATCCGACACGTGGAACGCTTGTGTCTCGAAGGCCGATGCGAGCAGGTAGCATCGCAGCTGGATGAAGATGGTGTCGTTGGTCCGTAGACGTTCAGGGGCGTAGACGCAGGTTCCTTCGAACCTGCAGAGCTTCTGGTCTATGAGCGTCGAAACCCAGTTGGCCGTGTCCTTGGCCAGCCTCCCAATCTCCGTCCCGTCCTTGTTGGTGAATCGGACGAGGACATCGACGCGCCGGGAAGCAGCAGGGCTCGGTCGCTGAGGGGCCACCGCCACGCCAAGCTTGGCCGTGACCCGGGGAGGCTTCGGCGGTTGGATCTTTTGTCTTTCGATCTTGACCACGTCTCCGTGTTTCAGTAGGTTGCTACCACTGCGCGTGGCCCATCCTTCGACTCCAAAGGCGCCAACGTAGCGTGTTTCGGGCATTGAACGACGAATAGCGGGTTTCGGTGTATCTTGGTCCGACGACTCTCCCATCGAGATAGTATTTGGAGGGGTCGCACAAGCCGCGGGCCGAGCATAAGAGTTCAACGATGGGGCCTTCTTCTTGAGCTTTTTCCAAGTGCCGTCGAAGTACATGTTGACAGCTCTCTCCAGGTTATTCCCGCAGTTATTTTTGACGATGTCCAACATTTCGGGGTCCACCTTGCATCCCACGAAGCTCTCGAACAAATGATTATCAAAGCCCATGGGTGTCTCGTCGTCGCGTTTGATGTTGGGTTCCCGGGGCGGTGCTCGGCTGGATGGGTGGTGGACCGACCTTTTCGCTAATGATCCGCGAGCCGGTGCAGGAGACGACGGATAGCCCCGCTCATCTTCGGTCTTGAGCTGAGAGGAATTCTGGTGTGTAGATGGCGTGGGCAACGCAGGACTGGAGGGGTGGCTAGTCGCTTGGTCTGCGTCTGCGTCTGCGTTGGAAAAGAATCGTCTCCTTTTGGCTGGCGGTTCAGAGAAGTCTGGGCCTTCCATGGTGCTTCCTTAGTTTTCGAATTCCGTACTGAAAAGAGAAAAAAAAAAGAAAAGAGAAAAAAGACCCGTCGTTTGACCCAGACTTGGTTGTCAAAAGATTGAGCCGGGAGTTGAAAGTTCCAGGTTCTCTTTTTCGGGAGACGCGAATCAATTCATTGAAGGCGCGACTGACCACTCGATTCGCGTCGGGTGATCATGTGACCACGCATCGACCACAATTTATGGATCCTTACGTCATAACTCAATAATGAAATAATACGGTATGGTTAATGAATTAATACGGTAGATACATCGGTCCTCGGTACATCGACATTTTCTCTCGCGTCGCGATTCTCCAAGGGACCAAAGTCAAGACTCCCGTCAGACGGCACCTCTCAACCGCTCATTAAAGTCCCGGTTGATATATTCTAGACATGGGGGCGTATTTGAAACCTGCTTCCTGAATGTATCGCCCACGACTTGTGAGCCATGGCCTGCGAAGGCTCCCACAGGCCCCCCGGCTGGGGATAAGAGCAAGAGGCATCGTCACCGACGCAGACGCCGACAAGGCGAGGAACTACTGCCTGTCGCACGTGAAGTAAGCCAACCCACGCTTCTAATTCCCTGCCATGGTGGTCCTCTTCCCTCTTCCCCTCCTCCCTCTTCATAACTAACGAGAAAACCCCAGACAAGGCGACTATGACGGCTACCTCATCCAACGCTTCGTCCCCTCCCGCGTCCGAGACACCTACCTCGCCCTCCGCGCCCTCAACCTCGAACTCGTCCGTCTCCCCGACATCGTCTCCAACCCGACCATAGGCCACATGCGCATGCAGTTCTGGCGCGAATCCATCGACAAGACCTTCGCCGGCGCCCCGCCCTCCGAACCCATCTGCATCCTCCTCCACCAAGCCCTCGAAGGGCTCCGCGCCCGCAGCCCCTCCGGCGCCACCGCCTCCTCCGTCAAGTTCTGGATCCAGCGCTTCATCAAGACCAGGCAGCGCCACATGGACAACCGCCCCTTCGCCTCCCTCGCCAGCCTGGAGGACTACGGCGAGCAGACCTACGCGACCCTCATGTACGCCACCCTGGCCGCCCTGCCCATCAACTCCATGCACATGGACCACCTGGCCAGCCACGTCGGCAAGGCCCACGGCATCGTCGCCGTCCTGCGCGGCATCCCCGTCCTCGCCGCCCCGCAACAGGCCGTCCGATCCCCCGACGGTGCCACCCAGGTCGGCCGCGGCAGGGACCCCGTCCTCCTCCTCCCGCTGGACGTCATGGCCGACGCGAACGTCCGGGAGGAGGACGTGTTCCGACAGGGTCCCGGCGCGGAAGGGTTCCAGGACGCCGTCTTCACCGTCGCCACGCGGGCCAACGATCACCTCATCACCGCCCGGGACATGTTGAAGAAGCTGAAAGCCGGGGAGGGCCCGGGACACGACTTCGAGCACCAGGCCGAGGCGGGTCACGTCTACGACCACGAAACCGACGTTGCGCGGGATATACGGCGCGGGTTTGGGCTACTGTTGGAAGCTGTCCCTGCCCAGGAGTATCTCGCTAATCTGGAGGGCTGTAATTTCAACCCTTTTGCCGTCAGGCCGGGTTGGAAGCTCCCGTGGCGGATATGGCAGGCATTGAGGAAGGAGCAGATATAAAGGCGACGACCACTTGATCGCCCGGTACACTCGTTTACGGCCGGAGGCTTGAAGATCCGGGCAAAGTCTTTCGGTTGAAGATTAGGTTGCATTGGCGCCATCTCTTTGGACCCCCAAGGGACCGATATCCCTTGAGATGTAAAATATCGACCACAAGCTCACGAATAACCTCACATACCTGGTTCAATAAACTTCGGGGTTTACGCTCCAAATTTCCAATGCATGTTGTGTATGCTTCGAGCAAAGTATAAACTCTTCACACTATATATCCCAAGTCATGCCGGTTTCCGATGATGCACCCGTGCTCACCCCCGATTCCCCGACATCATCCCCCCCACCGCGCATCTCTTCAGCCACAGCCTCCTGCCACCCCTCACCGCCCGTCCTCATGACATGATGAGGATTCAGACGAGCCCGAAAATGGCTTTCGCGCCTCAAGGCCGACAGCCCCTCTCCGGCAGACAAGGCCACCCTCGTGCGTCTCGTCTTCTTTCCAGGCCGCCCCCCTTCGCTGAGGAGGCCACTCTGTCGCCTGCGTTCCTCCGCCAAGCACCGCTCGTGCGCGAGGATCCCACGCACGTACGGCGCGACGTCGAGGGAGATGAGCTCCAAAGTGCGGTCGAACACGGACGGGTCGAGGTAGGACGAGGGTAGGAGCGCTTGTCGATCCGACGCCGCGATGGGGCCGAACGCGAGGCTCATGTCGCGGCGCGTCACCGAGTCGTTTTCCGTGGCCGAGGCCAGGCGGGCACGTATCTTGCTGACGGCAATGGGCTCCTCGAGCGGCTGCATCGAGACCGGCACGGGCCAGCCCCGTGATTCGTGTACGCTCGGAACAAGGCGCCGGGCCTGTGACTTGAGACACAAAGCCGTCGAGGTGCTGGTATGATCGTAGTCGGCGAGGACGGGCGTCTCGAGGAGTTTGCACCCGACCACGTAGTCGTCTCGCGTCTTTGCAGGAATCGCCGGCTGCGTAGGGTCGAGGCTCTCCTCCCAACCGACTCCGAAGCGGCCGTTCGAATACAGATCGGCTGTACTTAGCGCGTCGGAGAATTCGTCGTACAGGTCTAGGGCCGCGATCCTACCGTAGGCAGAGCCAGTTTCCTTCTCCAAGCCACCAACCCATGCTGCCATGTCGGTCGTATTGTGCCAGTCGCCGAGATCGATGTAGAAGCCGCTCCAGCACTGTGACATGAGTTCTACCTCAGTTCCCGGAGACGACAACGGCCGTGTGGTGGAATCGCGACCAAGCCACCCCATGCCTTCCAGATAGGTGTCTTCGCTAATGACCCGCACGACATGACCGTTTTCGTCACGGTCACACCCCCTAGGCCAACGCGGATAGAACCAGTCAATGCCACCGCGCCTGTCGCCAATGCCTAGCTGGCACCAGTAATTGAGCTCCATCAAGGATGCTCGGAAGTCCCCCGATCTGGATTGGAGGAGCGCCTTCACGGGCGACCTGTGTAAGGCGTGACCCTCGTTTGCGGCGATGAGCAATAACAGATCAACGGCAAGATGCTCGGGCGGCGGACTGAAGCGAAAGATGCCGTACAGATTGAGGCTCTGGACGGGGATGAGACTCTCGTCATTACAGGTCAGGATGAAGGGACGCTTGGACTGGACGATGAGCGTCATGATGGTTGTCCAGAACTGCTTGTCCTCTTCATAGAGGACGTCGGCTTCTTCGAGAAGGATCAGAGATTGTTTCTGGGCCTTGGGTTGTGTAGGTTTCGACGCGTCCGTCTCCCTCTGCTTCGGTGGTGGTGAGGGCGGCAGCGGCGTGCGCACAGGTTCAGACCCGACAGCGCTTGGAGCCGTCTTGGCGGTAGCCTTTGGCTTGAAGAAGGACATGACGGAGCCCTGCTTGCCAGATTTGACTTCTTTTGCCGTCTCGTCCTCCGTGCCAGTGCCCGCGTCTGTCTCGGTCCCGTCGCCAGATTTGCCATCTTCCCGGTGACGGTGACGGTGACGCTGCACAAGATGGTTGCGCGTCATGTCTCCGACCTTCTCCAAGACGTCTTTCCCGCTGCGACGGCTGCTGGCGTTGATTTCGAAGATCTCGAACCCGAGCTCCTTGGCCACGGCATAGACGGTCGCAGTCTTCCCAGAGCCGTGGGGTCCACTGACCAGGGCAACGTTGGATAGTCGAATGGATTCCTTGGAGTTCTTGGGGATGATTCCACCATTCTGAACAACGGTCTGCTTGGGGCCTACGCTGTCCTCGGGGTCCGTGATCTCATCCAGGTCGTTACTCTCCTCGTCGCTCGAGACGACAAACCCGTCCAGTTTGGCTCGCTTTCGCTTCTTTTTCGACGCCGAAACGCGCTTCGCCTTCCCGGGCTTCTGATCAGCTGGACTGTTGCCTGTATCAACGGATTGCACCTTGAGTGCTTCGAGCCAGTTTCGGAGAAGATGCGCTTCTCGGCCGCTTTGAAGAACCTCGTCTGCTGTTTCCGGCGCGTATTTATGAGCCCAAAGGAGGTCCTCGCACTCGGACTTGTCGAAGGCCGAGAGATGGGTGGCAAGGGACTTGTACAAACGAGCGACTGCGGCGTGGGGTTTAGGGGCAGTGGCTGTGGCTGTGGCTGTGACGATGTCATCATCGCTGTCGCTGTCGACTTCTTGGTCATCTTGCAAGAGGGGAGTCCGTAACTCCGGTCGGACACGTTTCTGCAACTTGGGACCGCTTTCGAAGTGTTTTCGGGGTAGGCGTAGCTCGGGGGGAGGAGGGTCGAAGCCATCGCTGGTGGTGTTGATAGAGTTGAGGATACGACGAACGTCCAATGCGTGGCGCAAGTGAGACATGATGGACTCTTCTTGTGCTATGTTCGTGGCCCGACCTTTTGATTTCTTCAAAGACCCGTCCGAGAACCGGGGCGTGACGGTAGAAGCCCGTGGCGTTTCTGGATGCCCCGTGATATGCACTGCTCCCTTCCACGGCCAGGCAGGGTGTGTGGCGCCTGGTACCTTGAGACCCATTAATTTCATGCCGAAATGTGGGAAGTTGGGTCTCTTCAAAACCGGGCGACTTTTCTTGGGAGAGCATGGTGTGGATGAGAAGATGATTTGGCGTGGAGGCTTCGCCTTCTTCCGGGAGTTAGACGCAACTCCTTCGGTAGGAGCAACCGTTTTTGCTTCGTCGCCCTCCGGTATGGGCTGTTGCTTACCCTTCGCGTCTTTGTCTTTCTCGTCAGCGACCTTCTTCGCCCGGGACCGCTTCTTAGGTAAGGTCGGGTTCGGGGTTGACGCGAGGATGTTATTGATTTGTTCGGCAATTCTCTCTCGTGATTCGCGGTCGTGACCGAACCGATAGGTTACGATGAATGTGGCTTGTTTATTCTTCGAAGTTGGTTTCCTTTTCGGTCTCGGTGTGTGGATGGCTGGGGGTCTAGACTTGGGAGGAGATCCAAACGTGCCCGTCTTGGGATTCAGCTTAAGAATCTTCTTCGGTTGAGACTCGTTCGGTTGTGCCGAAGACGCAACTCCCTCGATATTGGACGTCTGCGACTGAGGAGGGCCAACCACGGCCAGAGGAGAGACGGGAGGTTTCGCTGGCGGAGTGACCGTCACTTCGGAGTCCGGGGGACCTTGAGTGGCTGGAGGGATTGAGTCAGATTCGGGCCCAATGGGTTTGACGAGATGATCGAGTATGGAAGGCCCGAGAGAAGACGCGGCTTTCCTCTTGGTATTTTGGCGTTTCTTGGACCCCGGCGTGTCTGTACCATGAGCAGTACTCGGATCCAGGTCGGTTTTCTGGCGCTTTCTCCTAGGGCCTTCCCGCTCGCCGCCATTGCCGGGCTGGCTGACGTGATTGTTGTCAACCTCGCCTTGTTGCCTTCCATGACTTATAGGGTCAACTTCCTGAGCTGGTTTCGAGTCGGATGATCCGTTTTGTGCAGCCGAAAAGAAAGGATGAAGCTTCTTCGAGTCGGCCAGGCCGTCTTGAGGCATACTGGCCACAAGTGTTCCCATGGGTTCGAGTGGGAGCTGACGGCTGCCACTATGGTATTAAGAGTCCACGCTAACTCTTCCGGGCATGTTAGCAGGCCAGCGAGCCAGAGGTTTTCCAATGCGTCGATTGTAAAGGTATAAAGGAATACAGAAATAACCAAGGGGCTTAGCAGAATGCCAAAGAATATCCCTGGTGCCGGAGTTGAGCGAACTTGGCTCTCGTAGCGGGAGGGAGGTTGGAGATGTCAAGTCGCGTAAAGGGAAGAAGTAATTAAGTACGTACCTTATTAAAGCGCGTACAACTGTACGTCAGTGAGGATATCGAGGCGTGTACCGCGACTGCCAAGATCAGGTACTTAACGCCCCACTTCCTAGGTACCTTACATATCAAATTTGCATTATCTTATCGCTGCCATCGGAGCCGAGAAAATGTTATTCCGACTAAAGCCATCCAATACAGGCATAGAAAGATCCTGCACTGTATTGTTACCTATTTTCCGTGCCTGTCTCACAGTGTAGACTCGCATGTCTGATACTTTGGTGCCCCACTGTCCATTGGTTTCGCACCTTTTTTTTTTATCTTCCTTTTTCGAATTGAAGCTATCACCATCACCTCAAGTCTTGTTGCAGGAATATTCGCTGCCAACAAATAAATTCTACCTCGATAGGATCCCTTAAAGCGACAGGGAATCCTTTCAGGATCTCCTCTTTGTTGAATGCCTTTTGTGACTCGGCTCCGAGTCCCTAGTTCGCATCATGGCTCCGACTTTTCGCATCCACAAGCCTGATGTCCTGGCAACGCTCCCCCGGCCCTTGGGCCAGTCAAAGGGCCGATATCATGCCGGAGAGGTCTACGTTCAACAACCGGGCTCAAAGAAGCGCAAGAGGTTGGAAGTTGCCGTGGGCGTCGACGGAGAAGCGGCCAACATCTATCATGTCCGTCAACGACTTTCTCCCCGACCTTGACCGTGACGTTTTCTTATGCTAATGGGCTCGTTATTCTTAGATTCCTTCTTCTGACTTGAGGACATCCTATCCTATCCCCCCGCAAGAGTCGTTTACTTGTGCGCCCTACTCAATTCGATACCAACAGCCAGCCAACAGCGAACGTCAACAGTACACGTATCTTTCGACGAGCGATTCTTCCGGCTTCAAGATGACCCTTTGCAAAGACGTCGTCAACTCGGCCGGCAAAACCACATCTACCACAAAGTCTCGCCGGTTAAGTCACAAGGCGCCCGTGGCGCGTCTGTTCACATCGAGTTGTGCTGTTGCCTCCGCTGCCGCGGGGTCGGTCACCCAGAGTTCCGACTGTAGCGACGTCCTCGCCGTGTGCCAAGATGGCCAGGTCCTGTGCCTAGATGGTGCCGGGTTGGACGAGCAATGGAGCGTCTCGTCGTACAGCCTGTGCAAGGATCTCCTGCCGCCCTCCACGTCCGGATTTACAGTCGACTCCGTCTTCCATGCGTCGGCTGTAGAAGTCCTCAAGGGCATCTTCGAGGGAAGGCAAGATGCGTTTGGTTCTTTCGGCCAGCCCGTCGACGCGGAGACTTTCAACCCCGACGTACTCGTGCTCGTCGTCGGCAGTCAATCTCACGTTCAAGGTCCGTCTGACAGATACCTGGTGCTACTGGGCGCTGTTCCGCAGAGTGCCACGGCCCGGTCTTCCCAGCAAGCTCTCGTCCAGCTTCACGTTGCGCCTCTCCCCCGACACGACGGCCTTTCCGGCAAACAAGCGCCGACCTACCACCTTCAAGTTCGATCCGGGAAGCTGTTCGAGCTCTCCGACGGTACGATCCGGACATACCGCCTAACAGGTGCGTTGCCGAGGATACAGGACGTCGTCCTCGTATCGGAAGCCTCGTCCTTCGTACCTTTGTCCGAACACTGTGTTTTGTCCCTCTCGCCGAGCATGCTCACCGTCGCCAACGTCACATACCACTCCATCCAAGCACGGGCCCCTGTCACCCTGGACGGCGGCCGAGGCGGTGCAGAATTCATGCTTCTTACTTATCTGACGAAACTCGACCTCGCCATTGCCATCGTGAACAATACGCTGCTCTCCATTCAAGTCGAGCGACACGGGTCGTCGCACAAGGAAGGTCTTCTCATCGATGCGATAGGAAAGGGACTTTCGAAGGCCGACGACCTTCCTGAAAGCTTGCCTCCGCTTCGTGGGAAAGGACCTTTCAAGAGCTTCATCCCCGGCACCTTGACCGATTCGTACGTCAAGCAGTCTCTTGTGGAAGTGGAGAAGCTGGATGAGTACCTGGCGCAAAATGATCTTAAGGAGTTTGAGCGCCTTCTTGCTTCCAAACTTGGTGTGGCCATTGAGGAGAGCTCGGCCGAGGCAGTGGCCGTGAATGGAGTCGCCGGCAGAAACGACGAGGACTTGGCCACACCAGACTGGAAATGGCTGGAGCGCGCGAATTCCTACCCGGCCGTCGATCGTCGGTGGGTTCTCTACGCGATCAGCAGGGTCTTTTCCATCCATGTGGGCGACTCTAGCAGCACGGGCGCGGCCGCCACCGCCGCCGCCGCCGACGGGCCATCGCTGGAATGCTCCCTGCCGGAAAGCAACGTCCTCCTCTACCTCATCGTTGCCGGCCATCTTACCCTGTCCAACATCACGGCGGCTTTCAAGCATGAGCTTAGCGAGACCCATGTCCCGAAGGAGGCCCTGGCCGACGAGTTGGTCCGGCAGCTCATCGAAATCGACCCAGCCCTGGAGCTCCTCCTGAGCTACGTCTCGGCGACCAAGCTGGGCGAGGCGGGGCTCCTGCTCATCGTCCGCACGATCATGCAGAGCCTCGACCACCAACCCCGGCTCGCGCCGGCGGTGCCGAACGGGACGAACGGGACGAACGGGACGAGCGGGACGAAGGAGGAGGAAGACTACGTGGCCATGGAGATCGACCAGCTGGAGCACGAGCTCGAGCTCGCCGAGTACAACCTGGGCGACAACTCCGACGTGCGGGCGCGGCTGCTCACCATGGCGTTCGAGAGGCTCGTGGGCTATTCCCCGGCCGCCACCGTCCGCGCCCTCCGCGCGTCCTTCGGCACGGCCGAGATCCTCTCGCTCATCCACCTCCTGCGCATCCAGCTGGTCGGCAGCGCCTGGACAACGCGGTACTCGGAGCTCACGAGCCTCGACCAAGACGACGGGGCCAAGGCGCCCCCCGACGGGGCCATCGCGCTGATCGCCGAGCTGCTGGCGCGGTGCGTCGACGCCGTCGGACCGAATGGATGGCTTTCGAGCGGTTCCGGCTCCGGGTCCGGGTCGTCGTCCTCGGCGGCGGGGGCGGGGGCGGGGGATCACTGGGACGGGGGCCACTTCCTCGCGGCGCTCAAGCTCGAGGTCAGCGCTGCGCTCGAAGGGCTCAACGATGCCGTGCACCTCAACGGGATCCTGGGGGAGGCGGTCAGGTTCGGCACGTTGTCGTTGGCGAGCGGCGGCGGCGCGGCGGGTCGCGGCGTGGCGGTGGCGGCGGCGGCGGCGAGGGGGGGCCAGGACCGGCCGAAGACGCTCGAAGTCGGGACGTCGGCGCAGCTGCCGCTTGGGCTCACGCCGAAACAGGCGGTGACGCAGTTCAAGGTGGTCTCGGGCGGCGAAGTTGTGGAGAGGTCAGCAAGAGAAAAGGGGCATCTGTTGAGTCAGAGGGTCAAGGAGTATTCGTTGGAAAAGGTGGCGGTTTGAGGCGTTTGAGCCTCCGAGGGTTCAAGTGGATGCATGCATGTGTGGTGTGGAGAGTCAATAGCGGCGCTTAGGATATGTTCATGTTTGAATTGTCAGCCGGGCTTGGTTCGGAATCACGGCTGCGGCGATTTCATCACCGGAGAGCCGTAGCCTGGTAAGGGTTCACGTCAATACGAACATGAAGGCACAGTACAATGCCAGTCAGCCATCATACCACATCACATCAAATCATCTCAGCGTATTCAGTCTGTGTTCTATCCTCTCTCGTAAGCCAGCACTTGGGCTTTGATGCCATCAGCCTTTGAAGCAAAAGAATGGGGTCCCCCGGCATTCCTCATCCGGCGCCCGAGGACAACCCTTTCGTAGCAAGGCATTCAACAAGCGGGTAGCCACATAGACGAGAACGGAATAGTGCTACAAAACGCCTTGCAGACCCGGTGGAAACAATGTCAGACAAGGCTTGGTCATTAAAAGAAACATGAAGCGACTGATGCAGGCTGGATTCGAACAGCCAAGCAGAACACTTTGTCGCCCACCCACCCGTTCAGTCCAGATGCGGCCTGCCGTCTTTGCGAACCAGTGGAACCACTATTCGGATAAAATACAAGGCGGACCATGCAATACCAAGAGCTTTGTGTCTGGGTCAAGTATTTTGATCGGCGTATTGTCGGGGTACGGAGCACAAGCCGGACAGACGGGGCCGGACCGGAGTGGCCGGATACGAATTATCTTCCACCCCGCAACGAGTCTCTTCTAGGAATCATGAAGAACGGATAAAAGTAAAGAAAAAAGGACCACAAAGGTCAGCCAGGGTCAGAGGCCGAGGAACCAGTTTGCCGTTGCGGCGGAACAGCCTCGGAGCCAGCCGAAAGGCCACATGGGGCGCCTCTTGGCTTGAAGGAAACGAGAGGCGCAAAGCTTATTACTTGCAATGGAGCGGACATGTCGGTTTCGTCGTCCATATGAACTGGGCAACTGGCGGACTTTGGAGACTCGAAAGGCGCACCGGGGCAGGGGGCAGGGTGCAGGGCCAGGGGTCAGGGGACAGGGGTGGACGGGCACAAAGGGAACCAAAGGCCGCACGCACAGCCTGCGTCCAGGGCCACCAGGGCGGCTCTCTACGGTGATCTCACCCAGCTAATAGTGTATTAATAATGGAATGGTCAACCCCCCTGACACCCTCTTTATCCAGAAGCGTGCTAGCCCATCTCATCTTAGTTGCTGCCGACGTCACAGTCCCCGCCGTCACAGTCCCCGTTCCTTGGAGCCCCTCAAGGCCCTCAAGGCTCGAGCTCCTCGAGTCCCTTCAACTTGGGACCAGGTTCCGTCTCTCTATGGGCCTATAGGGATCACCCATAGGGTAACATCACAAGACTTTGTGTACGCGTGACGAAGGATGAAAGGGGGGCAAAGGGGGCAAAAGGGGCAAAAGGGGCAAAAGGGCAAAACGAAGGGCCTCGTTCTCACCTGGTCCGCCTGCGCCTCTTTTACCTTTGCTTCTACTCTGTAACTTTTCCTAGCAAAAGACCTGCCATGTCAACCTTGCCCCAGTTGATGACTGTCGACCGACGCCACGCACCTTCCTCTCACGCCTCATCCTTTCCCGGACCCCATCTTTCGTCCAGCCAGCCGCTTGAATCCTCCTTTGCGCCTCTATTCGTCGCCTCGGATGCGAACCATTTTTTTATTTTTATTTTTTTTGGCCCCTTGAGCCTCATCTGTGTAGTGCTTACCTCTTGACCCTACTGGGGACACCCTACTACTTCGCAGCAGAGACTCTCTCTCGGGGTTTCGTCTCGCTCTCGCCATTCACTATACTTCAGCATCCAGAAGATCGGAGAAGAAATCCACTCGACGTATTCAGCACCACTGAACAAAATCACACGGTGCACCACTACAGGGATGAGTGACAGCACGTCCGTTGCCCACATGCAGCTCAAGGAGGTCGACGACTTCGCGCGAGCCCTATACCGCCGCGCGAAATCAGCCGGCCCCGACCTAGATGACGTCGCCTCCGCCGTCCGGACCCTCCACGGCGCCCTCAAGCATCTCAAAGCCGAAGCCGAGGACGTCGACTCGCTCCTCAACTCCGACCAGTCCGCCGTCTACCAGCGAGAGCTAACCCTCATCGTCGAAGACTCCGACTTTACCCTCCGCCAGCTCGACGCCGTTCTCCAGCGCCACGATGCCGACGCCGACGCCAACGCCGACGCCGACGCCAACCGGGAACGTAGCATGGTCGCTCTGATCCAAACCAAGCTGAACGACCAGAGGACCCGCATCGACATGTTCTTGGACACAGTGCAGCTCCCGAACCCCAGCAAGACCCAGATGGTCGCCGACGTTGCGAACGGGGCCAACGGCCACAGGAGGAACAGGAATATGGAAGAAGACGGCGCCGTTCTCGACGCCATCAAGGACAAGGTGGATGCCGTCGCCACCCGCGTCTTCAAACGGCGTCACGGCGACAGCAGCCTCGAGAGCGACGAGGAGAGATGGCGAGAGTTCCGCCAAGAGCTCGAGAAGGAGGGTTTCGCGAGAGAAATCCTGGGTCAACACAAGGACGTACTCCGTGCCTACATCCGCGAGCTCGAGTCCAGTGCCGACGGCTCCGGTCCTCCGCCTTCCGTCCGCGGTCTTCTCGAACAAGAACGAGAAAGAGGGCAAGCAAGACTGCAGCCGCGCAACCTCACCCTGGCCCCTCCCATCCCCTACCGGCACCAAGACGATCACAGCAAAAAGGAGGTGGTGAACCCGCACTTCGAGAACGACAAGTACGGCCCCGACATGAAGACCATGCGCCGCATGCCGGAACAGCGACCTCCCAGTATTCCCAGCTCCCCCAGCCTACATCTCAACCCACCCGCCTTGCCCGCCCAGAGCAGCGTCTTGTCGTATGACAGGCGCTCGTCCGAGGGCGAAGACGACGATGGCCAAACGAAGACCCCGGATGCTCTCGCCCTCACCCTCATCTCCACTCGCGACCTCATGATCAGCGATAACCTCGTCCTCGCCCCGCACATGGGCGCCCTACAACTTCAGCCCGGCCCGTCTCATGCCAACTACGGCGTCTCCCCGTCCTCCATGACCCGTTACCTACCTCCGGAGCTGGCCGGTAGTCCCGACTTTTCTTCCTCGCCAAATAACATGTACCTGTCTGCATCCCCTCGCTTCGTGCCCCCTCTACCCCCTTACTCGGACGCCCAGACCTCCCCTCCCGGTTATTATAATCACAACGCCTCACCGCGCCAGCCCACTCGCCTGGCCCCCGACCGCTACGGCATGGACATCCCCCTCGACGCGCAGTGGACCAGGGTCCGCCGCTCCCTCATCTCCCCCGAGGTCCTCGAACAAGCCGGAGTTCGCTACGAGGCCCGACCAACCTTCGTCGCCGTCCTCGGCATCCTAACCCGGGAGGAGATAGAGCACTACGCACACCTCTCCGCCCGTGCTCGTGCGCGTCGCCGCAACCCCGCTTCGCATGGTGGCGCCCCGGGCCAGTCCTATCCCCACCATCACTACCAGCAGCAGCAGCAGCAGCAGCAGCAGCAGCAACATCAACAGCAACAGCAACAGCAACAACCTCTTCCCCACTACTACCACTCCCACAACCCTCACCACCCCCCTCCCCCCCAACGCGACTCCCCAGACGAAAAACCACGCCGCCACCCCCACCCCACCCACCGCAAACCCGCACACTACCCCTCCGACACAGACTCCGACGCCATCCTCTGGGACGACGACACCGACTCCGACTCCGACGACGACACCGACTCCTCAGACTCCGAGTACAGGGACACCAAGAACCAGAGAGAAAAGACAAAGACCCCCTATTTCATCGTCCCGCCCCCTTCCTCCGGGCCCAGCCCCTCGGCCACCACCCTCCCCAAACCGATCCTCAAGAACCAAAACACGAACCACGTCCGCTTCGACCCGGAACCCCACGAAATCTCTCCTGACGAAATGAACAAGTCGCCGTCGCACCACGCGTCGTCGTCCCGTCCGTCTCGCGATTCCGAGTACGACCGCCACGGGGATAGAGACAGGGATAGGAGAAGGCGGCGCCGCCGTAGCCGAGATGGGGACAGAGACAGAGACAGGAGCAGGGACAGAGACAGGGAGAGGGACAGAGACAGGGAGAGGGACAGAGACAGGGAGAGGGATGACCGCGATTACGATCGGGATAGGGATCGGGATCACTACCCTTCCTCTTCGTCGCGGCGACGACACAGGGATCGCGACCGCGAGACGGACAGAGACAGGGACAGGGATTCGGAGAAACGCGACAGCAAGAAGAAACTGCTCGGCGCTATGGGTATCGGCGGTGCAGCGGGGAGTCTGCTCACCGTCCTCACCGAAGCCGCGACGGGGTTCTAGGGATGCGATGCCTCATGTTCTTTTCGAGAAGCTATTCACCATGGCAAAGAATGTCACGACGACTACGGCCCAACTATGTCAACACTACAAAAAAATGCTTCATTTTTTTCTTCTTTTCTTTTTCTTCTCTTTCTGTCTTCATGGAACGAACTGCTGCTAACGGAACGTACCCTCTGTATTTATTTATCTTGATTGTTTTTTTCCTGGAGCGTCTTAATTCATGATCCCTTAAATTCAGTCCCAAATCGCCTCGGAGGAGGGGAAAAAAAGAAGAGAAAAAAAAGAAAAAAATAGTATCCGTCAAGGCTGCCAAATCCCCAAGTGCCCGTCGTCAAAATGCTCATTTCATGTTGTCTCTCATGCAGTTTATATAACGCCTCGCTATGAAACCCATCAACAGTCATGGTCCATTATCCCGCCATGAAGTGCAGTCCACGAGTTTCGCTCGGAAACACACACACACACACACACACACACCACTCACAACGGTCTTCTTCGCACCTTGGTCTTCACCACAGGCAGAGCCTCCTCCCCTCCCAACATCCGCCTCATCAACTCCGCTTTACACTGCGCCGCCTCAGGGTCCTGGTACCCGATCTGCGTAGACGGCAACGGCTGCTCCTGCTGTCCGTCGTCTCCATCCGCATGGGCATGCCCACGGCGGTCCCTCATCATGAGGACACCGTCACTCCGCGCACGCGCCAGCAGACCCCCATCCCCGTCCAACTCCGCCACTGGCGTCGTCGCCTTGCCCGCAGCCGACTCAAGGCTCGCGCTCGACGCCGCCGACACATTGCTCACCGCCCGTCCAAAGATGCCCTTTTTCCTACGCGACAACTTGGGGGCCGTGGCTGCGGCTGCGGCTGCGGCTGCGGCTGCTCCATTCCCTCCTCCCGTCGCAGCCTCTTCGTCCTGCAGCCGTGCCTCCTCGCCTCCTCCGCTCCCGCCCATTCCAACATGAAGAATGCCGCTGCTGCTGCTGCTGGCTGTAGCCCTCGCTTCGATAAGGGATGTGATTTTCGACGAAATGGCCGCTCGCTCGGCCGCCTTCTTCTCGTCCTGCTTTCGCTTCAACTCTGCTCGGATCTCTTCTTCCGTGGGGCCCTCCTTCTCCTGCTGTACCCCGTTCCCGTCCTCTTCGGTGGTCCGTATTTCTTCTCTGACGTCCTCCTCGCCGCCCGAAGCCTGAGGCGGAGCAGCAGCAAAGTCTTCAGCAGAAGTGCTGATGTGGGGCTTCGCAACTTTTGCTGATGGCTTGGACGCCGGCTTCTGCGGCGAAGGGGATTTGTTGAGCGCGCTGGTCGACAGGTCGGAAAGGGGCCTGGGGACCGTCCCGCCGCCGAAGCTGTCCATCTGCTGCTGTTGCTGGTGCTGCTGCTGATGCGTCCTGGCTGTCTCGAACGGGGTATCGCCGCCTGCTGTTCCGTTCCTCTTACTGAGCCCCCGTCCTACACTGGGTATCGTCTTCTCGCTCGTGAACGCCGTGTCGTCCAGTGCCACACCTCGTGACGACGTCCTTTGGACGTTTGTACCCGGTCTGGCGATACTTTGCTCCAACTTCTTTCTCTGCAAGTCGGCGGATTTGTCGTCCTGCCTCGGTCTTACTCTCGGCTTGATATTTGTGTCCTGCATCAATTTTGGGAACAGGAAGTTCTGCACCGGCACGTTATACCCCGTCGACACGCACTCCCACAACCAGTCTGCGCTAACGACGGGTATATTCGCTTCGAGGGCGAACTTCAACTTCTCCTTCCTCGTTTCTGCCAAAGCCCTGCAGACGAGGACGGACGTGGCGCCGTTTAGTCTGGCGGCGTACTTGGCACCCAGCTGGGTAATGCACTTCTCCACATGAAGGAGGTCGATACCGGCGAAGCCGGCGGTGCAGATGGCCAGTTCTTCGAAGCCGGAGACGGGGAAGTGCGGGAACGGTCGGCCGAGGGCGTGTTCTTTGGGGTCGCAGAGCGTCTTGTTGTGCAGGCATCTCTCGATGAAGAATTCCGTCACGGTAGAGACCAGGCTGGATACGGCTCCGGGAATCTGCGGGTGGCTGTCTGCGCGTGACCTCTGTGGAACAATCACATGTCGGTTTTGTGAATTCGTTGCCGCCAGTTGTTCGACCGAGTTGCATATGGTCCCTCCCAAGGATGTGATCGCTTCGACGAGAACATCATGCTTCCATTTCTCGAAGCCCGACATGGCGAACGAGCAGCCTCCAAAGATACCAACATCCGGCGGAGGAGCCTGAGGGGCCGAAAGATCGGCAGCTGAGTCGGCGACCTCTATCCCGTCCTTTACCTCATTGACGTTCTTGTTCTCCGTTGATTCGCTTGCTGGTGTGGCAAGGGACCCCGTCGACGGCTTGTTGCGGAGAATATCGCCCCAGAGGTGGTCTCGCTGGCTGCTGAGTTTCAGGCTGGCCGTCTTGCGCAGCTTCCTCTGACCGTGCTCCGAAATCGACCTCGACCGCTTAACCGAGGCGTTCATATTCGTCGAAGCCCGGTTCCACGCGCCCTGGCCTTGTTCTTCCGGTGGAAGTGTGGGGTCAAAGTAGTGATCGCGGAGGATCATGCCTCGCTCAATGGTTTGGTCCAGCCAGGCCAGGGAAACGGTGCGAACACCCCATGCCTTGGCAGCCTTGTACTTCTTACCCTCGGGCTTGCAGACGATGAGGTGGGTGACTTGCCTGGTGAGGTCACCGGTGTAAGTGCCGCCGTTGTTGTTAATCGTGTCGACGATACGTTGGCGTTGGTCGGCTGGATCACGAGGCACGAGTCAGTGAGAGAGCGTGTAAAAAGCAAGGCTGAGGCTGAGGAATGGCTCACGGTCATCGAAACCAGTCATGCAGAGGAGTAGTCTGCCGCGTTCTTCCTTGCCAGCTTCGGGCCCGTTCGTCTCCAGGGGTAATAGCTGCCACTTCTTCTCGAGGGCTTCAAAGTTGATTTCGGCGTCGTTCATCCACAGCTGACCGACAGCATCGACCCAGCGGGCATCCATGGCCTTGATGTCGACTCTCTGCTGGGCAACATGGTGGTATTTGGGGGTATCATATTGGCCGACGATGAGGTGGGTGACGTCTCGGGTCAGGTCGTATTTGTGGATGCCGCCTAATTGATGTATTTTGGCTTCGAGGTCGGTCTAGAAGAGAGCGTAAGGTAACTAGGTCAGCATTGTTCGTTGCCGTAAGAGCAGATAGAGACAGACGGAGGAGATGGTCTGGGGGATAGCGAGGCAGAAGGCAGAAGGCAGCAGGCAGCAGGTAGCAGGTAGCAGAGATGGCGCACTCTTTGATCAGGTGGGATGCTGGTGCAACAAACGACGACGCCTTTGAAAGGTTGCGAGGGATCAAAGGGAATCTCTGGTTCAGGCGAGTTTCGACGAGACGAAGGGTCCATGGTTCCCGTCTTTTGGTTTGGACGCGACCTCGAGAGAAAACGACCGTGTGGAATTCATAGCCGACCTTGAGCTGGAAGGGAAGGTTTTTGGTGAACGCAACGCGCCCGATACCGCGTATCCCAAGGTAAGGTATCTGCAAGTATTGTGCCTTAGTCGCGTCTCGACTTGGCGACTGGTCTGTACTTCGTAAGGTACTCGCGGCACCGGCACCGGGTTCCAGGGACAATTGATGTTGACACTGTGCACACGAAGGTCCTAACTGGCCTATGAGCGGGACTGTAGCCCCATTGAAAGCCCTATACCCGCTTGAATCCAGGGGAGGATTAGTAGCTCGGATGTCTAGCGTACAGTGTGACTGTGACTTCACGTACTCGCACCCCACCTAGCACGAATAATGCCCCAATAACATTGCCAGAACCATCTGAAGCCATGGATAAGGTAAGGTAGGTAGGTACGGAGGTACTCCAACTATTGTACTCCGCACACTTCAGAACCCCGCCAACCCCCGCTATGACCGTCAGAAAAGAAGTCAACACAAGTTCCCCCCATCTCAGCCATCTCAGCCTCGTGACCGCCTTCCCAACTGTCTTGCCCGACTCTTCTCTTTCCCTTTCTTTGGATGATTCTGCGTTTTGCTTTTATACGGGGTACTTAGTTTACTAGGCACCAGGCACTAGGCACTTGATTTGCTGCCAAACCCGAGTCTCTGTACACGCCCCAGAGCTCTTCCTACCTACCACCAACCGCCGACGAGCCCCGACCTCGACCAGCGCCTTCGCCTGAGGCCTCGTCGCACGAGCTCCTTCTCCTACGAGTTCGTCAAGCAACATCTCCCCTCCCTTCCACGCCGTTCCCATTCGTTCTCGTCTTTTCTCTTCCGTCTCCCATTCACGGCCGTCTCCCATTCACGGCTTTCGAAGGTTTGCGACAACGTCAACTGCGAACATACGGACGCAGACACGACGCAACGCAACGCGCTTGCGTCGCCCTCCAGAAGTCGGTCTTTCCCACCGCATCTATAATTCTTCGGTTGGGTCTCGCACCACAACGCCTCGCGGGGAGCGAAAACTATCACTCCGATAGCCCCGCGGCTCACGACGTACGACCCGCGCGACGTACTCGCACTTTGCTTTGCACCACAGGGAAGCAGAGATCCCGAACCCTTAGGTGGCACAGAGGCCGAGTCCGGGAACCATGGCACCCACAGCCGCGTCGCTCAAGTCCATGGTGTTATCGTTCGTCAGTCTGACGGGCGCATCTGAAAGGACGGCGCAACGGGTATGTGACTGCTGCCCTCCCCCCCTTGAAACAAAACCACCTTCGGGATGAACGTCATTGGCATGATGAATTGGGCGGGCGTGGATGGAACAAGACAAAAGTTGGAAACGAGTAGGAGAACAGAAAGGCGCGACGATCGGAAAAGAAGAGAAGGAGCCAGATGAAAGAGGAGGAGAATAAAAGGAAAGATGTCGGTTGAATCGGAGGCAGGAGAAAAAGGTGTTCTATCGGTCGGGCCGAGTTCTCTGGCGTCGATGACTTCTCGTACGCTGTGTCTCCGAAGGCTCCAAACGAACGTCAACGAACAACTCGGGATGGACAAACATGGCTGACTGATATCCTCTCTCAACAGTATCTTAAGAATTCCAGTTACAAGCTCAACGATGCGGTCGACGCGTAGGTTGCTCCCTTTCCCTTTATTTGTCTCGACATTTCGCTTGTCGTTTTATCTTCTCTCATCTTCTTCTTCCTTCCTTCCTTGTCTTCTTCTGCTTCGGTTCTCTGCTTCGGCCATCCTTATTTCCTTGGGTCTTATTACTTTCGCCTCCCCGACCGCCATGGCGTGCCGGCCCTTCTCGGACAAATTTGGGTGCATCGCATGAATGCTCCCCCGTATTTCCCGCCTGCGTCCGCTTCAGAGTGGCACCCTGTCTGCCTGCCTGTGGGGATTCCGACCACCGCCCGCTCCATTTCTCTTGTGCTCCCGGTGCACTCATGTCCACCCACTAGAGAAGGGCCGACTCAGACAGCGACCTCATATTTAATACCCCCCGCTCTTGAGACAATTCCCGATTGCCCATCATGAGGGTACGCAAGGTACCCGGGAAACATTTGCGCCTCCCGCATCAGACTACTGGTCTGACTTGAGCGCTTACCTCCCCGGCCGCCGGCCTCCACAGCTTTGCCACATACCGCCGCTACTTACTCGTGTCTCTGAATGTTCCCCGGCGAGAGGGATCACCAAGTGCTGACCCTCATTCCCACGCCCTATCCAAAGAGTTCGACGAAAATCCAGCCTTCCCCGATTGCCTCCTGATTGTCCCCCCACTTCGTGGTCATTGCAAGTGATAGCGCCACAAGGCTGGAATAGACGACAACACGCTGAGTTCTGCGAGACGTCCGGGAGACCTTGGTCTTTCAACCACCCACTGGCCTAGAGGCTGCTGCCCAACGTTTTTCCTTTCATCCGATTGGAGTCTTGCGCGGCCAACCTCTACCCCCCGGAGCACACCTCATTCACTCGCTGCCGACTGTTCATGATATTACCTTGATCCAACGTCGAGGTTGCCGTCCGGCCAGGGGTTGAGAACTGGGAAGCAAGCCGGAAGCCAAATTCTCTGCTAGGCAGTTTTGGTTCCTCAACCTGAAAGGCATGGGCTGGACGGGCGTCAAGAAGGCCTTGCCTGCCAATGGAGGGAAGTTCTGGCCATACAAGAAGCCGGGCTCGGAGAAGCCAGTAGAAGGACAAGGCATGGGCCCAAGAGGGTATTTACCACACACCAACGCGTCTTTCTTTCCGCTTCATCGGTCAGGCCCTTCAACGTCCTAGGCGCGAATCCATGATGTCGCATAGCTTTCTCATCTACCGTGGTCTCGGTCTCATGCCCTTGGGGACGATTGTAGTTTGCTAATTGGGATCGATCTGACTACAGATTCTTCGGGACTAGCTCAGGCAGCGGTGTCGGTACGCCTTCGCCTTTGGAAAGCGACTTGAATAAGCTCTTTGATAGCCTACGGCGTGAGTACTGGACCCATCCATCATTTATATAGCTGCAATCCTCCCAAACTAACCCACCGTCGACAGATCCGAGTGATCCGCCAGACTCGCTAGGACTGGATTCGACCAGCAGCTATCTTCAGGATCAACTCGCCATCAACCCTGAGACGGCCGAGCTCCTTGTCGCTATGGAAGTCGTCCAGGCCCCGGCCGTGGGAGAGATCAGCCGGAAGGGCTTCGTCGAGGGATGGAAGACGGCTGGGTGAGTGGCGAATGGAACTGCTACTACTTGCATGGTTTCCCCCCCTTTTCAAGCTGTGCTAATGAGTTTTCTATGGGACTGGAAACAGAGTCCCGCCAACCGCAAAGGACCAGTCCAGGCACGTCAAATCCCTCATCAAAAAGCTCTCTACCGATTCCGCCTTGTTCAAGAAGGTGTACCGCTACACCTTCGTCGCGGCCAAGGAGCCGGATCAGAAGGCCATCAGCCTCGAATACGCCTTCATCTACTGGGACACCCTCTTCAGCCGCCCCGGCATGCAGTGGAAGAGCGAAAATCACGACTGGCTCGACGTGTGGAAGGCATACCTGACCGAGATGTGGTCGCGCTCCGTGAATCGGGACATGTGGAACATGACTCTCGAGTTTGCCCTCAAGTCAATGCAGGATGAGACCTTGTCCTTCTGGAGCGAGGACGGGGCCTGGCCCAGTGTCATCGACGACTTTGTCCTTTGGTGTCGGAATTCGGGTCGCGTACCCAAGGCCGAGAGAATGGAGACGGGTGCTTAGACAGGAGAGGGTCCTGTCAGGAAAAGGACCATAGACATACACAAATAGCCGGGTAGCCACCATACTTACATATAACGACGTCTCGAGTTGTCCATCTTTTTCACCAACTATCCGTGCGGAGATATGGCGACGTGACCTTCGCGGCGTATGTATTTCTTCCCAGAGGCTTTCTCTTTCCCGAGTGTCTGTTGTACAATTCGAACCCAGCGAACTGTCGGCATACCGTCCCGACTCTATCCATTGTACTGCCCAGTACACCGGCCACGAGTATGCCGTGATCCCAGGTAATCCCCCTATCTTACACTCCCTGGCGAACCGCACACGGTTATGTTCTCGTACCCCCTCACTCCTTAGACCATGCCCGATCTCGGCATGGCGTGTAACCGTATGCCCCAGATTGTTTCGGGAGTACAATACACAAAGCGTGCCCTGTATCCCAAGTTCAAGCACACGCAAAAGCGCCAACCGCAACACAGCGGCTGAGCTTTTGTCGACATATCCGAACAGATAATAGTTCCTTCTTTTCCCGAGCCCCTCGTTTCTCAAGAAAGAAAAATAAAAACCCTCCATCCTCTAAACGCTGGGGGGGAGATGATCGCTTTTCCCACCATCTAGTCGGCCCGCATATCCCAGCTAATATTCCCAAACTTCGCCAAGCTCTCCAGCTTGCCGTCGCCGAGCTTGACGTGGGCGGTGCGGATGACGCGCGGGTCGAGGTTGATGGTGGTCCGCATGTCCTGGTGCGCGGCGCCCGAGGCGTCGTAGCGCATGACGAAGTAGTGGCCCGACTTGTGCTTCATCTGGGCGCGCGTTATGGGGCGTGGGAGCATGAAGACGCCCCAGTTCGCGATGCCGCGGACCACGCCGCCGTTGCGGAGGATGATTTGGCCGGCTGTCAGGGCGATTCTGCGGGCGGGGAGCGTGGTGGGTTAGCAAATTTGGATTGTAGTCGACGAGGGGGGGGGGGGGGTTATCGGTTGGATGGTCGTTTCGACAGTTCGGGGGGTCGGGGACGTCTTCAATTCAAGGCTGACGAAGATGGAGACGATTGGGGAGGGAGCGAAGCATACTCTTTTACCTCGGCGAGGTGGCCTGGCCGCACCTGGATAGAGATTTAATTGTTAGCTTGAGGGACCGGGGAGACGAGACGATGGATAACCGTTTCAATTCTCTTTTTGGGGGGCGCGAGATTTGAAGACTTACGATTCCTATGAGTTCGTAGAGCATCTTGCCGGCGACATTGACGCTGGCAAGTGAAAAGGGCAATGAGGTCGACTTTGCTGGACGTGGACGGTATGAACGCGGTTGCGACTTTTAGAGCTCTTCAACATTCGCTGGTCCAGAATTTTGGCTGCTACTCGGAACGTCGGCTGCCTAGCTTTTCCGGGGTCCGGTTCAGCAAGCGTCCAAGCATAAGGTACCTTAGGTAAGTTATCGCTATCGCGATAACACTTATCTTTAGGTAGGTACCTTACCTTCGACCTGGAGGGGTCGGTCAAACCATCCGACGATCTCGACGTGCTTCGTATTCTATCGACAGGATATTTCTGTCGTCCATGTCCTCGTCTTCGTGGAAGCATGCAAATAAACAGATGTTGGCATCTACCCCTCGCTCTCTCGGTCTAAAGATACGCATTGAACAGACAAATTGCCATGCACTTGTCCAACTCGTCACCTTGTCGTTTCCACTTTTCAGTCTCTTCCATATCAGTCGTATCATGGTGCTCCATCTCTATTCCGTCGTTCCGGATCGCGTCGTCTCCATGCAGGCATCTCATAAACATGGTCCGTCTCCCTTCGGTCGTGTCCGTATCTATGCCTGTGCCCCCCCTCCTTCACCCTGCCCCTCTCACGACTGCGCATTCTTCCATATCCCCTCTCATCAACCTCATCAGCCCCATCTTGACGGTATGCTAACCGCCCCGGCCGCGACGACTGTCGTTGCCTATCCCCATCCTGCCAACTCTGCTCATCTCCCCCCCTGCCCCTAGCCGCACCATCATCATGATGGACCGCGTCTCGAAACCGCCGTTGTCGGAATCCGTCCCTCTCGCGGCCATGTCCCTCCCGCGCCAGGCTCCCGCGTCGACTCCGGCTCCGGCTCCCCTCCCGCACGCCGGCATCCCCACTTCGGCCAAGCTTATCCCAGTGAACCAAGTCCCCGTGGATCCATCCCTTGGGCCAGTAGCGGTGTACCACCACGGCCGCGACACCGATAGCAGCGAGGAATCCGAGCGGGACCTTCTTCCTGTCGGGTTCAGACTTGGCTCTGCTGAAAGACCGGCCGCGGCCTCGAGACGGCGACCGGGGAGATGAAGGGGAAGGGGATCGGGAGAGGGAAGAACGCTGCGCGCGAGAGCGGGGACGGCGACTAGTAGGTCCCCTGGAGGAAGCCCGGCGGATAGAGGCGGAAGATGAGGGCGGGCGATAGCGTGTCGGGGAGCGTGAGGCAGATGGGGAACGATTGCGGGGCATCTTCGCCTCTAGGGGGGAGGTTGGCCAAGAGCGGTACGAAGTGGCTTTACAAACTCTGTGATGTGCTTGGAGACGAGGTCACAGACGTGTGTTTTAGATGTATACCCACTTCACGTCGTTTCGTAAAGCAATGTGAGAAGGTGAGAAGGATGATTAGAGTCACTTATACGTCCTACGTGAAGGCAATATAGTCACTGTGGAATAGGGGTATGGGAAGAGGGGATGGCATCTGCTACGTGCTCTATAGAAAGATACCGAAATGAGGCGCAGGTAGACGAGGCTATAGCACTGGCTAATACTAGGGCACGTAAAGGATGGATAAGCGGAAGAATAGTGTGACTGGAGAAATAAAGGCAAAGTGTGAGGCATCCATGTTAGAGGTCATCCGCCGTCTTACATTCTGGACATCCCTGTCTCGGCTGGATGACCTTGTGGCGTCCAACCACGATTATTTCCGCTATGGGAAATAGGATGAAGGCGTTCTTATGCCTTGTGTCACCCAGACCTCCCTCGGGGTGGAACAACCTAACGGCCGATTACGCGATTTAGGCACGGAAGGTGGATATCCGTAGGTACCTTATAGAACTGCGGATCGTGTGCTAGAGCGGAGCATCTGTCAGATACAGCGTAACCGGAACCTTTCAAAAAAGGCAAAACCGGGTCAAAATTGAATGGTAAATTGATTAAGGTGATTATGTAGTAGGATGAAGGGGGGTATTCAACGCTTATAGCTGTAACAGTTTCATAACTGTAAGGTACAAATCGGCCACTCTTTTAAGGCAATGCGGACATAAACTGGAGCGGTGGAATATTAGACCGACATGGTCATGTCCCATGAATGGCATACAGCGTAAAAAGCAGGCGGGGACTAATGGCAGAAAGTTTGCATGACGTCATTTGCACATGTTCAAAGACTACCTAAGAATAAAGACATCACCTTCACTGGACCCTGGCAGAAATTGAATGCATAGATCCTGCTTCATTTGCTTATAATGCTAACATACATCTCTAGATATCCCTACTAAAGGATTAGAATATCAACCGCCTCCAATGCCATTGCTGACGACTGCGTCTATGCTGCGAAGATGCCCTAAGCAAGTTCTCTTGCCCTGACAAAACCATGGATCGTTCCCTGTTCCGCATCCACTAGATAGTACAGAGGTGAAAAATGTACCGACCACGCACCACCTTGTTGGTGTGCCAAATTCCATAAGAAATGCGTAATATGCGCGCAAATTGGGGATGCCAAAAGACCCCATCCTGATGCAAGAGACCAGTCTCAAAATCGAATTGTAATGCTGAGGCCTAAACACCAAATGCTATGCAAGTGCCAAAAATCCTGTGTGAGGACACCCAGTCTCGAGCCGAAAGTGAGGTTTGAATGGATCCATCAGCATGGCCGTACAAACCTGGAGAAACACCCGTATCCCTAGGTCTAGTTCAGATGAGGTCCCCGCGGATGGCTATGAGGGACGACCTGCGCAGGCTGCCCAGTCCGATAAGATAAACTCATGTATTCGGGGACCACGCCGGTGCGCAAGTCGTTGCGGCGCCCGAGAGGCTGATAGTGCATCTGGGGCTGCGGGGCAGACATGTGATACTCGTGGAGCGACGTGGAGGGTGGTGGGTATAAAAGCGTGTTGACGTGACGGACCGGCTTATACGGACTCGGCCGCTGTTGTAGGTACACACTCGGAGAATGGGAGATCGGTGTGTGGGTAATGGGGGTGTGGACTCCAGACCCGGACGTATACATATCAATCAAGGGAGAGGACCCGAACGCTGCCAGCGTGCCCGGGCTTTGCCGCCTGTTGGGAGTGCCGTACCCTATTGTTGGGTGAACAGATATTCCGTTCGTCGACGTAAGGGCGGCTTGAGGGCCAACTGGAGCTGTTCCAGGCGCAGCCGGGAGGGAAAGTTGACCAGTTGAGGACGCGGGGATGCCGGGTGCATTGGAATACACTGTTGCCATTGCCCGCACATTGGAGCCCAACGGAGGAAGCGACACGTTGACCTGTGTGGGGAAGATGATCGGTGCGACGTAGGGTGCCTGGCTGGAAATTGATGTATTCGTGTTGAGGGAGAGATGGGGGACCGGTAGTCTGATGGGCTGCTCACCCACAACCGGCGGCCGAGCTGGATGCGGTTGCTGAGGGTGCCTGACCGCCGGACGTTTGGCAGGGTGCTCGGACGGCTCCTCTTCTTGTGCCCTCTTCTTGGAGGGACGTTGAATGTTGGACTTGGCCGAAAGCGGCGACAACCCGACCCATTCATGCCCATTGACCTGGGCAGTGGAGTGAGGTGAGTAGAGGTGGGTGGTTGTCGGGGTCGCCGACTGCGTGGTTGAGTGAACACCTGCGCCGCGAGTCGGTGCCAGTGAGGGCGAAGTGAAACGGGCCGTTGGAGAGCACGGACCAACGGGCGACGTCGGTTGTGCCAGGGCACGTTCGTAATACTCGGAAAAGCATGCGAGCTTCGCGAGCCAGTCCTCCCACTCGTCCTTGGTCGCCAGCAAGCTATACCTCATGTTGCTGAGGAACTCTACCTCCATGACATGTATCTCCTGAACCGAGATACCCGAAACCTCCGCCCATGTCTTGTTCGTGTACGTGTTATCATCCAAGACTGCGCTGTCGGGTCAGTCAAAATGCCGCAACTGAAAAGACGACGGCACTCGCAACTTACACTTATTTCCAAGCATGAGCGCTACCGTGAGTAGCCTGTATTCGCTTCCCGATCGACCCTTGACGCTAGGGTTTGCCTTTTTGAGTCGGTACACGAACATGAGCGCGAGCAGAATCACGCTTTGTGTTACTTGGGTCGTTGAGAGCACCCCGTATGCCCATTTCTTGAATGCTGGGTATGGTTTGGCATATTTCGTAAGCGGCGGCACAGCGGCATAGGCGGGTCGGGATCGAATCTTCTCGGCTGCCTGGAGTGTGTCCATGGATTCGAACCAAAATAAACATGTCATCTGCAAAGAGATTAGCCACCCAGTACTGTCTTTCGCTTATATTCGGCAGCGCAAGGGGAAAGGCCTAGCGTACCTCGGCGGCGAAATCCGCCAGGTTCCCACCCTTCGGGTTGATGCAGGTCGGGACTTGCAGGCTGTGATGGACCAGCTCCTTCTCAGCAGAAGGCCCAGCCGATTGCGTCTTCCGGCTATCATCTATGGTCGGGGTTATCCGCTGAGATGCGTGGTCTTGGCTGGGTATATGTTGCCGTGTCACAACGAGTGCCGTATCTCGAGGCTGGGGCTGGGACACAGCACACATCTGATGTTGCGGATACCGGCCGTATCCTGAGCCTCGTATGGCCCCTTCGGTCATGGCAGGCATCGGACACCTGACCTGGGCGAGACGTGAGTGGTACAAAGGAAGCACCTGGCTATGATAGGGACCGATGTGTGGTGGGTGGTAAGCCGTCGTCATCTTCACAAATTGGTCTGTACGCGAATCGTACGTCTCTGAGGTTCCCGTTAGGGGCCGACGTTTGTGTCACGGGTACGTTCTCCAAAACCGGGATCGTTCCGTGTTCGTAGAAGGTATGGGAGAAGAGTTCACTATAGGGAGCGGTGATTGGGAGAGGGCGGAAGGTGAGGATGAGAGTGAGGCAGCAATCGACCTCATCTGCGGGTGCGGCAAGGAGTCCTAGGACTGGAGGACGTATGGTAGTGTCGGCGTTGAGGTCTGGTGTGGAGCTTCGTGACCCTATGAAGTTTGGAGGTGGCGGTCGTCTGGGGAAGGGCAGAGGAGAACCAACCCTGTGGTCGCTCCTGGCGTATTCGTGAGGTGGGAGGTGTATTCTGCTGCAGCATGGAACATCAAGAGGCTTCTCGGGATGGGTTACTGTCTAGCTGCTGCTTCGGCTGTTGCCTGCGTTTTGACGTGGAAGGTTGCCGGCCTGATAAGGGTTCGCACCAGGGTGAGGTAGGAGAAGAATCAACGGTAAAGTGAGCAGCGGCCAGCCGTGGATAAGCCGTCTGGGCCCGCCAAAAGCATCAGTCGCGATTCACCCTGGTAGTAAGGGCCATATGTGAACGTGTTTGCCCTGATGGTAGACCCGATGAAGAGTGGCCGGGCAGAGGAGTCGTTTGGCGACAGAGGAGGGGTTGGTAAGTCGTTTCGATCAGATCCGTTCAGCTCAGCTCGTCGCTCGGCCTTGGTCGTATAGATGAAGGCTTATAGGCAACCGAGTTGAATAGCGGGAAAAGTGCGTAGGAGAAGAGATTAACCTGGAAAGGCAAATCCTGAGGGAAGGTGAACGGCGAGAAGGAAAAGGGGAGGGGAGAGATGCCGGGGTTCAGTGAAGGGAATAGGCGTCGACGTTGTTGGAGGAGGTGGACGGAAGGAGGATGAAAACTAGCAGAGAGATGGTGGCAGGGGAGTGGCAGTGGGAAACTTGGAAGGGAGGAGATTAAGAATGAAGCAGTATCTCGCCGACGTTGAAGGAGAGACAGGGAGTCAGGTCAGAAACAGAGAGGTGCAGGATATCCGTAGTTCTAGTTCTCAGTTGCATCCGTGTAGATGAGAACGAGACGGCATAAAGGTACGTTGTAGACCACAGGTGGACAAGGGCAGCAAGGTCATGGACAAGGTTCTGAATAGATAGATACCTATGAAGGTCCCCTAGTTCAAAAAGACATGGGGAAGCTCATCAGTCAGACCAGACGAGACACGGAAGGCAGCGGGAGCCGAAGAAGAGTCCGGACACATCCACACATCCACAACACAGCCATGGATGGCCGAAATGGAGCTGCTTGTTCATGGTTCAAGGCTCATGGCTCATGGGCTCATGGGGCTCTGGGGCTCTGGGGCGGGACGACGCTCGACTCGGATCAGAGCCAGAACCACTTACAGGCAAGGCAGGGAGCCGGCCCCAAGGCCAGGCGAAAAATGTGTGGAGTGAATGTTTAACGTCGTGGGATGTTGTCTGGAACCTTGAACTCTCTCCGGCGCGGCAAACTCCAATTCGTCGTGCATCGTACCTGCCCATCGACAACCTATTATTACCCGCACCCAGTACGTTGTAATTACACGGTATGTACCAAATTTGCTCTGCCTTCATACGTTGCACGTTCATACCGTACTTAATTAGCATGTACCCCCTCCCTCAGCTCCTGCCTCAGGGGGCCCCCAGTCCGTTCTGGTGGACCCGCTCCTGACTGGCTGAGGCTGGTCGCAGTTCCCAGCTTTTCACTTTCCCCCCTTCCTAACTTACGGAAAATCCATCTTACGGAGTACGAAAAAGTACGAAGTATCTTGCCATGACCGTGGTTGCCCCTTCACACCGATTCCCACCAAATTCCCACAGGCACCCCTCTCTAGGCACGTTGTAGGCTTGACGGGTGGATGCTGCTCCGTTTCTCCTCTCTACGTAATTACATGGTATGTATCGACCGTCCATGGACCATCAATCTAAACAGGGGGTGGGTGAGCTCTGAAGTGGGGTGGGGTGTGAGGATCCATATTTCCTCTGCTCTTTCTCCCATTGTCGGCTGGCTTTACCAATATATACAAAAGTAATCAAAATCAGTATTTTGTTCATACTTAGGTAGTCCGGACACTAAGTATTATCACACACTCTGTTCTATTACATATCATGAAAATCCCAGCCCTTTTACGCTCTCCCTTTTCTTTCTCTGTCTATACTTCCTCCCTTCTTCCTCTATAAAGATAAAATAAACCTTAGTCTTATATAGATCATCAACTGGACACACAAGCAGGGGCCTTTAGCAACCACATAAGAAGGAAAGCCACATAAAGTCCCATCGTCTAAGAGAGTATTCCTGTCCATATATACTCATACAGTGTCCATTAAAGCCTTGGGGGAAAAGCAACTCCGCTCTTGTGGGACCACCAAGGGAGCTGGGCTATTAGAGGGGTACACAGTATTAGATGTAGATACTTATGATGTTTGGGGTGGTGGGTCTATCTTCATTTCTTTTTCTTTTTGTTCTCTCTTTTTCTTCTTTGGTGCTCCACCTTTCTACCGTTTCTGGAATGTACTTTTCCTAGGACGAATCACAGCCTCAGCTCTCTAATGCCCATCTGAAGGAAACGCCGGGAAGGCTACGAGAATAGGGGATTTCAAAGAAAAGTCAACAGTACACCAGTGACGCCAGAAGGAGCAAGAAGGCCATAGTTGCGAAGTAAAACAATACTCAGTAAGGCAGGACGTGAATCGAAACCCGAGCATACTTTAGAAGGTAGATTACATTCATACATATGTATATCGTAGGCCCCAGGAATGCGGCTAACGATCATCACCGGCAGGGCCTAATTACAGCATCAAGTCTGGAGTTTCGTCGCGTAGCAGCGATTGCGTGGGTGAGGACGAAGTACTGTCCGTGTCCAGCATAGAATAGTACGCCATAGTCTGGCCAGGTCGTTGTGCATTCTCAGCCGAAAGACGAAGAATCCCGTTGACCAATCCTGACACCTCATTTGGGATGAGGTGACGACAAATGACACCCTGGGGCACCTTTTCACTTCGGGCAAAGTGCTTCTTACACTATGCATCAATCTCCACCACAAGCCTCATGTGCCCGCCCCCTTGCCTATCTTTCCAGAAACTAGGTGCCAACTCCATCTTCATGAGAACCCTTGTCGGACGCACTACGCGTACATATATGATGCCTGCTTGTCTCCCGCCATTCCTTCTTGGTGTGGTTGATTTCCGCCAGCCGCAAGGGATTGATTAGCATCAACTGTACGGAGTAATGTGTACATACACATACGTATGCACAGTACATAATTTAGTAAGCCACTTTCATTGGGATTTTACGGCGGAGTCTACTAACCTGCTGCTTTTGGAATGTGTTTCCTTCTGCACTGTGTTAGTGACCATCGACCCCACCACTCTCTAGCAGGATTTGTTTCGCACAGGGCATTCGGTAAGCCGGTTTTCTTCGCCTTTTAGCCCGGGTGCCCATGTATGTTACTCTTGGCTTTGCATCGCGCACTGTTGTCCGTCACCTCGCCAGTGGAACGAGCCCAAAACGCCAAAATGAGGAGACAATGACTTTCGGCCAGAGCATGAAAGCGACTTTTGACTTGGACACTGTTGCGTTGCCCCAGCACCATCACCACCTCCAACCGAGAAAGTGTTCTAACACGAACTCGTTGCCTTAATATGACACGGAATTAATCGTCGAAGCCGCTGCTTACAGCGAAACAAACATTGTGTGATGCTCGCCATTCTACATCTACTCCTTTCTCTCCTCCCCTTTTCGATCCACCGGACTTCTTACCATTAACGCAGAGACCGAAGCTTTATCTCGATGTCCCAGACTAGGACGACGAGGCCCGCAAGTCTTGAATCGCATCCATCTGGGGCTACAGAACCATGCCATTTTTAAAAGCTAATAAATTACCTGACGGAATTTGGCCTCCAAGAGGCACCATGTGGACACTTTGACCGCCAAGCAACAGAGCGAGGCCCCCCTGAAGAAAGGACGTGGCGTCCATTTCACGCCGAGAGATGGTCAACAACACCCACAATGCTGACAAGAAACCGAAACTGCATGGCAGGGGTTTGAACAACGGAATGAAGAACGGAGATCTATCAGGTGCGTGCTGATCGTCTGTCGGGCGATGTCCTGTTGAAACTACTCAGTAAGGTGTACATATGGCGGCTGCATAGGTGGTGAGAGGAAGAGGCAGCGGCCCATCCTTTCGCCGTGATAATGGAAGTGCTGCGACAGCATGCATCCAGCGTCCCACCTCATATTGGTCGCTTTTGTGTGAATATTCCCGTTGTCGCATGGCGTTGCATCAACCCTGGCTGTTGTGGCCTGAGTAGGGATGTTGGCGCCTTCGCCATGGTATGGGTGACATACACAAATCAGCTAGCTACCTTTTATGTACTATATTATGTGAGAAGGGGGCATCATTGTCGGTGAGTAAAATACACCAGCAATATATGGGCCAAGATCCCCCTTCGGTGGTCTTCTGCATGCACCAATTCCTCAAGCTGGAAACCGAATAAGCAACCAGCTTCCACTCAGGGACGCACGTCTACGAAGTCCCATTGGCCAGAATGCCTATCACAGCCGTCTTGCTCCGTACATCGAGCATGGAGCGATGCTTGGGGCTAATACCACGGATCCCGCCACGGATAGATCAAACGCACGGCATGCAAACAAGAAAAAGAAAGACGAATGGGCGACAGAGCAACAGTTGGAAGACCCGATATCTTACGACGTGCAAAAAATAATTAATAACTTGCTCATGTGTAAGAAGTACGGATATGGCTTGCCAAGTCACCTGGGATAATAGGTAGTGGTATCTTGGCCTTTGGCGAATCTGCTAGCCAGATTTGGTCACAATGATTGCTGCCCCTAAGATGGCGCGGAACACCAACTAAATAAAAAAAAAAAAGAAGAAGAAGAAAAAAACCAGTGGGGGCAGTTTCTTTGGTCTGCTTGTTAAAGCAATCCATCTTGTTTGGTTGCTAGAGGCTTACAGAAATAAATACTAACCAAGGCATTCGGACTCGTTCGAATCCGAAGCAACTATTATTTACGGAGTACAGAACCCCCTTGGTCTTAGCGCAAAGTACTGTACTCGGTACACACCTTTAATGAAACCAATACCCCATGTCGGGTCACATTTGACGAGTCAACAGTACATATGTACGAACCCCAGTAAGAAGCCTCGCCCTTCTTATTCACGATTAGCTACTGCATGGGACTGCGCCTCGTGTTATACCCTTCTATGGCTGTAATTAAAGGGTCATATATCGTTCCCTTTCTCCCGTTCTGTGAGGCATTAGATATCAGCCTGTCATCCTAGCGACAGCATTTAGTAATCCTCACGAACCGAGCTAAGCGAGGAACCCCTGGAACTTTCTTCCGTCCCCCTCCGAATATGAGAATACGCTTTCGCATCCGGAGGACCCACCCAAGGATCCGGGCCGCGGAGGTGGGTAGGTATCCATTCACCGGATACGAGGCCTTCGGAAAGCCTCCGGTTATAATCGACGACACGAGCACGCAGAACGTTGGATTTTCCAATTAGGAAGCCTCGGGCAACTCACAGCAGACCGTCGATCGCCGACCAAGAAGATGACCACCCTTTGCCTTGATACTTGTCACTCCCGCATCCACGAGATACGTGAAGGCTTGCAACTTTCTCGGGCTCTCTTCACCAAAGGTACGCCAAGCATCTTGCCTCCCAAGACTTTGCTGGCCGACAAAAATATAAATGTCTCGACGTCGTTCCCATCTCAGTCAACTTTTGTTTCTCTCGGCGTCGTCGGACGACTTTGCTTCTGACCTAAGAGCTTGTGTCACCCGTGAGGTCCTGGATCACAAGCCCGGCCATCTCGGCAAGAAAGCAACCATCGACGTCGTACTCCTCGGTCGCATCTCAGCACCCATGGTCTTACGACTCATGTTAGTCCCGACACCGCTTTAAATGTACTTCGTAGGAACACTCCTACCTATCGTTTTTTTACTACACTCCAGCCAGTGACGCCCGACTATGTACCATCTCCAACAAAGCCGTTTCCTTCCTAGGTACCTAGTCTAATAAGCATAAGTCTAAGCAATAGCTTCGCAGCTTGGCGAGGCATTTCTCCAGCTAAACCGGCGCTGTGCCCTGCTCGCGAACTTTCCGAGAGTACTTCGTCGGAGGCTCTGAGAGACTGAGACAACGACACCACTTATTTAAGCAAGGCCATGCTGAGGTCGTGATAGTGTGATCTGTTCTGACTCGGTTGCGCCCAGCAACATCTATCCTATCACTAACCTCGCAGATCACAGGATTTTGTTTCCGTCACTTTGCACGGATGGCGTATGTTATTCCGATTTGTCGATTGAATCCATGCAGCAAAATTGACTGGTGGATGCTTGGGGCTTGGTTGAGACTTAAAGTATCCCGCATTAAGCCACTTCCACACCATAGTAATATTTTTTGCACTCGGTAATAATACTTACAACGTACTTTCGTACAAACATTCCTTCTAGAGTTGTGTACGAAGTAGTGGCAGATTCGGAACATGGTGTCGGCCAGGGTCTTCGGTCTCTAAGGGAAATATTCACCATCGCTGGCTTGCCGCAATTTACTATATTTTGCGAAGTGGAGTAAAATAGTCAGTCTCCCTCGACTCTCGGATACAGGGGCGTAAACACCACGATCTCACTCCTTTGTTCTCAAGGGCGTGGCAAACGGATGTTATGAAACTCCTGTCGGAACCGGCTTTGCTGCTTTCTTCGCCAGCCTCCGAACCGGCTTATACGACCTCAGTCTTAGAGGCATCCTGCGAGAAACCGCATGGCTTCCGTTCGTCTCAATGGGGGTGTTTCCTCGAATACGATAAAAGCTGAAGCTCCACCTCGAAACATGACTTGTTCCTTTATGTGAGGGACGCAGATCGATGATGGATTCATTACCTTGCACGGCCTGGGCCCTCCACTGCCTACGACGAGAATATCGCTAATAACCCTGACCCGTTATTGACGAAGTATTTTGTACTACAAGAACGCGTAATATAACGAACGACTTGAAGTCAAAAGTGCCTTCTTGTTGGCGGCTCGGCCCCCTTTAATTTATGTATTTATTCGTACGAAGCACTTTATATCCGTACTTCGTAGATGCTAGCTAGGTTTATGATGTGCACTCATCCAGGAAAAGTATCCGGAGGGGGTAACCTACTCCGTACTACGTAAGGATACTTTGTATATATACCGTATATACGTGTATATGGGATTGGATTAGTGGTTCCCTGCAGACATCAACAGACTCAAAAGCCGTCTTCATTTCATACCGAGCATTGTATATATTTCTACATAGCATTTTGTGAATTTCTTACGCGTTGTGGGGCTTCACATGCTCCATATTGCCCTTATGGAGAGGGGAGCCTGTACACTAGATATCGGTTTAAAGTACATACGAAGTGCTTCGGGAGGCATGGGAGTATATTCTAAGCACCGAATCTTTAGAAGTCTCACACTACCAATTCTCTTGTTTTGCACAGGCTTTGGCACATCCTCTTCCCCTCGCTTTTCTGGAGCGTCTCCGAATCATCAGGTATTATCGGCGCCTCGAAACAACGCCCCCCCCCCCACGTCTCGTGCTGCCGTGTGGGTGCGAGTGGGGGTTTGGTGTTAGTGTTTAAGTGTTCATGACGGTCTCTGGCACCATCGTCGAGACAACTCTCAAATTCAGGGGCACGGGATTAATAATTACCTGCTCCCTGCTCACTCTCTACTTATACTGTCACAACACCACTTCTTTTACTGGGTTCTTATTCCTGAATCCGACACAGCCCGCCTACATACGTTTCGTGTCGTTTCGTTGCTTGTCAGCGGTTGCCAGACCAAGCAAAAACCTCCGGATGGGCAAACAACCACCGAGGGATATGACAAGCCTCGGGTCTCATCGTACGCTCCACGATTGGTTGTCTTTGTGGTCAGACCGTCCACTCGTCCACTATGATCCCACTTTTCTTTATTTCTTTATTTCTTTATTTCTCTCTTTTTTTTTTAAGTGGTCCGTTGTCTCCCATTTACACAGGGTATCATTTCCATCCTGGGTAGGCAGCAACATAAGGCGGTCAGCTGATTCGCTTGACCACCGACCAGTTGGCTCACTGCATGGAGACCTACGGAGGTTGGGTACTTCCCCACAGGGCCCCGGCGTCGGGCGACGATCGTGGTAGTTGGGCGGCCGGATTGCTGCTTACGTTGTAATTACTGTTTACCCTGATAATTGAACGACCAATGCACACCACAACAATAAGTACTTCCGAGTGCAGGCGGCTTGTCTGGGGCTGGTTGTGAAGGCTGCCGCAAAACGATCACATACACTACAACGTACAACGTACTTCATCCCTTTTTGTCGAGTCCTCGGTCCACACCCCGGGGGCGGGACGTGTCAGTGCTCCTATGTATTTATGTGCCCATGTACCTAGTGTACCTACAACGTACCTTAGGCGAGGAAGTCGCCAGAAATAGTTGGCGGGTGTTTCAACCATTTCAATGGCTCCTCTAGTGTAAGAAGACTGCATTACTCATGGATCCCCTATTGAGACCCGGACGGGAGAAAAGAGGGGTCGGGTTTGAGGCGCATGGACAACGGGCGGCGACGGTGGCGGTAACGACAAGTAAATGTATGTCTTCAAAGGCGTCCAGTCTAGTGATTTCTTGACGACAACGGTCAAGATGACATCCCTACCAACTCTTTGCAGACGCAATTCACTTCAACTCCACGTCCCCACCCATCACGGAACCGCAACGCATCAGTCCCAACATGACTCGACTCGTCGATGTTGGATACACTAATCATTGATCCCCGTCCCATTCCCTCCTCTCTGGCATGTGTCTAGAGCGATCCTAGACCGATTTTTGTTGTTTCGGCTCCCTGTTTGTTGGACCTTGTTCCAGCGAGGTCAACTTGTTTCCTTGTCTCCTGCCTCTCCAGCGTAGCCAACCGTCTGTCTCGGCGTCCTTTTCGGAGATCGCTATATTCGCTGGGCAAGTCGAGAGGCGCGTTCGAGGATGCTACCTATGATGTACCGTTGTACCTCCAGAATGATTTCAAGGGCAGAGGACTGGTTGCCTCGCATGACCTTCACGGGGTTTCATTCAAAGGGCCCTCATTCCGCTTTCTCACTACAACTACTCAGTAATTACGGAGTATCAGCCCCGTTCCATCATCAATCGACGACTCTTACATATCCCCCACCCCATGACATCAATGAGGGGCGGAGTAAGTTACAGCATGCATGAGTGGATGGACGGAAAAGGATGGATGGATGCCTTGTTGCTTACCCTCCACACTCCGTTCTTTATTCTAGGGAGGCGTTATTTTCGTCCTTTCCCCCTTTTCTTGTTTGCGTTTCTTTTTTGCCCCCGTCATATCATCCTATCGATCTGCATGTTTCGTCTTTATGCCTGTCATGCATAGACTATGATCCCCTGTGTCCCCCTCATATGCCTCATATGAAGTACCCGTCGTACACTCACACTTTTTGCAGTACACTATTGTCATTGAGGTCACCAAGTCGAAAAGAGGAGGCAGAGGTCCAGACCCTCCCCACCCCCCTTTATTTTTTACTTAATTACTAACAAGCCTTCACGAGAACAAGACAAAGGGACAGTTATTAGTTGGCCGAAAGCGAACCTTCGCCTGGTTGGTCGATGTCTTACTTTATTCCCCCGACTGTTATTGGGCGACTTAACAGACGGAGCTAAGGTCAATAGGGCCGAGACTTCTTCTCCCTGGCGCCGGTGATATCCCGTATACATCCATGGATGCCTACACACATTCGTCCATAGGACAGGCTTCGGCTTGTGGCATCCAACTTTCCCGTCGCCGGCAGTCTCTGTGTTCTGTTCACGAGACATTCCAACTGAAAAGGAAAGACCGGAAAAAAAAGGGAAAAAAAGGCGCAAACTCCGTCGTCAAATACCTCCACTTGCTGGGGTGTCAGGAGGTTGAAGGACGGGAGTTGTTTTTCGCCTTTCGTGGCGTCGTCGGCAACGAACATCTCTTTTGCCCTTCGTTCCCTCGGCCACATCGCTCATCCGTTGTCCTCCCCGTCCGTTCCGCTGGGTTTGGACAGGCAAGAAATCGTGACCTGCCAAATATCCTAGACGGGTATTTCCGAGCCGGCGTCGGTCTGCGGTCGACCAGCGGGTGTTTGCTTCACCTTGGAAGTCTGAGGGTGAATATCGAGCAGGGTGGCTTGGTTTCTCGAGCCGTGTACTTTGTACGAGCGAGCATATGCTGCGGTCCCGTGTATATCTCATCCGTCCGTTTGTCTATTTCGCCCTCATTTCTGGTATCCGTCCGTGTCGTATCCCTGGGACTGTGTGATACCCTGTCTTCCGATAATCCCTGGTAGTACTCACGGCTCTGTTGTCGTAGACATTAACGCATGGCGTATAGGTAGTATAGTGGTCTTTACCAGGGTAGGGTTTCGCTGCCTGCCTGTTTTGGCGGGAACAGGTCGGGGTGCCTGCTTGAGACGGGTGCTGGTGCTGCTCGGAAGAGAGTGTAGGTGGTTGCAACTTGAGACTTCAGTGTAGGAGTTCTCCGTTGATGGTGTGCGATGTGTCGTCACATAACGCTGGATGTGTGAGTACTCCTGGGCAGGAAGGCTGAGGTCGTTCTGGTGTTGTGTTGGGTGGTAGTACGTTGGCATTCCCATGCTCGCGAGGTAAACTGCCGATAATATCAAGCCCTGGACGGTCGGCCTTCTGACTAGCTACATTTTCAACAGGGCAGAATGAGTTGCATACGTACGTATCCCGATGGATATGTCGAGTAACTCACCATCCGGGGGCACTCTATGCAAGCCCTTAAAAGACTGGGAACGACTTCGGATGCCGGCTTCCTTGGTTGTTTATGTGACCAACTCGTTGAGCTGCACACCTGAAATTGTTTTGTACCCCTGGAGGGACGGAGGTCCCTGAAGTAGTACACTGGGGGACGATGAACGACGATATCTATCACTCAGCCGCAATCCCCTTCACGTCTCAAGCGAGCTCCAGCGACTGTATTTTGGACAAGTCCATAGTTGGACACACCCCGAGCGAAGAAAAACAATCAAGCTGCGTTTATGCTTGTTAATACCACGACGACCTCCTCATCGACCCGGAAGACTGGAATGGCCTGGTTGCTGCCCAAGTCATGTCAGGAGTAGAGGTATCAACACCCAACCTGGGGCTAATTCTTATGTGCTTTACTGTATTATATTGATGGCAGTCTCCGCTCCTTCGCCATTCTTGAGCAAGAACATGGGACTTGTCGAAAGTACTCGTCGCCATGTTCAATCCAGGGGTGTTCTAACCGAGGTCATGAGAAGGCCGGGAACGTCAATTCGAGCTCATGGAAGATCACCTGAGAAGTGAAGTATGAAGCATCATCGCCTGGCACTGGTGCGTGATGGTTCGGGAATTCAGACAGCTATATCTCACAGGGATTGCCAACCCTGTGCTCTGAATGTTGTGCTTCAAATGGTAATAGAGACACATGTATCTCTTTACGTCGACGTCTCAATCTTCTATAAACTGCGCCCATCATGTAGAATGACTGTTGTGTGTCAAAACATTGTTGCCTCTCGGATATAAGTTTCGGTCACAGAATGACGGGGTTTCAATCATGTTGTTTTCTTTTATTCTTTTCTTTTATTTATTTATGATTATTTGCAGGTTTCTTCTTTGTGTAGGTTCTCAGCAAGACGGCAATTTGAATTTCTTACCTTAGATAAGAACTAAATGTTGAAAGTGACACTTGCAGAAATTTAGCCGACAAGTGCCTCCTTCAAGATCATCATTACAGAATAGGAGAGAAAGACGTTCAAAGAATCGGGCCTTCCATTCACCACTTGGCCATATCCTTTCGACACGCTTCAAAAAAGAAAGAAAAAAGAAAGATTTTTACGAAGTATTCGTATTGTGCAGCAAGAATAGAGAGGTTTCGAGCAAAAGCCTTGGCATGATTGGACCATGAACATCCAATACCGGTAATCACTGGGGCTTCAAGGAAAAGCGATCGCAACGGTTGGATAGGAGAAACGCTAGGACCACTTCCAGGTTTGGCGCCCAACCACCCTCCTCCTTCCCTCTGTATCCCTCGGAGTTCTTCCTCTTTTCTCTCCCTTTCCACGGCAACCGTCTCTTAACCCACGATCCGCCAGGCTACCGTCGTCTAGCAACCGCTCGGCTCCGAGTCCCACGAGACCGTTCAACCCCTCTCCATTCCGGGGTCCGAGACGCACTTCACTCGTTTTCTCTGTTTCTGTTCTTTCCTTGTGACTTGTTCCGCCCGTTGTCATCATCATTATCATTCATCTTCAAATCTTCAAATCTACATTCGCTCGCACCACCGAATCGGCCACGTCGATATCCACGTCCAAGCTCTCCCGTTTCTCGATACCCAACCCCGTTGTTCTCCCTAGCGTTGACGCCCTTCGTTCCTCGGACCGCGATTATCTATCGTATACTGCATTTTCGCGCTTCAATACACATTCTTCTCGGCGGTTTCTACGACACTCGTCCCCTTGGTTCGACATCGCCGGCCGACAAACAACCCTCTACACGTTTCCCCCCCCCTCGTCAGCGCTAAGGGATCAAAGAACCGATTTTGCTCCTCTTCTCTTTACTTGCCGCCGACGCTTCATACGACCTTAACGACAAACAAGCTTTTGCCTGCCATTATCACCTTCTAATACCACCTTCCAGTCTCGTCTTCTTTCTCACCGACGCCGCATACCTCGACTCGTTTTCCTTTTTTCTTCGTCTCCTTTCTTCCCCTGGCTTCCTTCCTCGGCCGACCGACGGCCTCGTCACGCCCACCATGTCCGGCTTTGGCGACTTCACCGACATTTGTCGGAACACACCACTGCCGCTATGTGCTTCAATCGGCTCCGCCGCTGCGGCGACGGGCGGACGACTTGGCATTGAACCCGACTGCTACGCCCGTAATATCGAACTGGCCAACACGATCATCTTCGAGGGAGGTGCTAGCGCGATGCATATCTTTGCCCTGGTCATGACCGTGATCATGATCCTGCACGTCCGGGGGAAGTTCACTGCTGTCGGTACGTACCGTCTACGGGATGCAAAATGACCTGATCATACTGGATGCGGCGACAGGGGACATGAAACCCTTCGTCCATGGCCAAAATACCTCGGGACCGATGCACTGACGTTTTTCTTCTTCTGTTGCGCATAGGCCGCAAGGAAATCCTTATGTTCTTCTACATCTACATGCTCCTCACATTCGTGTCCCTCTGCGTCGACGCGGGCGTCATCCCGCCAGGATCCCCACCATGGCCCTACTTCGTGGCCGCCCAGAACGGACTCGCCTCGGCGCTGGTGACGTGCCTGCTCGTGAACGGGTTCGTGGGCTTCCAACTGTACGAGGACGGGACGCCTGTTTCGGTGTGGATGCTGCGCATCATCTCGTTCCTGGCCTTCACGCTGTCCTTCCTCGTCTCGCTCGCCACGTTCATGGGCTGGGCCGGCATGGGCCCCACCAACACCGTCGGCCTCTTCGTCGTCCTCTACCTCCTCAACGCCATCCAGCTGTTCATCTACATCGTCATGCAGGTTCTGCTGGTGATGCGCACGCTGCAGGACCGCTGGCCCCTCGGCGACATCGCCTTTGGTGTCTTCTTCTTCGTCGTCGGGCAGGTCCTCATGTACGCCGTGAGCCCCCAGGTCTGCAATGCCCTTAGCCATTATCTTGACGGCTTGTTCTTTGCCACGGTGTGCAACCTTTTGGGCGTCATGATGGTGTACAAGGTAAGGATGCTGCTTTTTGAATTTCGCGTGTTCCCCTCGGGGTATGGGAAGTGGCAATGCTAATAATTTTTTTCTTCTTCTTTCTTTCTCCTTGCAGTACTGGGACTCCATCACTCGCGAAGACCTCGAGTTCTCTGTCGGAACAAGGATGAACAACTGGGAGGTTAAGGACTTGCTACCGGAAGACGAACGCCGAACGACGGTTTACGCCGATGATCCCTATGGGCCCGGTAGCGGTTACGATCAGCCATATTCGCCTTCTCCTGCTCGGTACTCGACCAAATATTAGTTGCGTGGTCTCACGGAGGAGAAGGACGATGGACTTATGGTTTAATGGCGCCAGTGCGCCGTTGGGTGGCTTAAAGTGCTCCTCAGTTGGACGAATCACATCTCCGGTATGTCTACGACCCGACGCCAACGTTGCGCCTCTCTTTTCGGCCCCTTTCTGCATGGCTACGGATTGGCGTTTTCCTTGCTTTCTTACTTTCCATGGGATTAATCATGTCGTGCATTTGGAGGGTTTTTTCTTCTTCTTTTTTTGGTACGGCGATTCTAGCTCGGGATCATTTTGGCAGAGAGACGAAAAGTGGTTTACATGGGGAGGATCGAACACGGAAACCTCGGATCCTAAGCTCGTGGTGATGACGAAACAGACAAACAGACACCGGTGCAGCCAGCCGTTGGGCGGTTGCCGGCATGATGCATAATTCAGTGTATATAGCATATTTTAATGGTATCGTTTCAAGAGAATAGATCCTCCAACATGACACAGACAGCCCTTATGCCATGTGCCTTGATGTCCAGACCTTAGGCCTCGGGCCATAACAAGCCATTGTACTTTTTTTCAAGACCTACCCTGGTGAATCAGGGTGAATAGCCATGAGTAAGGTATTGCAGCCTGTTGGGAGTGTGGAGTACGCACCATAAATATATACGTCACGTGACTTACATTATTCGGTTCCCGTTTCCTGTTGTCAGAACACAAATAAGGTACGCGGAATTATGTGTGTATTCATCTAAGTGAAGTCCATAATACTTCACGGGAATGTCTAACTATACGGAAAAAGCAGGGGAAATAAGGGTGGATATATAGGACCGAGGTACTCCACACGTCTAACACTATATGGTTTATCACACCCCGATAAGGTAGCTATGGTATCTAACACACCCCCCTAGAACTGCGGGATTGATCCTGACTATTCTGCTTAATTTAAAGCCGTAAATCTAGGTAAAACAGTGGCCTAGATATTAATCCAACGGTTAAAGAACGGCTTATTAAAAAGCGCGCTCCTTTTATATCTAAAAACGTTAAAAACGTGTAAAAAATAGTGGTTAAATTAACCTTAAAACCACGTTAAAAATGGGTGCCTAAATAATAATCTGAAAGGCACTAAAACCACGGTTTATCGGATCCAAAGGGCGTGAATATCGAGATACTTTAATTTCGAGGTAACCTACGGCCTAGGGGATTCTAGTAGCTACTTAGTCTATTAATGATCGTAGTATACTATTAGTGGTTCCTCCTTAAAGGTTAACGTTAGGTCCTTTATTAAACGCCTTATCGCGATATACTGCTTAGTAGTAGCAGAAAGTGCTATAAGCTCGGCCTTAGTATTAGAGGTCACGACGCTTATTTGCTTATTTGCTTTTTAGTCTATAGGACCGCCGAATAGCAGGGTCGTGTACCCTTATAAGCTATACCTAGTCTTACCGTCGTCTACGAAGGCGGCGTTAGAAGTATAGAAGAGTGTAGGCTTTTAGTAGTCTTTACGTAGTCCGAAGTAGAGGTATAGGGTCTTTATCGAGCCGAGATACTTTAGGCACTTATCGGTAGCCTCGTGATTAACGGGTTAGTGCTGAATTCGGTAAGCCTCGAAGCGGCTTTAGAGATATTAGGCCGGGTCTAATAGGCAGCGTAATTAATAGAACCGACCTTCCGAAGATATAGATAGATTAATTCTTCGGAGACTTATTAGTCGGTAGGCTATAGAATATTAGGATAAGGAAGAGGGCTTTTAATCCTATGACCTCTATAATCTACCTATAACGCCTTTATCTTATCGGTAATATAGTTATTAAGCGATAACTAGAGCTTATGTTATTAACGATCGCGTCCTACGCGGATTCTAAGGAACCACTTAAGTAGTCCTAGATCCCTGATTTAGAAGCTTTTCTATATCTGCTATACTAGGTTATTAGCGGCAGATTAATATTCCTTATAGTAGATTAGGATAATATCGTTAACGTAAAAGAAAGTAATTAGGACCTTATTCTTAAAGACGTAATCGTCTTCGGTTAATTGCTTTAAACCGTATTTACCTAGTACGGAAGAGAGCTATTAGTGCTATAGCTTTAGGGAATGGCGGAGGCTATATAACGCGCGGCGTAGCCTTTAAATCCCTCTATATTATGTGGGAGGGCGTTAATTTAAAAGGTCCTCGAGCTGTTCGTGGGCTTTAAGGCCTATAGCCGACTAGAGTAGCTGCTAACTAGGAGGGTCTTTAATATAGATTGCCTCGTTAAGCAGGGTATTAGTAAATACGTTAACGGCGTTAAGTTACTAAGTCTCGAGATCGAAGTGGGCTATAATGCCTATTAGCGACCTAAAGGTCCTTCTAGCGAGGGTAGAGGCGTAGGCGTTAGAGTGGTTAGTTAGTTATTAATCCCCTCGAACGTATAGGCGTGCCTTAAACTTATTAACGTAACTAGTAGGATCGACTTTATACTTAAAAACCCATTTAAGGTCTAGTAGCCTTAGAACTAATTTAGGTAGTCCTAAGCTATACCCCTGCTAGTAGGATTATTCCCACTGTTTAAAGGTGCCTATTAACCTAAGCGTGCCGACCTCCTAGGAGGCGGCCTTAATCTATTCTAATTTATAGGGACTCTTTAGTATTTAAGACTAGTTTAGAGGTTTCTTAGGTATATCGCGGCGTAGTAGCGGCTTTTTCGGTATCTTAATCTGATTATAGAAGGTATAAAAGGAAGGAGGGGTATAACGGTCGGTTAAACGCCTATTACGGGTAGGCCGGTCGGTAGCGGCTATTAGAATAATAGGAGGGCGGCTTTTTCTGCTTATAGAAGTAGTTTGGTTAGCTATAGTAGTGGAAGAAGAGGTTTAAGGAGACTTAGCAGGAGCCGTAGATACCGGATTAACGGCGGTGGTAGTGGTTAGTTCCTCGTCGAGGACTAATTAGTTAGGGGATAATAATCCTATCGCGACGGTATCGCCGGTTATAGCTGTATCGTTAAATTGATCTTCGGTATCGTTAGGCCGTTTAAAAACAGGCGGTAGATCCGTAGTTCTAGTTAGTGGTGTAGGAGAGCTGTTTATAGTTATTGGAGGAGGGAAAATAGGTGCTATTAGAGGCATAATTATAGGTGTAATTATAGAAGGCGTTATTGAAGCAGGTGTCGCCGGAGGCGTGGAAGGCGTTATAGGACTTATTTGCCCTGTTCCACGTACCTCCTATGCCACTTAATTAGTAGATTGATCTTCCTGCTGTTGTTGTTCTTCTGTAGATTCTGTAGTGGTTATTAAACCTGCACCTCTATCCACTCCCCTAGAAGCACTAGTAGTAGTAGCCGCTATAGCCTCCTTTATGGTATTCTGTTCTAGTAGCGTTTAAGGGTGATAATCGACCACGTCGGTAGTAATACCTAAAGGATCGTGGAGTTGATAATCTATAGGCAGATTAAGCTACTCGAAAACCTTAATTAATACCTTAGGTTCGTGGTCACGATCTTTATATAGCTGTTTTTCGTTGAAAGTGACGTCTCTTGTGCGCAGGATCCTCCCTAATTTTAGCACCTAAATCCGGTATATATTAGTGCTCTCGTAGCCGATTAAATAGCCGATATATACTCTCTCCGCGAGCTTAGCGTTACGGTTACGACCTCGTTAATAATCCGCGGTTAGTAGATAGGCTTTTTAACTATACCTTTTTAGGTGGCTAACAATAGGCTTTATTAGTATCTTCTTTAGGCCTTATTTATTAATCTAATCCTCTATCTGCCCTTAAGGGGTTTTCCACTAGAGGTCCTTCCGAGGGATAAGGTTATACAGATATACTGCAACAGCTACTAGTTCTGGCTATATATTCTATTAGATGCCTAAGGCCGTTACGAGGGTCCTCGCGATAGTAAAAATAACGCCGCCGTGGCGTTCTGCCTTCGGATTCTACGCGGCTATATATAGCGATAACCTCTTAAGCAAAATCCCTCTCTCGTCGGCCTATTTATCGAAGCCTTTCTAAAGGGATCTTTCTCTATCTAGGCGGATTACTATAATTATATAGTAGTACTGCCTCTAAAGGAAGAACTTAAAATTTACTAACATGGGTAAGGCTAATTTATAGTTATACAGGAACTGTATAATAGCTTAACGAGTATAGGGATCGTATAAAAGTATCACGACCTTTATACTATTATAGGCCTTATTAAGGCTAAAAAGGTTAACCTCCACCCTATACCACGGTATCGTCGTTTAGTGGTTAGGCGACCGTCTAGATACTACCTTCTTCGCCTTACTATGGGTATAGGCCTTATAATCCACCATAAGAGGACCTTTTCCTTTAATAAGGCCTCCGATAAGGGCATCTCTAATTTTATCGAGGGTAGTAGCGCTAGCGTGCCCTAGCCTCTCGTGCTATAAGCGAGCGTCTGCCACGCTTATAGTAGGCGTTATAGAGCTATTAAAAAAACTGCTTAGTAGGTGCTATTAACGATCCGTTAGAACGAGAGCGTATTAATCGTTAACGTTATTTAGAGGTAGGGCTACTAAGCTCTCCACCTTTAGCACTTTAAGGCCGGAATTAAAAACGATACCCTATTCCTTTAATCTTCTAGTCGCGATTAAGGTTATTAGGTAATCTTATATAAAAGTAACGCGATTTAGCACTAAAACGAAGGGATTACTATATTCGTCGTCTACCTCTAATTATATCCTGCTATAACCCTTAACTAGCTTAGTCTCTCCACTACCCGTTTAAAAACGATACTCTTCTATAGCAGGTTCGAAGTCCTAAAGTAAGTATCGTTAGTTAGTAATATGCCTAAAGGTGCCGGAATCGATTAATAACTGGTTAAAGAGATTACTACTAACGCTTTCTTTTCCGTTAATCTGTAGGAGGGAGTATATCCTATAGGATTTCTCTTCGGAATTCTCCTCTTAGTTATCGATAAAATTAAATACCTCCTTTAACGATTCCTTCGGCTATAACTTCTAAGAGTCGTTTTTAGCACCCGTTTTCAGGCTTTTAGCGTCCTTTTCGATATTCCCCCAGAATCTCTTTTAACGTTCGTTATCCTAGGTCTTAATAATACGGTCGACGTATTCTAAGATCTCTTTTAAAGGTGTATATCCCTTCTTCCTGCGTGCCTCGTTTATATTTAGGCATTTCTATAGAGGCTTATAATTATACTTACTCCTCTTCTTATTATAGTAGTCGTAAAGCCACTCTTTCTTTTACTATAGAGAGGACTACTAATTATCTTACTATCCCGATTATACCCGCTAATCCTTACCTTCTTTATCCTTACCTAGGAAGGTTACCGTATAAAAGGATACTACGGTAGGCTTTTTATCGAGTCGGTGCGGGTAGCGGCGATAAAGCTATATCGTATATTCCTCCACGATAGATTAAATTAAGGGTAGGTCCTACTCTTCTAACCGGATAAGCTATATAAAGCGTCTTTCTAACCACTCTAATACTATATAGCCGATAGCGTTAAAGAAGCCGTCTATCTATTATTCCTTAGTATCGTATTCTCGGACTTTATACGTCTCGGCGTCGCGGTATAGCTTTATAAAGTCTTTTAGCCAGCGCTTATAGGGTATACGCCTAACGTTTTAGAGGTATTCGTCCTAGCGTCTTTTAATTAGCGACTTCTAGACCGCGTTCGTTAGCTTAAGGTGCGTTTTAAAGGTATACAGGATATCTTTAACTTCCTTTTTACCGGCGTACTAATCCTTTAAAGCAGGGCTAACCGTCTTCGCGATATAGTCGTGGAGTGCTTGAATTCTCCTTTTTATAGCCTTATACTAATTCTCTTCCACCTACCAGATCTTAAATAGTATATCCTAATTACCTCTTCCTTTAATAGAGGCTAGGGGCGTCGGTGGATCGGTTCGAATACGGCGCTTAGGCCGTTTAGCCTCTTTAAGGTCGGGATTAACGAGGTCGGCGATATCGTGGGAGTGCGCGATAGTTATCACGGCTTTAATCTAAGGCCTCTAGTCTTTCGGAGAGGTAAGTGTTGCGAGGCCTATAACGGGCACTACTACCGTGGAAGCTATCGTTATACTAATAAAAAGCAGTAGAATAGGATAAATGGAAAGGTTAATTAACTAAACTAAACGCTTAAAACGATAGTACGATTAAAAACGATAAAACGATTAAATAAAACTAAAGTAGGCGGACGTTACTAATAATACTAAACTACCCGTTATAGACTTAAGGCTAATTTAATAGTCTAGAAGCTATAGAATCGATCGGAATAGCTTCGTTTATTAGAACGCCGGGCTTATAACTATTAGAATATAAATAAGATACGCGGAATTATATATGTATTCATCTAAGTAAAGTTTATGATACTTCACGGGAATGTCTAACTATACGGAAACAGCAGGGGAAATAAGGGTAGATATATAGGACCGAGGTACTCCACACGTCTAACACTATATAGTTTATCACACCCCGATAAGATAGCTATGGCATCTAACACCTGTTTAAGAGGATATAATTCTTGCTATCAAAATTTCCCTAAACATTACCGACCATATTACCGACCCTCCCTCTTATCCCTATACGCGTTTCGCGTAGGTGGTTCTATCTTTTTACGTTTACTTTTTAATGGATATATACTTCTTTCCTTTAAGCGTCTTGAGTGCATAGTCTATCGAAATCTTCAGACTATAGGTATTTCCGGTCAACTATACCTAGCCAGCTCACGGCAAGCGAAATCGCGCTTCGCGTCGCTTAATTTTCTATAATTCAGCAGGATATCGCGTTTGCCTTCTCTTCCGTATATTGGACGTCCATCAAGGTACGTACTGGGTTTTGTTAGTCAGCTCTTTCTATTTTATCCGTACCCACTTTTCACCGGATCACTTCGAATCCAATGATGCATCCGCTTTTCTACACTCCTACCTATCCGTCGCCCCTGCCTGGCGCATCTATCTCTCAATCCTGACAGCTAATGGTCGCCCATATTGAGACAGCCTGTCTAAACGCTCCGCGGGGGTGCCAGTACCTCAATTGAGGAGTCTTTCCAGTTCAACCAGTTCAACCAAGCGCCACCGTCCGAAGGAAACGCCCCGCCCGAGTCTCGATATCTTGCCTCGGCTCTGCGCGGTCAACATCGAACACCGCGTCTGCGTGTCCGGTCACGTCACCATGCAGGCTGATGCCGATTCGGGCAGCTTGCCCAGGACCTACTTGGATGTTGTCCGCATCCTTCGCGAGGAAGAAGAACACGAGCTCGAGGAAGCCCTCAGAGCTCAGACGGAGTCCATACGACTCTCGCTACGAGCGCTGGTCGAAAGACGAATCGAGGCAGAGGCCGCCCTCAACCGTGTCCACGTCGCCATCGCCACTCGTGAGGCCCAACTGGAAAAAGCGGCCAAGGACTACTACCAGCGGAAGCAGGAGATCTCCTCGGGCAGCCTCTTCGCTGCTGCCAATACCGATTCCGACATGCATACCGGCGTCCAGGTCTATAGCACCACCGGAGTTTTCATGGGCGATGTCATGCCCATTGAAACCGAGAATCCCGTTGTGGAGATCCTGCTCGACCTACCGGTCCTACGTAGCGTGACGGTGCGCCGCGACTGGAACCACGACCCGGGCCGACTCAACAGCATTTACCAGGAGCGCAACATCACCGGCTCCGGTAAGCCGTTCCGCTGGGTGGCGGTCATGATCCAGGCCACGGGGGAGGTCCTCAACGGCGGCGACTGCTGCGGCAACTGCGCCAGGGGCATGGGACCCTTCGAGGAGTGCATCATGCTCCCGGGCGACCCGTTCCGCAAGTGCGGGAATTGCGAGTGGTCGAAGCGGCCTTGCAGTCCCTCTTCCCACCAACCCCCTCCTTCTTCATCTGCGAAAGCAGGCCTGGCCGTCGAACGCTTCCGAGGCCCGTCGGCAGACGACTCTGTCGCCGAGCACGATTACAGCGGTGGCGACTTTTCCATAGACGATCGAGCCGAGGGTTCCCCCGTCGACCTAGAGCCCATAGGGGCCGCGAATCTGTCCCTTCGCCACAATGGCAAGGTCTACACCCACCCCGCCTGCATGGAGGGCGTCCCCGTCGAGAAGATCGGCCCGGGCCACCCGTACTGGGATCCCGAGTGGGATCCGGACCTGATGTCGACCATCCGGGTCCAGACGCTCGAGTGGAAGGCGAAACTCGAAGCGTCCCTCCACAACACCTCCAGCGTCCGGTTCGCCAAGCAACGGCAAGTCAACCGCGGCGAGGCCATGCTCGAGTTCCTGAACAAGGGGCCCATCCACCCGTTCCAGCTGGTGGCCAAGAAGTACATGGACGCGAGGCGCCTCGCCAGCTTCGACACGCTCTTCCGCCTCGCCGAAACCCTCCGCACCCTATCCAACAACGGCCTGGACATCACGCCCGAGGAGTGGGTCCGCCACAGGCTCCACGAGATCATCACCGAGACCCAGCGCGACGGCCAGACGTTCGACCTCGCGAAGGCCATCGCCAACTTTTACCACGACCCGAAGGTGGTCGCGTTCCGGGACGCAAAGGGGATCAAGACCATCGGCCGTCCCGCCGGTTACAAGATGGCGGTGCCGCCCCGGCGGAAAAAGCAAAAGACGGACTTTGACACGTCGGCGACGGGGTCGCCGGCGCCGGGCGCATACAACAACAACAACAACAACGCCGGCGGCGGTGGTGGTTACCATACGGCCAGCTTCGTCCGGGCGGACGACGGGTCACCAGACGCGTGGGCGCAAGGGAGCCAAGCCATACTACCAGCAGCAGCAGCAGCAACAGCAGCAGCAGGCGGCGAGCTGGTACGCAGGCGCAAGAGGCAGACAGACGCGGAGCTGGGCTACGAAGGGTTCACCGACACGGACGAGAAAATGGGCGACCGGATGACGAAGCACGACTTTGCGCTGCGCTCGGTCAAGTCGCGGGCCTACGCCACCAACAGCACCGTCACCCAGTACTGGCACTGGGTCGAGCAGGGCGAGGAGGCGGGGTCGTCGTCGGACCGCCTGTTCCAGCACCAGGTGTTCCTGCCCTGCGAGCCGCCGCAGTGGGGTCTGTATTCGGCGCCGGTCGACTTCCACTTTGGCCTGCAGGACGTGAAGGAGATTGTGTGGGCGTCGGATACCCTGAAGGCGGTGGTCCGTTGTGGCGGGGCGGCTGCTGAGCTTCATGGCGATATGATTGGGGATTTTGCGAGGGAGAGGACGAAGAGACGGTTTTTGGTGTTTTGTATGAAGAAGGGGCTTCGGGTGGTGAAGTCGACTGCGTACGTTTTTTTCCTTTTCTTCCTTTTCCCCTCCCTTTCCTCCTTTCCACCTTTCCCCCTTTCCCTCTGACTACTTGGAGATACTAACGAGGAGAAATAGGTTTGAAATCGAGATGGCCTGGGAGATGATGAATTCGCAGGTTCTGGGACCGTTAGGCCAGGTAGAGGCTTGAGGAGTAGGTTCATGACTGCATCTTGGGGAGCCTGCTTAAAAGGGCCATTTTTATTTATTTATTTGCCTCTTTATTGCACCTTTCGGCGTCTTTCTGGGAGCCAGCCTCGCCTGGGCCTAGATATGTCGAGCCGAGTCCCCTCTTCGGCGCGATCTTATACATTAGAGATACCCCGTTTCCTGGCGTCATGTATTCCCGGACAAAGGAAAGGATGGTGGCTGGGTCTGTACTTAGAGCTATGGGGCATGATAATAAACCACAGCGAGTTGGGCCTCTTCACTCGGCTAGATAGTTGGACGGAGGCCATGAAAGGAGGCGACCCTCGTCCCGATGCCAGAGAACGATGTTCAATAACAAAACATAAGTACGGTGCGATGGTTGCGCCTTATCCCAAGACCCCAGCCGCCAAGTTCGTTTCAGCGACACGCGTCCCCTCAACCTCATGAGCGCGGTGGCGCCGTCACCTTAAAGGCACAGCCAGGGCAAAACTCAACTGTATGTATTGTGAAGAAGACATGATCCTGCTTATCCACAAGTCCCATACTCACCCTGGCACCCCTCGCCGCAATGATCCGCCGTCGACCCGCACCAGCTGGCCCACGAGCAACACGTCGCGTCCAGGGGCTCGTAGGCACAGGTCTGACGGCCGTGGCCGGGGCCACAACGCCCATCCGTGGTAGGAGGAGGAGGGGGAGGGGGAGGGGGAGGGGGAGGAGGACCACCAGTATCGGAAACTCGGCGATACCAGTTCTCGGGGGGGTCTTCGAGACAAGTGCCCACCGTGACGGCGCGGAAGCCGTTCCGGGAAAGGGACTCGAGCATGTGGTCTGTCAGGGAGTAGACGGCGTGGTAGACGGGGTCGTGTTCGATGTGGAGCCAGGAGCGGGTGGCTGGGTCGGCGCCCTCGACGTGGGCGTCCCAGATGGCTTTGCTTTGGGCGATTTGTTCTGGGGTGTTGTGGAGGTAGCCTTCTGTGTCGAGGTTGAAGAAGGTGATGTGGTAGCCCAGGGCGTCGAGGAGGGATTCGCAGGTGTCGTCGCAGGCGGAATAGGGGGGCCTTTTTTTCATATTTTCAAGGGGTTGTCAGAAGACGTTCGTTGACTTTGGTTACCGCATGAAAGGGGGCCAACGAAAGGAGGAGAGTGTTGTCTCTAACCGCATATATGTCGGGAAAAAGCCAAAGAGGTCGGCAATGGCCGTCTCGGCGTAGTGCATCTGGTTTAGGAACTGGGACGTGCTGACTTCCGTGAGCCGTTGATGTGACCAAGTGTGACTCGCGATTTGGTGGCCTTCATCTATCATCCGCTGGAAGAAAGATGTTGTCAGTAGTAAGTACGGCATATATGCAAGGTGGCTGATCGGAAACTTGGTCGGATGGCAACAAAAGGAAGACGAGGAGGAAGAAAACGTCAATACCTTCAGGAGTTCGGGCCAGGGATATTCAGGATCGTTCACCATGCCTTTGCCCAGGTTGTTCCCCGTGACAAAAAAGGTGGCTTTAGCATCGTAGGCCTGTATAGAATCAATCACTGCTGTATCAGCCCTTGCGAACAGACTTGCTACATAGATCGTGAAGGGGGGGCGTTGAGAAGATGAACGAACCGCGAGCTTGTCGAGCAGATCCTCGGTGTAGTCGAACGGACCGTCATCAAAGGTCAACGCAATATCTCCGGGACGGCTGCAATGATAGATCGGCTCCCCGTACGGCACGGAGCCGACTTTGGGCCGGGGCACATCTCTGGTGTCCGGGCCCATGGGTTGCCGGTTTGCATCACAGGCCGGGCCAAAGTCGATCTGACAGGCCGGGGCAGAACAATACAGATATCCCTGGCCGCACCATCTATATGTTTCTTGTTCCCCGGTCAACACGCTCATTCCTGTGTCGTCGAAGGAGGAAGAGGAAGGAGTTCTCGAGGAAAGGGGGGAGAGGGACTCACCCTGCACTGGAACAGCAATATCCAGGGTCACAAGTCGTTCCAAAGCCGTTACCGCACCGGCCGCTTTGTAGGGCTTCTGAGGAAAACTCCGTCTCGTCGAGATTCGCAAACGGGGCGGGAGAGCCATAGATGGGTGCAACGAGAGCCAGAGCAGCGGCGGTGAGAAGAGCCGTATTATGTTTGAGGCACATGACTGTTGGTATTACGAAGCTGCGGCGAGGAGGATGATGTGGATTCTGGAGGATGGGAGTCTTTATGAAGTCACAGGAGGCTCGGTTCGTAGGACACTCGAGGGATTCAGATTGTATTCATGTGACGGCGGCAGAGGAGACGAATGACTCCTCGTGTTAACTACAGAGTACAGATCCCTACATGAGAATATATACAAGAGGTGCTATTCGATGTGACATGTGTATGCACGGCACTGGTCGAGTATCCCGACATGGAATTTTGCCGATAGGTCGGTGCCTAACATCTTGGCTATCATCGCGACTGGTATGCTTCCCACCACTGAAGGGGACATGACAGCCAAGGGATCTAAAAAAAGCAAAGACGGGTATCTGGGCCGAAGAGAACTGGAGCGTCTGCGAACACCCAGTATTTCAGGGATCGGGATCAGTTGAGCACCCAGCCAAAGCTTTCCCTGACCCTTTGTCTTTGGCAGCCCAGGAGAATCCGGGTTCCGAGTGCCGACACTGAATGATGCGCGACGGGAGAAGATGAAGCTACCAGGCCAAGTCCAAGGACAATCTCAAGTCAATATACGAGAATAGCAGAGTGACTGACGAAGGTCTGAAAGATGAATGGCCATGGAAGACCAGCCCTACGTCTGTGACGAAGTCCTGACATATCATGCCCTCTTTTCCGAACGAGAGAAGCAGAAGAATACGAGGAGAAAAGAGGACCCAGCCAGATATTGGATGCGCTGCAACTATGGGTCTGTAACATGACTCTCGTATAAGAACCAAACAAGGGGACTAGCACCTCGTACTGAGCTCATCATCTTAAAAGATTGGGCGTCACGGGAGAATTGAGGACTGTGGAGGTTCATGCCATTGTGTGGGAGCTCAGGGGTTCAAATTCAGGGGTTAGAATTTAGACGTCAACATGCGCCCAACATGAATCACGGGCGTATATTTCCAGCTAGGTAGCTTTTACCGTGGGCCCTGTCTTAATGCCCTTGACCGCTGTTGTGTGTGTGTGTGTGTGTGTGCTGGATGAAAAACTGTTCGAGGCTCTTCTCCGGGACGACTCAGGAGTCCACGCCTCCTCGGCTGTCGCGTTCAGTGGACTGAATCGCGTACTACACGTGTACAGCACCTAAGCGCAAGCGAAGCAGTGTCCTGCCGTTCTATTCCCGCTTCTCACTCGACACTGATTACACTTACCAATGCATGCATGACATGGCTACTTGCATCGAGGATTCCCGTAAGCATGGCGAGTTAACTGTTCTATGACGCCATCCATGGCGATTTCATTGGCTACCAGATGAAAGATTGGCTGGTCTCTTCGTATTCGAGTGCATCACGGATGATCTAGGAAGCATTAGGGGGGTGCATTGGAAGACAGACATGGTAATGCCTGCACAAGCATACATTAACTCCAGCGCCTTTTGTGCTTTTCTTTTTTCTCTCTCGAGATGGCCATGATATTGATGCCGTGATACTACAGCTGCATGAAAGAGGAGCGAAGAAACCGAAGATCAGAGCCCTTCTTACGAATGGGGTTTGTGCTGACTATTTGGGAGGCTTGGGGTCCCAACTGTGACTCCGACTTGAACCCATCTGGATAGAACTCCTGATGACTGACACGTTACATACGGATATCAGGACGCATATGCTTCGTTCGTTCATATGAGATGAATGACAGCTCAGACGTTACTACCGCTGGTGACTCCGTGGGACTCGAGTCAACATGCCCCTTGCGAACCCCTTTCCAAGTTGAGTTGACCGGCCTCTTCAGCCCCGAACGGTTTTGGATCTCTGAATACCTTCATGTTCGCATCGGAGACGTTACAATTGTTATTTTCTGTACTATTTTGAAGGAGCAGTATCCCTCGGCCATTTCGTGTAAAGTTTTGGTACCTCATTCAAGTCTTCGAAGGACGCCATCAGTTAGACATAATTGCTTAATTATACCTAGATATCTCGTACAGTATTGACTTTCTATTCTTATTCTACCGTCCATGACCAAGACATTGCCTCTAAACGTGTGACATGGCTCTAGATGTTACACAAGAGGCCCAGGCCAACTCGTCTTGAGGCATCAAAGAAGCCATGACATCTCGTCTGTGCCTCCTCGAATGGCCCTGTCGTGGGACATTAACCGACTGCCTGTGCTCTTTTCAAAGCCCTCCCGCCGATCAGCCAACGATCCCACCCGGTGGCGTAACTGGCGTCTGGTTGCTTGTTCACAGTTCCCTTCCGCCATTCCCACGTGTGCCGCCGCCGCCGCCGCCGCCACTAACCAACCCCCTTTTCCCTCCGATGTCAGGGGGGCGCGCACGAGGCTCGTTGCCCTTCCTCGTTTTGCGGTCCTTGACCCAATAAGAAGACGCTGCGTGTCCCAGTTTGTTAATCGTTGAATCCGAAAAAAAGAAGCCGTTGCCATCGTCTAGGAAAACAAACAGGCGTTGCCGTGAAGCTGCAAGACAAAAAGGTCAAGAGCCAAAACAAAGTCCACCCCCTTTTTAAACTCTTCATTTTACTCCATTACCCTCAGCTCCGGCTAGATCCAACAAATACATCATGTCGAGATTCATGTTAGGTAGAAAATAACTATAACGAAAGAAAGTAAGAATGGAATGTATGATATGTAAAGGTGAGAGGCAGATGTTGACTGGGTATCGTCTCTCGGGCGGCCGATAACCTTCGGGTGAGGTCTTCTAAAACGTATTCCGACCGCCGACGCCGTCGCCCTCCTCGCCATCGGGTGACACGACTTCGCGCGTCTTGCCCCATTTGAAGTCGTCCGAGTTGAAGAGGGAGTAGGCCAAGATGACCATGTTGATGAAGGGGGATGTCACAAGGTGGAAGAAGTAGCCGATGAAGTATTGTGCTTTTTCTAGCAGAGACCGTGGGAGCCAGAACCCGATGCAGAAGGAGTAGAGCTGCGGGGAGTAAAAGAAAGAGATCATCAGTAAGGAGGCAAGGTCTCGGAAGAAAGGCAAAAGAGACGCAATACACACAGGAAGAAAAAGGGGTAAAACAAAGGGGGGGGGGAACTCACATATCGAAAGGCGAGAATGGAAATCAGGGTCAAAAAGGCAATGTCATTTCTCAGGTCCTCGCCACGTCGCACGAGGATGATGACGAGCTGGACCAGAGCCGACATGATAAACGGCGTGATGGCCCAGGTGATGACGGTAATGACCGACTGGAGACGCTCGACGGGGATGATACCGGGCCGGAAAATCATGACAAACTCGTTCGAGATGGCGCCGAGGGCCCATCGCTTCCGCTGCGACAGGAACACGTTCCAGCTCTGCGGCACGACGGTGTAGGCCTTGGCGCGCAGGGCCTGGGCCGTCTGCCGCTTGGGGAACAGGCTAAAGATGATGCTCGCGTGGATCGAGTCCTCCGAGTAGTTGCCCATGATGTGCAGCGTCATCAGGTCGTTCGGCTTGGGGCAGTAGCCGAAGCGCTCGCGGAGCACCTCGTCGCCGAACGTCGACTTGTCCACCTTGATGAGCTGGCAGCAGCCGGGCAGGCAGTTCACTTTGCCCGTGACGCGCGACTGGAACATGCGCCGCAGGCCCTGCGTCTGCGAGTACTCGACCGACTGGTACAGCGACCAGAGCCCCCAGTTGCGGCCGTCGTAGTCGACGCAGACGTGGCCGCAGACGCCCACCAGCTTGGGGTTCTTGCGGATCTCGCGGACCATCTCCCAGACGCAGTAGTCGTCGAAGACGGTGTCGGCGTCCATGCCCACCAGGTACTCGACGTGCTCGAGCCCGCTCTGCATGAACACGTTGCCGATGTGCTCGAAGAGGTCGTTGCTGAACATGGTCACCACGTTGGTGGACCGCATCTGGTAGTGGTACATGAACGAGCGCGCGAAGCACAGGCTGTCCCGCTTGCCCTGGTTGTACTTCTTGCCGACGAAGACGTAGGGGATGCCCCTGTGGAAGCCCGTCTGGATCTTGGTCGGCATGAACAGCCCGTCGCGCGCGCGGTAGCCGTTTTCGAAGACGCGCGACGGGCCGGGCTCGAGGATGTCTTCCAGGAGGTACTGCTGCGTCGTCTTGTCCATCCCGGGGCCCTTGACGTTGCCGTCGACGATGATGAAGATGAGGCGCGGGTGGTCGTCGATGTTCTTCTGCGCGATGAGCGAGTCGAGGGACCGGGTGAGCTCCGACAAGGTCTCGTTGTAGCAGGGGAGGAGCATCACCATGCGTTCGGGGTGTTCTGGTTTGTGCTCTTTCCGGAAAAAGTAGAAGCAGAAGACCCGCGTGACCAGGAAGTGGGCGATGATGCACAGGATCATGAGGAACTGCAATATGGTGTTGGAGCTGAGCAGGATGATGAAGAGGACCCATGCCTCGTGGTACGTTACGGACACCCAGATCAGGACGCCGTTGATGATGCAGAGGCCGACGAGAAGAGCCCATTTCTGGAGGCGAAGAAGCGACTTGGACACCTGTTTGAGCTCACTATCCGAGTCCCATCGCGGCTTCGCTTCTTCCATCTGAACGGACGACTGGAACGATGCGCTCGAATCGTTGCCCCGTGAAAGCCATGATGCATGGCCGGACTGCGGCGTTCGGGTTCCGAGGGGCAGATCCTCTGCACGGAATCCATGCGCTATAGACTGGATTTCCCTCTTCTGTCAGTGCTAGTTCGACGAGCCCAGGGCTTTTGGGGGGGGGGGTCTTAGACAAGACGTTACCGATGCAGAAGACTGGTGACCACTGTGTCGATGGTTTGATTGACTTCGTCGACTCCGATGCATGGACGTGTGTGTGCTGCTTCCGGCTGCCTCGACAGGCACCGGCGGAGGGACTCGGACTGGGGGCATGACTGGGCTGGATCCAGCCGCCATCTTCTCACGGGGAACAGACGAAGGGGGGAGAGCCTCGTCTCAGAGAAAGGCAGAGCTAGCAAGACCGCCAGATGGGAGAACCGGCCGAGCTAGAACATACACAATAGAAGCTTGCCGCAGAGAAGGAGTGAAAGATAGGGGAGAGGCGACGGGGGGTATCAAGAGGTGGGATATGTGATCAGCAACTACGATCAAGGGACCTTGCAGCAGAACGAGAGTGGTGTTGCCGAAGCAAATAGCGACTGGTACCTGCTGAGAGGAGGGAAAAGGGGGGGGGGGGACTCGGGAGCAGGCGAAGAAAGAAAGAAGGATGGCGAAGAGGCCAGGTATTATTGCATCTGAGGGAAGTGGAAACGAGAGATGGCGCGATGGGGTCGGACTGCATTCTGGCCATGGGGATATGGCCCACGTCCCCGGGCCAGCGTTTAGTTTTGCAAGGCGCCATCGACTTTCCGGATCTCGATATCAAAGGGTCAATGGAAGTTGCTTCGTCGATGAAGAGAGATGTCTCGCAGCATGGGCCGGGGTGCATGGGTAGGTGCCACGTCCTCGCTTGAGCCCAGGCCCATGCCCATGCCCATACGGGAGGGACAAAGAAAATATTGGACGCGATGTCACCAGCTGAAGGGGCGCTATAGTAGGCGGTTGTATGGAGCCACGGACTAATTACTTGCTGTCATGTCAGGTCGGTGGAGGCAGAAAAGACCGCTGTTCTCGATCGACCCTGGTCCTAGTGTGAGTGTGTGTGTGGCCAAGGTCGGCCGTCTGGACAATGGACGGTTAGATGAACCCCCGAGGGCCCCCCGTGTTAGCTTGTTTATTCTCTAGCGGCAACCGAGCATCGCTATGCGTACGATACTGACGTTACAACGTAGCTCTGATCAGAAAGATTTAGAAGAAAAAGGGGGTGGGGGGGTGGGGGGTCTGGGAAGATGTGACGCCACGTTCTGGGGGGTTGAACTCGAGGCCTGCTCAGACAGGGGTTGCCAGCCTCGATCAATGCAGATAGGTGGGCCCGGAGGCCAAGAAAAGAATGCAGGTGGATGGGAGGACAAAAGAAATCGGATTCGGAGCAATAAAGAGAGGAACAAAAATAAATGAAAAATAAAAAGGACAAAAAATGGTAGACAAAGCCGACACAGCATGCAGTGCTAGTTCGTTGCTTGGCACACCCAGAGGACGAGGTTGGGGGGAAACGAACGGAGTAACCGAACAGAACTTGAACACACAAGATAGCCCGATGGGAACGAGAAAGCCGCTCGACGATCAACAACAAGGGTGAGAGGTGCAGTGCAGGGTGGAGATGGAGGCGTCGACGGCGTCCGATGTGTGCTACCTCGTAATGACTCCCCTGTTCTGTCCCTGGTCCAGTATCGAGTTCAGGTTAGCAGAGGCGGTCGTTTTACTTGCTGTCAACGTGCGTCCAATGGAAGAAAAATAAGCGACATGGTCATAATTCGCAGAACCTAAGGCGGCAGACGGTAGGTCGAAAAACGGCCGAGTGAGAGAGAAAAGTAAGACACGGGTTTCAAGAGACAGCGGACCACTCGTCGATCTGGGTCAAAACGGCCGCCTGCCAAGCCCCTTACCGGTGTGACGAAACGGCGGAAAGCAAGGAGCTGGAGCTTATGTGGGTTCATCTGCCGGTTGAAGGTAGATCGCTGCACATACGCGGGGACCGGACCAGAGACGGACACGAACGAGATGAGGAATATTGAAATGACGGACGCCCACGGAGCACAGGCTGAAATCAGGCATGCCATGCATGCTATGCGGTGATGCAGGCATGATCCCATCCCTGACACCTCTCTCGCAGCTTGACGTCGCGTAAGAACGAGAACGAGACGAAATACCGAGTCGGACGGAAACAGAAGGGGCGTACGAGCGAGAGCGGTCCATAATGCAAATCCAATGACACGATGAGCCAGGAGAACGGAACTGGAACTCGTCATTTGTCGTCGTTTCCACCTGTTCGTTGCATCTTTGTCCTGTGCATCATTTTCTTTGTCATGGATGACCGAACGAACATCCAGGGCTCGGTTATCGGACGAACCAAAGAAAGAGGTCGTCCTGAGCAGCATCCGTTGGCCTTTTTCTTCTTCTTTGTCTCTTGTAAGCCAACGAAGACCCTAGGGGGTTGGTTGATCGATAGAGAAGGTAAAGTGGGAATCAAAGAAAAGAAAGGGTTGGCTTGCTGAGGTTGTGTCGGTGAGAGAGACGACGTTGTAAAGAAGTGGAGTCCTCCTTAGTCAGAAATGGAGACTTGAGGCGTTTTATATGTTTCTATCCCGCTTAAGCTAACTCTACCTCGACCCACATTGAGGTACTTAAGGTACATTTGTAGAAAAGAGACGAACAATCAGCTTCAGGGGTCCCATGCATATACACCCCCTAGTTCAACCCCTCCTTTATTACAATCGACTTCTTTTTGTCGATCTCTCCAGCCCCTCCCTCCCAGACAACGACGACACAACAACACCCTCTTCTCTTCTTCAATTGATCGTATTTTGTACACCCCTATCTGCAAATCGGTCAGGGAAAAAGAAAAAAAAAAAAAGGACCTGCAGTAGCAGTTCATCGAGGTCCGGTGCATGAGTCTTCGTGTATGCAGGCCTTATGCGATGCCACCCCCCCTCCTTGCCCCCCGTCGACATGGCTCATCTAGTTATTATTCGCTTCTACCACCACGCTCCTGGCTGCACACTTGCATGTCCTCCGCCGCACCCCACCACCACACCAGTATTTAGCATCTTCACTAGTTGAGCCCTACTTACTTACCCTTGTCCGGGCGTCGGACAACTGTCACCGAGCCCTGGGGTAGCTTAGCCAGTCTCAAGGTGAGGTGGTGCCTCTTGTAGAGTAGCAGAGTACGTTAGTGATGCGGTCTAGAGGAGGTATGATGTCGAGGTGACAGACGGTCTCCGCGTTTGTTTTCTGGTCTTCCTCAAGGTCCCCCACTCTTTCTTTTCTATTCCCCGTCCTTGTTCCCCCCCCCCGGTTCTATCAGGTAGCAAGAATAATAAATAATGATAATAATACGGCAAGCCTCGGAAAAGGCGGTTCCTGGAATGGCGACGAAGCCGGCGACACAACGGCCATCCTGCCATCACACCACCGCCGACTCCCCTCTCCTCGTCTCCCTCTTCTTGATTCCTTTCGCTCTCTGGTTCTCTGCAGTGTCTACGCGTTGTGCAACGTTGGAGTACAGAAGTTGCAACACGAGGATTCTCAGGTCGTACAATGGCGTCATTCTTTTCTCGTACATGCGAACACTTTTTTATTCTTCCATCTCTTTTTTCTATTTCTATTTCTCTTTCTTTTTTGAGGGCGAGTTACAGATGTCTCTCCAGAAATGAAACCAATATGAGGGTCTTTTGAGGAGGTCGGGGATCCAAGGATCACCGAGTCGATTCTTTTTTTATCTTCCTTTCATTCCTCCTATTCACCTTAATCAGGGGGCCACGAGGCCAACTCCGTGGACTGTCTAACCGAGCAAATCTCAGATGTAAGACATACCCCGACTAATATGTCCACAAATTCCGTAATAGAGACAACTGCGGGGAATCAATGGAAGGGAGGGGAGCGTGGGGGTAAAGACAACAAAGCCTGAGCGCACTTTGAGATGCATTTCTATGAAGAGGGAGTTCTTCTAGTGGGAAGACACAGGCCACGGGACAAAGGAAACTCGGGAACTACAGCACGTCGGCACCAACCAGACAATGAAACCACACAACAATGATATCCACTTGGGACCATGAGTTGGGAGAGGTGACAAAGACCTGTGCTTACAAGTTACTCCACTCCCAATGCCATGGAATGAATGTCAACGTTCAGAATAGCTAACAGCGCCGATCGTTGCCGGGACCCGGGTTGGCATTCTATCCCGCGAATGAAACCCAGTAATGGTAAACCCGAGCCAGCCGGATGTTAGTGTAGTGTTACCTTGACCGAGGGGCCGCGGTAAGGAAACATTTGATCGATACGAAGAAGAGTAAGAATTAATTAAGTACATACACGCATTAGACTTCCGCGCGCCAGTCACTTCAAGCCGAAAGCATACCATGTCATACCTCGACTCAACTGCGTCTGGATAGCAGTCTCCACAAAGGCCACCAACGTCGGCGAATCTGAACTTCTGGGCCACAGAGCCACACCCCGAACCATCATTGACCGTAGAGGGCGACCAAAGGCGGGTCCCCGGTTCCGCCATCAAAGCTCAGTTGCACTCTCCGAAGAGAGACTGGCACCCGACGCCGCAGTGCGTCGCGGAGTTGCCGCTGTGTGAGAAACCCATCATCGTAAGCATCAAACTGATACGGGAGGGATGATAGAAAAAGCACGGGTGTTCCAGAGAAGAGAGCCTCACCAGTAGCCATGCGGGGAACAGCACTTCTTGTCGCCATAGTTGGCACACGAGGCCTGGAACGCCTCGCCGCAGAGGCCGTTGGTCGTGTCACTGATGCCGGGGGACTGAGGAAGACAGGACCCGAAAGCATTGTCGCACCCCGTCCCGCAGTAGCTTGGACTCGAACCGCTGTCACAAGGGGAGGAGGGGGCATGTTAGCTGAGTTTGCCAGTTTATTACTTCTCTGGGTTCCATCTTTCCGATCGGCACATCATGTTCTTGTGCTCACTGCTCCATATTCTTCTTATGGCAAGTGTCGGGTCGGAGCACGAGGAAGTAATACGAAAGGCGGGGCGAGGACAGTACACGAGATAAGGAGAACTTACCAATAGCCATAGAAAGAACAGCAATTCCCAAAGGCCGACCCCTGGCAGGTGTAACCTGTGGCGCCGCCGCACGTCTGATCCGGCGAGATAATGAAGGTTGAGGTGGGTTCAGGGCCCGAAGATGATGTCGTCGTTGTCGTCGTCGCCGACGTGGGGGTGGTGCTACCCCCGTCCACGTCGCGATACCAATTCTCCTTCGGGTCGCCGAGACACTCGCCCACAGTGACCAGACGGTACCCGTGAGCGAGAGACGTCCCGACCATGAACTCGGTCAGGTTGGTCACGGTCTGTTGGTGGACGTCGTGGGCCAAGACGATGTGACCACCACCCTCGGCCGGATCCTGCAAGATGCCCGTCAAGAAGCGGTCCTTGGCGATCTGGGCCAGGGCCGGCGTATTGTTCTCGTAGTCCTTGGTATCGATGCTGGCGTCGATGAGGTGGTAGCCCAGGGCGTTCATCAGCCCCTGGCAGCCGGACGCCACCGAGCACTCCAGAAAAGGGGCTCGGAAGTACGTGGGGATCCACCCGAAGACGTTCCGGAACGCCATCTCGTTGTGGATGATTTCGCTCCGCTGAATGTCGCTGTCGACCTGGTTGAGGTTGCGGTGCGTCCACGTATGGCTGGCGATGTGATGCCCCGCGTCATGCATCCGTCGCAGCACCGCCGGCCACTGGGTACTCTCGTCATCGAAACGCGGCCTGTTGATTCTGCTACCCTGGACGAAGAAGGTGGCTTTGACATCCAGGTCGTCGAGGAGGTCCAGCATCTCGGACGTATAATCATAGGGGCCATCGTCGAACGTCAGAGCTAGGGTCTTGGGCTCGGTGCACTGGCGAATCCTCACGCCTTGATATTTCGACATATTAGCGTCATGATCAGGTTGGTGGCTGATGGATGCAACGGAACACTCGCCATATGGAACGCTTCCTATCTGATCCCGTGCAACATCCTCTGTGCTTGAACCGGGAGGTGGGATTCTGGTGGTTCGTTCGGGTTAGCCCAATGTTCTCAATTGAATCTGTCCGAAGCCTGCATGTGGAATAATAAAGGAAAAGAAAGAAAGAAAAAAAAAAGCTTACACGGTATCACAAGAGTCGCTATACTCGAGTTGGCAAGACGACCCGCCGCAGTGGGCAGGAGAGGTGCCGCACCACCCAGCCTGCGAGCAACACAAGCCCGGTGCGCAAGACCCGATCCCAGGGCCGCACACAGCACGTTTCCTAAGCGGAAGGTCGATGGTGGCGGCAAGCGCGGTGCTACCCAGCAGCAGGACGGAGAGGAACGGGTACATATTGGCCGGGAACCTGCAGGAAGGGGCTGAGACTGAAAAAAAAAAAAAAGATTCCGAGATGCGACGGATCGTGATGATGTTGTGCAACGAAACTCGGTTTCGTTCTCGAGAATCCAAAAATCAACAAGCAGAATGGAAAAATACGACGTGAGATGAAGGCATTAGCGTGAAAATCGAGGACGAGAAGGGAGGATGATATGTTTTTTTTCCACGACAGTCAGGCACAGTTGAGCGAAAAGCAATGCCACTGATGAGAAGTGTCTCAATATTGAGAGGATATGCCAAGGACACATGCAGACACACCTGCCACCACCTACAGAGCTCCAGACAAAGAGCAAACCAGATCAAGTACCGAGAGATTGGGACCAGTGTCTACCTACATACACGAGTGCCTCCGTACGCCCGCCTACCTACTGGGGTCCCCGGGACACTCCGGACACATGGGTCTCGTTGCTCTGCATTCGGATCGCGTATCAACTAGTGTTTTCGGCCTCTGGATCCGAGAGTAGAGGAGAAAAGCGAAACGACTTAGAGAACCAGAGCTGAGAACAGCGGATGGTGGGTTGAGAAGTTCTGCCCGGTGATGGGTCCTAGTCCCCTTTAGCGAGGCGCGACAGAGCCAGCGGCGAGCCACGTAGACAGCTGCATGGGCAAGGGAGGTCTTCTCTCCTGGTAGTCTCACGACACTCGTGGTTGGTCCATAAAATCGTGATGCGTAGACATTGACACTCATCCCCGTAAAGCCAAGGTAGCGGCAGGCCGGGGGGAAAGAGAGCAAAGCAAAATAAAATGGCCAGGATGCCGAACCAGCCGATCAAGTGAGCTGCCGCTTCACCCCATACGAAGGGCCATACGTACGAACGGTGATGGATCGGTTGTGGGGAGAAGAAGAAAGGGGGGGTGCAGATGACGTTGGGCAGCCTACGGATTTGCGAGCGGAAGTGAAGTTGCAGAACAGAAGTTCGGCCCGGTCACCACTAATATGGGGCCATTCGCTCAACGAGGACGATCTATGGACGCTTGAGATGAATAAGAGCCTCGGTTTACGCCGTGCTAGATAACCACGAATACGAATGGCTCAAGATCATCCAGTGTGTCGTCTAGGATATCCCTCTTAGCTCAGCTATGGGGAGAAAAGTCTGCTGCCAAACAAGTAATTAGCGCGGCGGCTGGGCGAGACATGGTGTGCGCAGTTCATTCATTACTTCTTCGTACTTGGTACAGATCAATATGTAAGAACGAAGTAGGTATCCGTATGAAGTCAATACTTATAGATGTACTTCGTACACCGTAGTGTGTGATTCAGTGGATCTACCCGCCGCCAACGGGTCCCGATGGAACATATGGCCCCACCGCCTACCCGTCTGGACCCCCTAGCGCTCCACAGTGACGGGTTCTGGTGGCGCCATGATAGGGCTCATGATAGGGCTCGGGGTTTACCGGGGTTGTGCCGCGAATGTCCTTTTTTCCATCACAAGTTCTTACCTATTCGTTCTAGGTACTTTAGAACAGCGACATTATGTACTATCACGTCTTTAAACAGTCTGCCGGTTCGGGGATAGGACGCGACCCGACTAAAAATATGCTAATTGAACGCTCGCTCCACAGCGTCGGGTCTCGTTCACCCCTCTAGCCGAGACAAGGTCTAACTCCTGACTCAAAAAAAAAAAAAAAAAAAAACCCACCCCTTTTCTTAACGGCGATCGACGAAACGGCAGAACAAACGAAACAAAAAAGCAACTCGTCCCCGCAATTCTATACACTACTTTGAAGGTGCTGATAGTGTCTGGTGGATGCGCGCCGCCGATCACCTGGTGCGTATTGTGTTTCTGCTTCTACCCACTTCCGTGCCTCTGTGGTTTTAGTGAAAAGTCCCCAGACCCCATCCGAGGAGGAGAAAATCTCAATGCACAAAGGACGCAACAACAAAAAAGAGGAAAAGAAGGCAGGAATATGCCGTTGCACTGCTAGAAGTGGTTAGTGGGCAAATACCGCCAACACCGAACTAGCAGTCTATGCCTGTTTTGGGTCGTCAGGCCATTTCATGGAGGTGAGCTATTGGAAGTTATAGATACATAAGGTAGAATTGGTTGTTGCGACTACGAGGTTGAGCAGCTGTAGGTTGCCGATTCGGACTGGCCCCGAGAGCTCGTATTCGATGCTGCATGCTCCCTGTCGGACTGATTACGGCGGCCCGCGTCGCTGGCCGGATGACCGCAGCCAAATTGAAAATGATGAACCCCTCTCCCAATCGGTCGACGTATCTGGGCAATTACTTCAGTATGATGTGCTTTGCTGACATTCTCCAGAGAGAAGAGCCGTACATACCCTGTTCTACAAGCTCCAGGGCTAGGGCAAGTTCTCTATTTTCCGTATTTCCCGGCGTATCCCACCTTCGGGCCCCAACCCCGCGGCTGGGCATACAGGGATTGCCCCTTGTTGTGGCTGCCTCGTTGCTGATGTCTCGTCGACTAGCGAAGCCACGGCTCTGGAAAAGAATCGAGTGATCTTTTGGGACCAGTTACGACATCTGAATCTTTGCGCCCTGATTGAGGAACTATGCCCTGACAGGTCATGGTAGACGAAAAAGAATTAATAACTTCGACTGTTAGACTGCCGCTATGTTACAGCAGGTTAGGTATTCGCAGATACGAACCGATATTCATTACCATGTGTTATTAGCTCTTAGCTCGTGGAGTGATAAGTAGTGTACTTCGTAACATGGGCGAAAGACGGGAGTTAAAGGGGGGTTCTAGAGGAGGGTTCTAGAGGGGGCTCATAGACCCGTTTGAACACACGTTGCCGGTGAGATGGGAGCCGAAAATAGGCCTAAGACACCGGGTCCAGCTCTTTGCTCCACAAAGGCTGCCAAGGTGGGGTCACTTCCCTGGTAGAGCAAGTACCTGAGGTACCCCGAACAAGCTTGCTTAAGTGCATTCATTTCTCTAACCAAACTTCATCGACGGTTCAGGGCCCATATGTAGATTCGTTATATGCATAAATGCATACCACCACCATCCAGGTCCCAATTTCCAACATCGTCCCATGCAACGCTTTATCCGCCGCCCTACGGTCTACCTACCAGCTATTCCACTTCAATTTTTGCTCGCCTTTGTTGTCAGTTTTGACCCAATCTACCCTTGTCTTTTTCAAAGCAAGCCTAGGCCCAGTCGCTAAGGCCACCACCATGGTCTCCATTCCAGTGGAATCGTGGATTGTTGGCGAGTCATCTCTGCTCTCTGTTTCTTCACAAGGAGAACGCCGATGACGATGACCCTGCACTCTCAGTCTCAGTCTCACTCTCACTCTCGCATCGGGCTTCCCGTTATGGCCTTGTCTCCTGCTTTTGGAATGGCCAGATGGAGAGGCAGACCAAAACGGCAAAGCCGACCTTCGTCCTCATCTGGCCATTTCTTTGACGATGAGCCCATCTCGATATAGCGTCGAGACCATCGGCAACTATCAGATCTACCACACGCGTTACGCATCACATATCACATCAGAACCACATTTAGCTTTCCAGCTCCAGGATGTACACGTCTCCAGCCCCTCTCTCCTTCCAAGGCGCCCCGTTTTCGGCGGAGAAAGGGATCCATTTTCGACGCCATCCGCATGGAAGGTCAGTGTACGAACGAACCGTGAAGTACAAAGTACGTATCCTGCACCATGCTGCGAAGCCCGGTTTAAGCGGAGAACATGGTTCGGTTGCAGACCCAGCAGCATGCCCTACAACGATGACCGATGCAAGGCCAGGCAAGGCCCTATGCGAGCCGAAAGCCGCCGCACGAGTACACGAAGTACGACGTAACTTGGTGAGGTAGACCGTACGTTGTAGTTCGGCCTCCCAGTGAACCCCGATGTGCGGATACAGATGCACTCCATTTTGTCCTTGTCTGCAGATCTTCCTTGGCGATGAGGCCAAGCGGCAGCCGCCTTGCATACCACCTGCATCCCTCTCCCTCTCCCTCTCTCTCTCTCTCTCTCTCTCTCTCTCTCTCTACCCACTCCGCGACGGCCTCCAGCTTCCCCTTCCCCCGAGCGCGTGTCCCCAAAGCATGATCAGCCAGCATCTCGTTCCACTTTACCATAAAACTCACCCTCGGTCCGCATGCGGGCTTGGTCGTGCTCAAAAACAAAGAACACCAGCGGTGCACAGTTGCACACTGCCCCCTCCTATCGCTCGGATAGGACTAGCATCAGGGGAGCTATATCTCCACGACCAGGAGAATCTTAGGATGGGTAGGACTGGCCCTGGCTGTCTTACCAAGTCAGCCAGCCACGTTTGTCCGCAATACCTCCACCTCTGGCTCTTTGTGAGCTACCGGGGTTGGTCTTCTCAAAACATAGGAAGCCCCTCGACAAGGGAATACCTCGGTCAAGTTATCAGCACGCCTGGAACCCTTTCGACATCGGTCCACATGGATGATTAGGCTTCATTGGATAACAATGCACAAAATTCGGGTTACCAACGTCTTCACATTATGTACAATACACCCATACACCCATACACCCATACACCCATACACCCACTACACCACCTTTCTTGTGCCCTAAGATCCCGGGAGCGTGATGTGTCTGGCGGCCCGTAGTGGGCATCACATCATCCATCCCCGATTTTGAGCCAGCCTGTCGGAAGTTCCAATGGTCATATGTCTTAGAACGTCAGCCGGGCAGACCCAGACCCAGCTCACCGCATGCCCCTCCTGGTCCCCGTCGGGTCTCGATTCCGCCAGAAGAAAAGCTCTAGCTGTCTGTAACTTGAACAGGGCGATATCATACTACGAAGGCTGACTGACGTGTTGCTCGCTCGACTGAATCGAGCTAGCTTTCGCTCCTCTTTGTACCCGTGCTATTTCGTTGCGCCTATTTCTGCCCCTTGTCCTTCTTTTCTTCCTCTGTGCTAGATATGCACATCTGCTATTGTTGCCCCTGGATCTCTTTCATCATTCGGCGCCCCCCTCGTACCACTGATACCTCCCACCTGCATTCCTCCTCGTCACAAGCTCTCTTTCTAATCTCCCTTCGGCCCATTTCGACTGGTTCTCAAGTGTGTCGAAGCTTTTTTCAAGAACAAACTGCCTCCCTCATTCATCCCTATGTCTGTGCCTGACTCTTAATTCCCAAGACCCCCCCCCCCCGGCCTTTTTCAAGAGAGCACCAAGGGGGTAAAAAGAATATAATAAAAAAATAAAAAAATAAACCCACACAACCTTGCCCCAAACGTTCTCGCTTCCTGTTTTGCCAACCGCGGGGGCCCGTCTTCCAGCAACTGCCCGTCCTGCTTTCAGCATGTCTGCCCAGACCTGCCAGCTCGAGACCCCCGAGCCGTCTCCAAGCGGCTCGCCCAGATCCTCCCCTCTCCACTCCACAGAAGACAAAACCAGACACTGGGAATACCCTGCCAATGGGTTTTACCCCATCACTCCGCCGACAGAGGCGTGCGAGTCGGACGAGGAACTCTGCGGCACAGTTGCTAGCTCCATCCACCTCGAGGCCGATGCCGATGCCGAGGTAGAGTCAGAGGCCGACGCCGACGCCGACGTCGACGCCCACACGCTCGTCGCCGTCCTCGGTGTAGGTTACGTCGGAGAGCATCTCGTCAGCAACTTCGCCAGGAAATACGGCGTCCTGGGCTTCGACGTCTCCGAAACCCGCGTCCAGCACCTTCGCGAGGCGTTCGGCCCGGACACCAAGGCCAAGTTCACCTGCAACCCGCGGGATCTCGCAGAGGCGACGCACTTCCTCGTCTCCGTGCCCACCCTGCTCCGCCCGGACCAGAGCATCGACTCCTCCTTCCTCCAATCCGCCATCCAGAACATCGCCACGCACGCCCGCCCGGGCGCCGTCATCGTCATCGAGTCCTCCGTCGCCGTGGGCATGACGCGGGCGCTCCTCGGGCCCCTCGCCCAAGAGCGGGGCTTCTTCGCCGGCATGTCCCCCGAGCGCGTCGACCCGGGCCGCGCCGAACCCCCCGCGAACGCCATCCCCAAGATCGTGTCCGGGCTGGACGACGTCGCGCCGGGGTCCCTGGACGCCATCACCCGCCTGTACGAGCAGGTGTTCGACCGCGTCGTCCCCGTGTCGCGGCCCGAGGTGGCCGAGATGACCAAGCTGTACGAGAACTGCCAGCGCATGATGTGCGTCGCCTTCGCCAACGAGATGGCCGACGCCTGCGTCCCCCACGGCGTCGACCCGTACGAGGTCTGCCGCGCCGCGTCCACCAAACCTTTCGGCTACATGCCCTTCACGCCCTCCCTCGGCGTCGGCGGCCACTGCATCCCCGTGAACCCGTACTACCTGCTCTCCAACTCGCACTTCCCCCTCCTGCAGGCCGCGACCGAGAGGATGCGCGCACGGCCTGCCGCCATCGCCCAACGCGCCATCCTGTCCTGGAGCGGAGTCGTCCCCAAGACCAAGGACGGCGACGAAACTGACCACGTCGGAGATGTACCACTTGCCACCAGTCCAGAACACCACCACCACCACCACCACCACCACAACAACAACAACAACAACGACAACACAGAAGGAGGCGTCTCCCCCCCCCTCCCCCTCTCCCACCAACCACCACCCAAACCCCGGATCCTCGTCGTCGGCATGGGCTTCAAGCGCGGCCAATCCCACCTCGCCAACTCGCCAGGCCTCGAACTAGCCAAGACCCTCCTGGCGTCCCGCAAGGTCGGGGTAGCCTGGGCCGACCCCCTCGTAAAACAAGAGGCCATCCCGCAGATCGAAAAGCTCGACGACCGGCGGCATTGGACGGCCGAAGCACTCCGCCAGCGCTTCCACAGGGTCATCGTCGCGTTCCGCCAGGAAGGGCTAGACTTTAGCGTCCTGGAAGAGCTGGCTTCCGAAGGAGGGGAAGTGCAGGTTGAGATGTGGTGCCCATGAGCTCAGCTGTTGCCCCCCCCCCCTCTAAAAAGGCGCCGGCTAGAGTCGCCCTGAACAATTGAGCTTTCATGTTGCGAATGATTGAGGCAGACTATTGATTGGGCTATGTATGGGATCTCAACTTACTATTGCACGCCCTAGGTAAAAGTGACGGCAGGGACTCGGATGGCCATCACAGTTCTCGGGTCTGCTGGTTGATTCGTTTGTCGTCAGCTCTTTACAATTCCGTTCCATTTCTCCCGGAAATTTGGCGAATATGATTTTGATGTTTCTGGTGCAGTAGGGGTAAATAAAAAGAGAAACAAAAGCGTCGCATCTTCACTGACCAGATCCCCGTTCTCTCACTCGTGCAAGCCCCCTGCCACTTGGGTGAAGAGCTGGACGATATCAAGTATCAAATAGAGATACAAGCACAGGGAGAGAGTGTGTTGTCAGGGGCTGCGTGTTGGTAGAACCGTACGCATGTTGTTTCCACTCCTTCATCAGAGCCCCCAACCCAAAAATCCATATCTCACAGCGCCTATGCTGTGGTTTGAGAAGCCTTCGAAGGAAAAGAGGGGGGGGGGGATAAAAAGCAATATATTGAAAAGCAGCTCATTGGTACGCAGAGGGTATACGCCAAGATGGTGGCTTGGAATCGTACAAACAAGAAACAACAATTACGACAGCGTACATAGCTGACAGGACAACTTTGATACAATGGACCGGACCATTCAAGCTTCTCGGCCTACTCCCACCATCATGGCCATTACGGCCCCCTCCTCGAAATGCCTCTGGTCCGTGAAAAGGGCGAGATGGAAAAGCACAACCAAAACGACGGTAAACCCGCCATCCTCCTAGTCGCCTAGGGGCATGCCATCCAGCTCGTCCAGCAAGCGGCGCCAGTTGTCCGCCAGCATCTCCGAGTACTTGACTCGTTCCTGGGCCCAATCCTGGTTCCAGCGGGAGACGTGGTACTGGCTCGACTGGAAGTAGAGCAGCTCGTCGCGGATGCACTCCTTGACGAAAACGGACCTGTTGTGCTGGCTCACGATGGATTCCTTGTCCTGCACGGAGTGGCGGAGTGGGTTAGCAGATGGGTCATTTCCAAAGAAAAAAAGAAGAAAAAGAAGAAAAAAAAAGAAAGAAAAGAAAGAAAAAATAAAGGAAAAAAAAAAAGAGGGGGGGGGGGTTATGAATGGAAAAGGGAAAAGGAGGAGGAGTCCGTACCTTGATGATGGCTTCGACGACCTTCTCAACCTCGCCCGGCTTCACCATACCCTCGGGCTTGTTGCGCAAGTTGGCCAGCTTCGTCTCGTTGGTCTGTATCCTCCGCTCCAGGTAGGGAATGTTGTCCTTGTCGAGCCGGTCTCTTCTCTCGAACATGTCCCGGATGCTCACGAGGGTGTCACGCTGGCGCTTGAGGTCCTCCAGCACACCCGCATCCCACGCCTTGCTCTCGTCTTCCAACAGGCTCTGGCAAGTCCGCAGATGCTTGCTCGTCGCCGTGAGGCCATCGTTGAGCAGGGGCACGTCGTTGGTGTCGGTGGCGTACGTGTCGTTGCTGGCTTCCGTGAGGGACTGCAGGGAGAGCGCGATGCGGGCATGGTCTGCGGCGACGCCTTCGGTACGCTTGACGAGACGGTCCATGATGGTGCAGACGTTGATGTAAAGTTCAGACGAACGCCGCACGCCAGCTCGGGTCCGGTTGAAAAGTTCTTCCAGTGTAGGCGGGAGAGAGTCTTCGAGGCCCGGGGGGAGGGCGCGACCGGCGAACTCATCCTGAACGGAGATGGTGGCTTGTTTGCGCCACACGGCCAATTCCTGTCGGTTTTATCATCTCTTGTCAGTCTTGGGTTCGGAGGGAATAGGAAACGAGCGTTGCGGGGTGTGGGCTTACGGTCGGCACGGTCAGAAACATGATGACGAGTTGTTCTTGGCCCAGAACCGGATGGCGAACAAGTGCATTGAGGAACCGTCCGAGTCCACGCCGGCGCTTCTCGATGAAAGCCCCGTCGTTCGAAAGGTGGTTGCCGTTGACTATAAGAGACGAACGGGTCAGCAAACGGATATCATGCGCGTGGGAAACCGACGGGAACCAAAACAGAACTGTTCATCGAGGACAGTCTCACCTGCGACACGCTTCGGGGGAAGCAGGGGAAGTGCCCGGAATGGGTACCGCTTGTGTAGGCAGTCCAGCAGCCACACAAAGTCGCTATATCTCCGAATCACTTTGCTCCCTCTCCTCACGCTGGACACTTCGTAGTTGTGGTGTTGGAAGAAGAAGAGGCCCTCTTTCTCGGGCATAAGGGTGACAACGATGATTTCCTCCACAGCATGACCTGTACGGCTGACGGCGGGTCGCAGAGCCGGCACGTCCGGGGCGTTTCCTGTGGAACCTCTGTTCCCATTACCCCCGAATGGATTCGCCGCCTGCTGGCCCGGCAAAGGGTCGACGAAGCCTCCACCAGGACTGTTGCCCTCGAAATAACCCCAGTCGCCTACAGCCGGCGACGTGACTGAGGTTTCCGTGGGTGGCTGAATCGAGCCGGTGCCAGGGGTGACGGTGGGAGCGGTATAGGAGGACAAGGTTCGGCCTGCGATGGTGGTGTTCTCCGTGGCAGGAAAGTCGGTGGCACCATGACTGGTGCTGTGGATTTGTGAACTAGGGCCATTCGCCTGGGGTATCATTGGTGGGTGGTTGTGATGTTTATGGGCACCGGGTGACCCCCATGGGTCGTCGGTCTCGGGGAACTCCATGGGAGGGCGTCGGATGGTTTGGGGTTTCGACGGGGAAAGAGGCTGGTGTTGTTGATGTCGTTCGTGTTGCTGCTGCTTGGCAGGTGACGCAGGCGACGCAGGCGATTGGGGAGGTTTGGCGGCGAGCTCGGAGGTGGGAGGCATCGCCGGGGTAGCGAGTTGACCGGCGAGCTTGGGCTTGGGAAGATCTAGGTCGTTTATGGCAATTAGCTGGGTGAACCAACCTCCTTCCGCCCCCCCCCCACCGAAGATGCGGAAATTGCTGACAAGGGAAAAGCTTGGCGAAAGGAGTGGATGGCCACCTCCATCCACGTCATGCCAAATGAGCAAGAACGCGTTCTTGCTGTCTTTGGAGAGACGACGAGACGGAGGGATTAGGTTAGGGCAATGTAACATGTAACAATAGACATACTTCTGCGGCGCTCGTCGACGCCGTCCAAGCTGACAGCCTCTCCCTCTTGGGCCAGGCCAACCAGTGCTAACACCACGTTGAACTCGGCTCGGTCGAAAGCGACGTCGGTGCGGCTGGGGCGGACGATGGACATGATGTGGTCTTGCTGATCGGCGCGGAGCTCTGCAGCTTCGAAAAGCTTGGTAACGCCGGCGGAAGCCACCTTGCCATCGGCACCATCTTCATGCACGAATCTATCGAAGGCGTCGATGTAGCTGTCGGGGGAGTCGGAAGCGGGAAGGAGGGTACGGATGAGGTCGGCAAGAGACTGTTGCTTGCGCGGGGTAGGCATGTCCCAGGGGGACCTGCTCCCGTCCCCGGAAAAGTCGTCGTCGGCGAAGAGCGAATTGGAAGCGGACTTGCCGGCGGAGTAGGCTTCGTCGTCGAAAAGGGAGCGAGACGGAGCGGCGGGAGACGCCGAGGAAGGGGACTCCCCAGGCGATGAGCCGAAGAGGGACATGCTGAACGTAGCTGAGAAGGTAAGATTCTTCGCCTTGGCCTCACTGTCGATGTCACAGGGCCCTTATGTTTAGGGAAAGCGATGCTCGAGGCGGCGAGCGAAAGCCAAGGTTGTCGGTGGTGTGAAGGGAATCCAATGCGATCTCGATTGCCGTTTGCCGTTTGCCGTTCGCTCGAGAGGAGAGGGGGGAGGGGAGGGGAGAGAAGAAAGAGGAGGAGGAGCAGGAGAGGGAGACGAGATGGCGCCTAGAAAACAACCGACAAACGACAGATCAACTCCGCGGCTTCCCGGAGCAGCAGGAAAGGAAAACAAATGCAATGCAATGCAATGGGTCGGAGATGCAGTAAAATGAGACTCGGTAGATGCAGAGTAGAGTTGAGATTGAGGAAGCTGAAACTGGATTGATGATGCAATTCGAGCACCACCTGAAGTTCCCCAGGAGTGGTGAAAGCCGACGCGTGGGACAACTGATGCTGAAGGCAGTACCTCGTATGTACCCCATACTGCACCACCGTACAGCGTACCCGTACTGTTAGGTAGTCTGTACGTATACCTATCCATGTGTGTGCTACGGCGGTTGTGTTGGGAAGGAGCTACCGGTGGAGCATGATCGTCAAGTGCGTCAGGCCAATCACACTTCCCAGCCACTTCTGTTTGTTCAAGGATGCTCCATATTACGAAATAATTGCTTGACGACTTGTGAGGATGGTGAAGTCTAGCTGGACTGCTGCAATGACACCAAGCAAAGAAAATCCTCCCAATATCCGCAGGTATACACACGCTGAACACAGCAGATCAGAATGGAAGAGTTATTATGATATATTGGACTAGCTGGCGAAAGATACTATTCATGTTTCGCAAGATTCGTTACAACATGACGAGGCCCATATCAAATAAATCCCGTCGTCTCCAAATAGCGTCTCGGTATGAAGAAAGCAGCAGTCTGATATTCTCTCAAGTCAGTAACATAGTCTGATAAGCAAGAAAATCAAATCAACGACAAAAACACGCCCTCAAAAGTCATACATCCAAGGAAGGTGTAACCGCTCATCGCACGTCTAAAGGCTCGAGGCGACGGCTTGCGTGGAAACTGCGAATTATAGGAAATTTTAATCATGTAGGGGAGGAGGGAAGAGACGAGTATACTGAGTAAAATCAAGACTTACATTATCAAACTGGCCAGAGATATTCGCCTCTGTACGACAGAGAATGTGTCGTGGAAGAAGGACCAGGCAGGAGTAATGGTAATGTCAAGAAGAGAAAATGTTCTTCTGTCACCTTTAAATACTTTATCTCAACTGCTTGCTCCACGGAGGATGGGAAAATTTTGGAAGTGGAGTCGGGTGAAGTTCTGCCGTCAGGTCAGTGCTAGACGGTTAAAAGGTGGTAGGTGCTTTGGACTTTCGTGACCACAGCCAGAACACGACGCCGCTGATGTATCGTTTGCAGTTTTTTTCGCTGCAGGATATCCGCACTCAAAATGCGTGATTCTGTGACGTGCAAGAAACTGCATAGTCAAAAGTACCACTCGCAAGGGCTTTCACTCGCGACGTTGCAGCGACACTGTCCAGAGTGTGTCCCCCAGGAGTCTGCGTAGATGTTTGTCCCGAAATGATGCTTTCAGCATATTATCCTGTCTTGAAATGACAATGAAATATAAGGCAAGTGTACAGGATATAAACTCTTGGGGGGGGGGGGGAATCTGCCGCCGCAAGAGGGACACGGCCATGTGTGATGAGGTCGCATAAGTGAACAGAAAAGTGCTACATTCGCAAGGAAACATAGCTTGCTCCAAGACGGCATGTTTTGTTGTACAGAGTATTGGGTCCTCCTCCTCCTCCTCCTCCTCCTCCTCCTCACCATATTGTACATGTCCATCCGCTCTACCTACAGCCCAGATGGTTACAATCCTCCTACAGCTCCCTCCCTCTCCTGCCCACCACCCTGAAACCTATCAACTCGGATCCCGATGGTTCACCACAGGGTCTCGGCAGCCTTCGCCTGCTCCGGACGTTTCTTCTTCTTGACGACCCGCTCCGAAACTGTCGGAACCTTAAAATACAAACTAGGCGACTCGCCCGGCTTGAGCAAGTGGCTCAGGTAGCCCCGATGGGCCGGGTCGCGGTAGTACTCGATGTCGCGACGGCTCGTCGGGTCCGGCAACCGGTACGGGAACCCCTTGCTGCGCATCTCGGCCAGCACGCCCGGCACGTGTTCCGCGCCCACGGGCAGTGGCTTGTCCGTGTTCTCGCTCTTGCCCTCCAGGATGCGCCGGATCGACTGCTTGGTGTAGAACCGCGTCACGATCTTGCCGCCCGCGCCCTCCACCGCCCCGATGGCCGACGTCGACGCCCGCGACACCAGGATGTCGATCGGCTGCCGCAGCTCCTCCTTGCCCCGCCCCAGGAGCTTGATGCCGTCCTTGATGCTGCCCACGAGCCGCGACTCGACGAGCTCCTTGACCGTGATGCGTTTCGTCGGGTCGATCCGCCCGGCGTCGATCCATTCTTGCAGTTTGTCGAGGTTGACCTTTGACATGACGGGTGCGCGTCTGTTACGATCCCGATGTGTGTCATGTTAGCATGCTGCAGCAGTCTTCGGTTTCCCGTTCCCTCCCCTGTGGCGAGTTCCAGTTCACTAGGTGTGGACGGTACCTATTCTCAAATCCCATCTTTCCTCTTTGTACAACCAAGGGCGTCTGGCCGCCCTGGAACCATGGCTTGACCTTGCCATGCTGCTTCTGACCCTTGTGACCACGTCCGGATGTCTTGCCCTTGCCCGAGGAAGGACCTCGTCCCAGTCGGATCCGCTTCTGGTAGGCGCCCTTGTTGTCCCGTAGATTGGCGAGGATCGAAGCCTGTCGAGTGCCAATGGTCAGGCCGGCGAAGAGGGAAACGAGGCTCGGGGTGTGGGAGTTCGCAGCCGGCCTCAGTAATAGCCGGCTACAGCATGCTGCCACATGCAGTGGTGATGTGCGGGGGGGCATTGTGAATATGGGCGACCGTCGATTGACCAACTTCCTCGCGAAGCGTCAAAATTTCCCGAGTTTTCCCAGGTCGAGCCCAGACAACTTTGGACGCGCCAAGAGGTCACCTGACCTGACGGCGTTCTGGTTCACAAAACTGGGCCTGTATTTGTGTCCTACTCCGGACGCCGCTTACTAAGCTAGCGTTGTTGTCCTACACTCCGTACGCTGCAATGAATATCCACGCAAAAGGCATCTCTGGTTTGCGACATTCTGGGGCAAAGACGGTCATGGCAAATAAAGCTGCTTAGAAGCTGCATGAGTAGATGTGAGGTCCTCGTTGAGACGGAGTATGAGAATAGTATATACACATATATAACGAGTCCCGAGCGAGTTCCAACACGCTCAACTCCAAGCTGGATCATCGCGACAGTGTTTCGTCCTTCCCTTCCCTGCCCATACTCTCCCCTACTGTGAACAAAAATCAATACGTGATGGAGACCGCCTTGTAGAGATATTTCCCATCCCGCAAAACGTTCTCCCACATCCACTTCCCGACATCCTCCCGAGAAATAGTCCACCCGACCACATCGTTATCCCAAGTGCGGGCAATAGGATCATTGACACTACATCGGATAGTCTTCCCCGACAGCGCCCCATCCGTGAGTAAGCTAGGCCGCACAATCGTCCACGCCTCGCCCTCCTCCTCCCCCTCCTCCCCCTCCCCGCGCGCCGCCTCCCTGAACAGCGCGTCCTCCATGACCCGCTTATCGTCGTGCGGGATCTTGAGCATGTAGTGGTACAGCGGGTACGCGAGCAGCGGGAAGTCGCGGCGGTCCGCGATGCCGTTGGTCGACACGACGCTGAGGCGCGGCCGCCCGACGACCCCCCGCGCCCGCAACCCGCGCAGCGCCTCCAGCAGCGCCGTCAGCGCCTTGTTGCACACGTCGCGGTCCGGGATCGCCATGCGCGAGAAGTCGAACGCCCCGCCGATGCTGAACGACACGGCGTCCACCAGCCGCGTCGGGTCCGAGGGGTCCACGAGCACCGCTGACACGTCGTCTACCGAGTGCGCGTTGCCCTCCCGGATCGTCAGGCGGGGGTGCGACGACGCGGGGAAGTCGGCGGCCAGCTTCGATGGGGTGCGGCAGAGGGCGGTGCAGGTTACCCCGGCGGCGAGGGCGTGGCGGAGCGTCGAACGGCCGCTGCCGCCTGTGGCGCCGAGGAAGGCGATGGACCGCGGTTGGGACATGGTGGCTGATATCGTTGATCGACAAGAAATGTGAATGACGGTAGATAGGTGTAGGTGTGGATTTCAGCGTAAGTAGTGGTATTTGACTAGGCGGAATGATGTGAAACGTATCGCTCTTGGTCAAGCAATGCCGATATATACACGTCGTATGTATACATATATAGATAGATTGACTTGGAATGTTGGAGAGAGGAAGAAAGAAACGAGAACGGACAGGGTGTGGGAATATGATATGGATCCCAGGGGATTGATTACCGCCCGTTCCTCCTTTATATGAGTATCTAAAAATTAATGTTCTTCCGTCTTGCTGGAGAATTTTAACAAACAAACCACATATGACGACCAGTCGACTCCTCGGGCCTTCGCGCAATAACATCGCGAACCATTCCCTTTTGGAGGCGCAGTCAAAGTTGACGCCCACTCTGTACCTTAGATAAGTAAGGTAAGGTACCTTAAACTTAATTGTTCCTCCTGTCCTAAGAGGAAGTCTCGAAGTCGTGGTAGATGTCCCTGTCCAGGTACCTTACACCGTACAACTCCCAACCTCCAAGTTCCAACCTCTAAATAAAGAATAAAACAAGCTCAACTAGCATGACTTGGCATTCTTTGGGCGCGACCGATGCCTACACCGCCCGGCCGAATGTCTATGAAGCTCTGTACCTTACGGACACCGATACGGAATGGTACCTACATAATTACAGCGAATAGTGAATACCTACCGTAGCAAACATCGAGCCTTGGTTTCCTCGCGTCTTCGCCCCCTCGCGCCCTCGCGCCCTCAAAAAGGACCCCGGGAAGGCCGGCCACCCCCTTTCGACAGGGATTATTATCCAGCTTCATCCAGCCTCCCGCTCCCATGGCTCCCTGCTCACCGGTGTAACGCATGGCCCTCCCCACGACACACTGTGAATAAACCAAACAGAGCCTAAAACGGAGACTGCTCTGCCTAACCGCGCAACAACAACCGCCCAAAAATAGACCAGATTCTAATCATACGTAGTAGGTGTTCGCGCGAGTTAGTGTTGCTTCCTATTCTGGCATTGAGATCATGTCCCGCCATGACAAAGAAAGACACGGTTCAGACCTCGGCCCCATATCTGGTTTGAGGGTTTGCTTCACCAACCTCACAGTCCGTCCACCGGAACCTTTCAAGTACACTAGTTGGGTCCCCAGATATATACGACAGCATGGCGAAGGAACGGGTGGTTTATAACCATTACTATACTGTTCGCGCAGGCAGGGTGCGTATACCCATACCTGTCGACTCATGCTAGGTACAAATACGAACCACTCCATAAGGTAGGTAGCTCGACTCGGGAGGCCTAGCTGCTAGAATATGAAACCTCTCGAGAGCCACGTACTGAAGCCCCAAGGCGACAGAGTGAATGTGCGATATCCAAAAAAAGAAAAAAAAAAAGCCTAGAAAGATTAGGCCGCAAACAGCGTCATTGCCGCCACCGGGAATCCCAAGACCCGAGGAACAGCTCGCGGGTACCCCTCATTTCAAAAAAGAGTATGCCGATGCAGAGTAGAGGATATAATGAGAAAGAAAGGACAGAACGGCGCGAGAAGCGGTAAAAAGGAGGGAACAGGTTCCCCGTAGAGAGAATGGTTGTTCCGACAAGTTTCGGGGGAGATTCGAAAACAGTTAGATGAAGAACAGCCCCGCCACTGCGACGAGAGCAGCGAAGGCGCTCGCATCCTTCGTCTTCTCTTGTCCCCATGAACCCGCGCTGGGCGCGTCTTCCGGGCCGGAAGCCTCACCGCCAGACCCGCAGGCATCCTCGTCCTGGCTGAACTGGCGCGGGTCGCAGTTGCCGTTACCGCCAGACCCGGCGTCGCCACCGCCCGGAACCCCGCCGTCGCCGCCATTGTCACCACCGCCGCTACCACCGCCGCCGTTGTTGTTACCGCTGTTGTTATCCTCCTCATCTGAGCCAGGAACCGTGACACCCGGGATGGAGCCGCCTCCGGGAATCGAGTTGGGGCGGCGGGTTGGGGTGGGAGAGGAAGAGGAACCGGATCTGGTAGATGTCGGCTCGTCCCCGTCCTCGTCCTCTTCCTCGCCCCTATCCCTGTCCAGTCCAGTCCCCAGCAGGCTCCTCAGCGTCGTCCGTTCGTCACCATCAACGACGGTGTCGTTAGTGCCCCTCGTGCTGGTGTAGGTATAGCTGCGGCCATTGTTCGTGCCAGGAGGGCTGTCGGCGCCGTAGCATGTCATCTCAACATCGCTGACAGCGGCATAGAAGTAACCAGGCCCTTCTGTAATGTCAGGGTGCTCCCAGTCCATGACGCCGCCTGCCCAGTCAATAGTGCCTTGGGCGTTGCTCTCGAGGCCACCGGGCCAGATGGAAAGCATGACACGAGCCGGAGTCTGGGGGAATGCAAAGTTCTGGGAAGTCGCGTTCCACGTGTCGGCTCGTTTCTTCGTCCGCTCGACTTCGCCGTCTACAATCCAGGAAATCTCATCCGGCGTCCAGTTGATCTCATACTCATGCCAGTTGCGGAACGAGTCGGACTGGGTAATATTTTGAGATTGCGTGTCTTTGGCATCGCGTTAGTGTTAAAAAGGGAGGGGGGGGAGAAGAGCGAGAGAAACGAAGAGCCAAAGGTGGGGAAATAGTAAAAGACACGAAAAGGAGGCACTTACAATCAGGAATGCCTTGGAAATAGTAATTGGTTTGGGCCGTTTGCAGGTCCACGCCAACCCATTCGTAATCAATCTCGTCCTGGACGTCGCTGAAAAGGATGAAGGCGGTGATGACGCCGCGGCCGCGCGAAGTCCTCATCCTGGCCTTGACATTGCCGTACCACATGTAGACGGTAGAGGAGAGAACGGTACCGACACTGCCCCGGGGCATGGTCAGGAGGACGTTGCCCTGGGTGATGACAGGTTCGCCCTGCGACACCCAGTCGGCCTCGCTCGGGTCTCCGAGGTATCTGCTGATATCACGGATGCGATCGAGGCCGTTCATCTTCATCTTGCGGTCCTCACAGACGGGAGCGGGCATGCAAGAGTCGATGGAGAAGGATGACCGGGGGTCACAGCCGCCAAGGCAGTACGCGCCGACACCGCATTGCCCGTACACTACACACAAAGGGTCAGTGAGTCATGCTGTTGACATCCATGTAAAGAGATGGCGTGCGGTATGTAAAACTATTTAGGGGGGGGTTTGAAAAAAAAAGAAGAGGCGGGGCGTACTGGAACAGCAGGGAGCATCCTCGGGACATTTCTGGTCGAGACCGCAGCTCGGTTGGTCGCTTTGGGACAAAACGGTCGAGGCAGCAAGCAGGGCTGCGCCGAGAGCTAGTGTTGAAGCACGCATGATGCCTATGTGTGTGCAAAGTAACGTGGGAGGAAAATTGGCGTGTTGCGAGGGGGGGAAATATTAGATATTCCAGGCTGCAGCTCCTGCCACAAATACGGCGTCGAAACGAGTGGCTTGTGGGTTACGGACGTGGCGTCTCCTTTTAACGACTAAGGCACTTTATGTCGGAACCCGACCGGAAGGTCCAGGCGGCAGTGAATTTTTGTCTGAACAAACAGGAATTCGTCGATTCTCCGTACGTTGTATGCGACAGATCCGGCAAGGCAGCGAACGGATAGAGTATATTCGACGCTGGCCAAATCTGGCACCACAGGGCTCTTTCTGTCTTGCTTTGTACTATGAATTCGTACTAGATCGGGCCGTCGTCGAATCGGTTCGCGAGAACTTTAGGGGCGCTGATCGGGTCGCGTTGTACATCGACGACCGACAGGTGGGACAAGGAGCAGAAGTCGCAGCGAATCGATCGGGGGTATTAGCGACCGGGGGAGGCGTTATGGGAACCTCTTCGTACGATTGCAGGTGAAAGCGAGAGTCGGGAAGAATAAAATAATACAAAACGAGGTCGAGCCAGGTCACCTTAACGAGCGATGGTGAGGCTGGGTCGAATCCGGTCAACAACGAGTGGACAGACGACCGATCTCAGCTGGGTTGGGAGAGAAGTATGGAAGCCAAGCCTGAGCGTACGAAATAAAAGAAATAAATGGAAGGAAGGGAGGGACAGGGAGTTCAAGGGACCGTACTGGAACCAGAGAAGGAAAGGTGTGGGGAAGAAAGATGCCTCACTCAAGTCACGGTTTCCTGGGCGTTCCTCCCTTACCTGCCTGTCCCTACCCTTTGCCTGAGCCCCGTCGTCGTAAGGTCTCAGGGGGGAGCCAATCGTCGTGACCGAGGTGGAAACCACATCAGTCAGGGGTTTTAGGGACCAATCAATCGAGATTTACGATGGGTACCCACTCGGAGCCAGGCAATTCCTTCTGGCCGCCCAATCAGGAAAGGCGTCGTTGAAATTCAACGGCCCACCGTCACCCCTCGTAAATCATGTGGCGTTCTTCGTATTGAGTCTGAAGCATCCAGACACCCGAGGACGATCAGGAGAAGGTAGCCGGGATGAAGGAATTTGATCATCGTTTTTTGGATTGTTCATTGCAAGTCGGCTTCTAACTCACCAGCGATCTGTGTTTTTGTCCACTTTGCCCTCCCCTTCTCCCCTATCTTATCCTTCTGTTGTGCTGTCGCCTGTCGCCTGAAGTTGGCTCGGTACCTCGAGGCGTGTTGTTCTCACGCAAAGCAGGAACCGCTCTATATAAGTTCGCCCGTCAACTCATCGGTCCAGCCAGTTGTGAGCTCATGAGCCTCAGTCATGAGCACCCGCGCTCCTCATCGTACTACGACCATTCGCTTTTTTTTTTGTGTATAAATCGCTCGTGTTAGAGTCTTGTCAAATCGAGTACACATAGAATTGAGCAAGGACGAAAAGAAAACGAGGTCTTGCCCAAGGTTTCTCGTCCACTTCATAATTTCCCCAAGCACTCACAACACCGCCTGCCACCACAACCTCCCACGCTGTCACGTCTCGATCCTACTTAGCAATGGTCCTATCATGTTCATCATGACCGACACGTTCCTCCTGGGAAGAACTGCTGCGGCAGTGATGAGGCTACGCAGTCTGCATGGGAACTGCGGCTGCACCAAGAAGAAAAACATATAGAATCACTGGGCAGACCCGCATAGCAACGAGCTTTCTTTTACCGGCTATCTGTCTTGTGCATCCATGTCCTGCCCGTCCTCATTTCCCTAGTGCTATATTAAGTCCGGTTACATTTGACTTGTCATCCGTGGTCCCAAGAACCCAGAAACCCTTCAAGTCCTGAACCTTCCGCAACGCCCTTGGAGTTCGTCCGAAAATAAAGGAAGGGAAGGCGGGACGAAGACATCCTTTCGTTCTCCTAAGACACAAGCAGAAGACCACTCTTGACAGCCAACCCGATTGCGCTCCTCCCCATGAAAAAGAGAAAAGAAGAAATGACAAAAAAAGAAACAGCACAATCCCGTGACTGTCCGACCTTCCCATATTTCGAGAGCCGTTCTCCTCCTCTCTTAGCCGGAAAGGTCTGAAGATTTCACCCAAGTCGACCGAACCGACCCCGGTCAAGCCCAAATCCCGAGGATCTCGCATCCCGAGAACCTTCCGTAGTTGTCAAGTCCAGCTGGCTGGCGTCGAAAAGAGATGGGCGCTGATAGGGACGAGACCTAGCTCGTCGATGGGGTCATCATGGAATCCTTGCTCCCAGACCGAATCATGGAATCGTGAGTGAAGGAGACTACACCAAAGAGCAAACGAGAATAAAGAATAAAGGGGAATAAAAAAGGGGATTAGTCGGAAGCAGTTCAGTCCCAGGGTCGCCGTTCTGCATTAGACATCTTTGGTGATTGTCTAAGCTTATCGGCTTTATGCGGTTTCGGCGACCGCTGGCACGTCCCCGGCGTTCGATCTTCGGAACCGTCTCTTATCGGCCCGAGGTTTTCTGCCAGAGATCTGTAGTTGAATTGGTTATTTTAGCAATCATACCGCTTCACAGCAAGACACACACCCCCGGCATAGTTACTGACTTCGAGAGAATAGCCTCCGGCGTCTTGGGCAAACATACCGGGAAAGTGCTCCTTGGCGTACTGTTCGCACGCTTTGGCGGGCTTGCCGACCTTTTGGCCGATCACCTTCCACTTGTTGTTTTCGTACTCCTTGATGGCATTTAGGAGGGCCTGGCTCTGTCCGTACAATTAGCGACACCAGATACTACTCTGATGGTGTGGGACAGGGTACTCTGGTTGTGGAAGATAGGGAGGAGCAGACGAACCTCATCTTCCGCAAACTCGGCATAGTGCATGTCTTTATACCAATGTTTCTTCACACTGCCCTCGGTGCGAGTAGGGAATGTCTAATCAAGACTCGTCAGTATGGACTGTGACCCAGAAAGAGACACCTGGAGGAGCCCCGTGAGGAGAGAGAGAAGGGGGGGAAGGGTGTAAAAAACGAACTTTAGCAATTTCGGCCCAACTGTTCCCTGCATCACGCATCTGCTTCAATCTCTGCTCTTCGGCGGGGGTCCACGGGGTGTTTGTGCGAGTCTTCTTGGCAGGAGGGGGTTGAGGAGTGGCAGAATTGCCATCTTCGGTCGGAGCTGCCTGGGCCTGGGCTTGACTCTGGGCCTGCGCAGGAGTGGCGGGTGCGGCAGACGCAATGGTCGGAGCAATAGCCGGGGCCGGAGGGGCGGGCGGGCCAGGTGGAGCGCTTGTACCCGTCGGGGTGGCATTTGACGGGGCGGGCCGCTTACGACGTCCGGATGCTGGTGTCGCAGCTGGCGCCGACCCTTGCTGCGGAGGGGCTTGCTGCTGCGGTGCTTGCTGAGGGACATTCATGTTGGGCTGTACCGGCGTCGAGTGGTGCTGTTGATGTTGCTGCTGGCCCGTCGGGCTTGGCTGAGGAGGGCCACCGTACTGAAACTGACGCTGGTCACGGTGCTGCATGTCCGACTGCTGGGCCGGCTGGTAGGGATGCTGGGCGCCACTTCGACGGTAGCCAAGTTAGCAACGTGGGTCCTGTGTCCCCGGGTACAAAGATTATCAGAGGTATCAGAAACGACAGCATAGCCGCGACCGGTGAAGCACTGGCTCGCGGGCGTTCGGCGTTCGAGGGCGGCCCCTGTGGCAGGCGCAAAGAAAGGCGCTACGAGAACCAGATGGTGAGGGATAAAAAGACATCGTGGGAAATAGGATCTGGGAAATGTACGCCCATCAAAACCCCCATCAAAACCCGTGGTGTCACAGGTACGGCCCCTCATGAGGAGATGTCGGGGCCAAGGAACGGACATGGTTTCGCAGGGTATACATGTGTACCTGAACGGAACTGTACATTCGGGATAGTCTGTGAGGTTTGGGAATAGTGTCACGGGAGTGACAAAGCCAGGGGGTTGGGGCAGGGGAGAGGTGAAGTACATGGTGAAGGTACGGATACAACGAGACGATGTACTCACTGGATGTCGCTTGGCTGATGAGTGGAGTTGGAGTAGATGTACTCCGGCACTGGACCGACTTGCCACTGCTGCATGATCTGTGATATAAATAGTTAACACTTCCTGTTCCTGTTTTTGGACGCATGTCCCGAATATCAATATCACGAGAAGTAAGATGCGATGGCGACGGTGCCAATTCGTCTGGGAAGGAGACTGAAACTGCCATCGAGCAGGCCATGGGATCCAGAAGAAGAGAAAAAAAAGGCGAGGCTTGGAGGCACAGTCGGCTCCAGGCAGCGAGAACGAAGGCCAGATGCGGTAAGAGCATGAATCAAGACAGTGGAGGGTAAAGATGGGGTAAAGATGGGAAGTCTAAAAGAGAAGCGAAACGGGCTGGCATGGTGCAGGCAGTGAAAACGAAAGTTGAGGTCATTGTCAAACATCGCGCAGTTGCGGTCGACTCGATTCCACTCGAATGCGAACGCGAACGCGTCTGCGAATTGCCGACAGGTACAATGACGACGACGACAATGATGGGAAGAAAATGCGGACAGTCGATGAAAGGGACGCAATGAAACGAAAGAAAGCGTGCAGATACTTACAGGCAAAGTCGCTACGACTCGATAAAAGGTTGCGGAACCGCGAATTTGACGTAGGGTGGGTAGAAAGACAAAACGTTGTGCCTCGAAGTAGTATCTGGATGATCGCAAGTACTCAGAGGGACTTTCAGGAAAAGACGGGGAGGTACTTCAATGCTGTGTGGTGATGTTGAGAGAACAAAAGAGCTACACGCGAGAGATGTGGATCGGTGGGATAGCTGGTTGAAGTACTCTTGGATGAAAACTGGGTTGGGGCCCTTATCCCACAAAGTCTTGACCTTGGTAAGAGGGGGGCAATTCTGAAAAGTGGGGCTTGGCTGAGTGATGTGACGGTTAAAGAGGTAAATGGGGAGACAAATGCAGCCGATGATTTGTGGGAAACCTTGAAGTGATGTATATTGAGGTGGCGGGGTAGGGACAAAGTAAAAAAAAAAAAAAAATGTCAAACAAGGTCAAGGGAGGAAAAATAACGGGGGGAGGCAATTTGGTGACGTGGAATTTGGCCAACCAACTGCAAGAAATTTGGGTGGAAGGTGGGCTCCTGGGCACAGGCTGTGCTCTTGCAGTACGTACCTCTGTACGCGTCGAGCCGGGAATGTACACCAAGCTGAAGAATGTCAGAGGGCCGATTGTCCTTCTAGGTGATCTGAATGAGTTCCTGGCTATGGAAAAGAGCATCCAGTATAGATAGGGTAGTGTGGGGAGAGAATATGGTAGTTACTTTGAGGAGAGTGGGCAGAAGGGTGGGTGGTTGGTGGCGAGGACAGTGGAGTGGTGATACGGTCGAGGAAAGCCCGCATGCGCTACCTGAATGTTGTTCGACTCGAGAAAGGGAAAGGAGGAGGTTTCAGGTACGTACTTTGATGGTCTCAGTGAAGTTAGGTAAAAGGCAAGTACAGCAGGCGTATGTGTGTGGGAGAAGTCGCGAGGGAATGAACCTGGACGATGACGGTTGAGTTAGAAAACGCGGACCACGCGCAAATAAGATACGAAGTCTGTACGTAAAGCGAGATGAACTCGTGCGTTACCTGAGCAGGAACTCGAAAGCGTTTCCGTTCTTTCTCTCGTGCGTTTTGTTTGTGCGCGAAGTTATGCTTCGAGGCTGCGGTAAGAAAGATGGCGTGCGTATTCGTCGAGTCCTTCTTTATGCTCGCATATCTGTTGTCGGCGCGGTTCAATTGAGACACGCGTCTATTGACACGACGAGGCGCGTGTTTGGGGGAAGTGAAGCTGCAACGGCTTCGGTGGATCGCCCACGAGGCTGGCCGAAGGTGGATAAGGTTGGTGGCTTTCAGAATGAAGAAGTAGATACTTTACGTGACGGAAAGTACGAAGTAAAGGTGGAAAGGTAAGGTAGACTCGACGAGAGTTGCATGGAGGTACTTCCGAAGAAAGTAACTTCCTGTTCACTCTGGTGTTTTTGGGGTGAAGACTGCCAATACAGGTGGTGGAAGGGGGAAAAAATTGCTAGCGGACGGGGAGGGGAGTCGAAGGGAAATGTCCCTTGTTGATGATCCGTGGTATTCTTTTGTGGGACGCGAAAAGAGGAAGGCGCAAGTGGGTCAGTGGCGCCATACATTGACCGTGTAGCAATCCGTGTCCAGATCCAACACTAAATTGCTTAGTCCTAGCGCTGGAGATATCACTGTTACTGTGAAAGTATCTATGATCCCGATAGTTAGCCGGCTGGCACTTATTGTTCGAAATGTCTAGCGTATAAGCATATTAAGTACTATGTGTCATAACAGCGAATGACGTATACCTTACAGCAGGTACCTAGGTAAGTACATATGGCCAGGTATTGACTCCATAGTTGTAATCCGAAGGCCATCAATATCCACTAATATGCCAAGCCTAAGGTACGTAAGTATCGTCCCTTTTTTGCTGGAATTGGACTCAAGCCTCGGCAGCCAAGGACTACCTTATCACTACGAGAACTTCATCAAAGGTTTATTGGGATAATCGCGTAAGAAGATGTGTAGAAATGCGAAATTTCGAGTTAGGCTAATTGGGGGTTCGGATTCGAGGGTTCAGGCGCTCCATTTCTGGTGCACGAATATTCCGTAAGCCGGTATGTGTACTTCGTCCTTCGTCCAGGTCTGGGGTCCTCTGACTCCTCTCTCACCAACTAAAACGATAGGTCCGTCGGGGGGAATCTAGAAGTACGTTGTACCTACGCGCTTGTCAATTCGTCCAGGATTCGTTAAGGTATTCTTCTCGTGAGAACTCATCCCTTGTACCAGTCGTTTAAGGTACTTTGGCAACTCAACACGGTGACTTACCGCACGTAATCCACGTACCGCTACATCTGGCGAATCAGTACCTCAAAATACATATTCGTACTTCATATATCTTGGTCTACCTTACCTTAGGTACTTTGTAAATACCTACCTAGGTACCTTATCTCAACTCCCTAGGTAATTAGTAAGGTACGGTACCGAGATAGTCCCAAGTGCTTCTTGTCCTCCGTCGTTTGCCTGAGGTACTTGATCTGTACTTCATCCAAGGGTGTGCGCGTCGTTGACTGTTGAGTTGTAATTAAGTGAAGCCAGCGCATTGCTTCTTGCTCCGATACTGATGGCCTCCGAGGCACCCAGAAAATGCCGGTCTTTCGATGTCTTCCGGTTCAGTATCACAAAGGCGTTTTCCTGTGACTCGTTTCCACTGTGTCTTTGCGAAGCGGGTCGAAATAGGCGTTCTCTTCAGCTTTCGCCGACATCCTTATGCTTTTCCCTCTATGAATCTGTAACTGAATGCATCTCGTGGAACCCATCAGGTTAGTCGATTGGTTACTTGCGAAGGATGAGCAGCTGACGGGTTCTGAATCAAGGCCGCTATTGCTGAAATCATCCAATGTCGGGACTTGGACGTGCAGAGAATTGGCATGATCAGCATTGTAAGTTTAGGAAGTAGCGTGCGACTCTCGGCATAGTCGCGATCTTGATAGACCTCACAAGTCGAGTATAGGAGTTCCCTTCAATGGCTCAGAGGATAAACTGCTAATTGCCGTCACTTCAAAACATCCCTCGAGCGGCATTAACACACGCACTGAGCTTCTGAAACGCCCCTTGTCGGAGGACAACGCATGTGAACCGGATGCTCAATGTGGACGAAGAGCATCATGACGGGCCGCTTGGCTGCAGCTCGGTTGCTAATTAGTACGCAAGAGAACCAGCGCGACATTTATCTTGACAAGGGGGATACCATGGCGCCTTTTTTTTTTCGCTTAACTTGAGCGCTGACGATATTGGCAAACCATTCGATGACATGGTCTCATCGTGAGGAACAGTTGTTAAGGCAGGGCAAGCTGCCTGCAACGGCAGCGTCCTGGCTCGAAATCACAGTCCCGAACCAACTCGTTTCAAGTGCCGAAAGGCAGCGTGGGCTGGATATTAAATGAGTACAAGGTGTTGCCCGAAGTCAGGAAGGAAATCCCTTTTTGCAGGATACTATCTTCAACCGCTTGAGGCATGTTCACCGGAGACATCGTTCCCGGAAGCTAGAAACAACCTCAAGTTGCGGATGGTCGTCAAAGCGGTCTTGCACTCTCCGCAACAGTTCGAATGCCGGGGGGGCAGTGTCATCGCTCGCGGGGTGCTCACCGATTTTCCTTTTCGTTTCCTTTTCCCCCCTTTCCCTCCCATCATTTCCACCCGCCATGTTACGAGCTAGGCTACCGATTGATCACAAAGGAGTCTGGGGATGATGTTCCATCAAGGCCGACAGAGTCCAAGTAGTCATGTCAAAATCCGGGGACCCCAGGAGGAAAGCATATCGCCCGCTCCTGTGACCGTACGTTGAGCATCCCTGTGCTCATTCGTAACTTTCGGGCTCCCAACTCCGATTTGTGACAATGACGATCTACTCTGAGAGGGGCATGTGTCAGGTTGCCTCGCTTGGATTATGCCGCTGCCTCACATATCCTATGGTAACTGCCAACAGGCCCTTAGGGACGAATGATCGCCAGGAAGCCCTCCATCCGAACCGTAAAATCTCCGTCGACGTTGGAAATGGGATGAACAAGGTGGTGCTAAAAGTTCAACCCTGGGCAAGGCTCAAGACTTCCTGGCGGTTGCGGGATGTCGTCATCTCTGCTGATGTACCTAGGCTGGCTGCGGAATGCAGAGTTGCCGGGGTCAGAGGAGACAACATTCACTGCCGCCGTGGCCGCGACTTGGGCACCTCGAAACAGGAGTGACAAGTGGTCTAGTGAAGGCAGCCATGTGGTTTATGGTAATCAGGGGAAAGCAATCATCCGAACTGATCAAGATTAGAGGATATGATGAGCAGAATATAACCATCAGGCCGATCTGGGCCTCGGGTCCGATCAGCGTCGCCTCGGACAGTTGAACCGCAATCTCAGCCATCTCAGCAACAAGCTGTCAAAGCTACAAGATCATGGAACGTTCCGGACAAATTTAACCTATGTTAAGTGACGACTTGTGAATATTAGCGATCATATTGTTACGGAGCACAGACGCATGTTCCGAGCGGAGATGCTTGGACCATAGGACTAGCCCGGTGGGAAGTGTAAACATTAAGAAGGAGAGGAGTATTCGTAGGTAGATGGATGCGGAGATGAACAGAGCTCCCTCAGGGGTAGTCATGAAGTTTGTGGAGAGGAAGACGTCGCGGAAACGCGGGAACCACACGCAATGTTTCCTGCAGGACCACATTTGTTTATTGCTCAAAGAATGGGCCAATGAGGAAAAGGAAAGAAATTAAGAAATAAAGAAAGACCCGGAATACATCTGGGCAATTTTTTTTTCTTCCCTTCTTCGCATGGAGTACCAAGTACGAATTGTTCCTTCGTGGAGAGGTCGCAGGTGTCTTACACCTAGGTACCTTATGTAAGTGTAGAGGTCAGAGACATCAGCTCGTAGACAACGAAAATGAGTGGCCAAGGACAACAGGGACCCCTGCGGGTATAGATACGCCCAAATATAAGGAAAAGAATAGCATTTTTAAGTAACTCGACTCACAAAACAAATTACAGTTCCTTTCCTCAACACCATCGTCAATACCAGGCAATCTGTGTCTTCCCTATCCTTCTAGCGCAGGCGGTTAGGTATCGTTCAAACCAAACTCTTAAAAGATCCTTTTAACTATAGAGTTACCTCCTAAGCAGCCTTAATGGTGCTTGGGCTCTTCCCTGCCTACCCACTGAGCTAGGTGTTTAGGTCAGAAATGTCGTGGATGTGGTGATAGCTTCAATACGTTTGTATCCTACCTTACGTTGTACATGGCCTCGCGACATTTGCTTTTGTACCTGTCCATATAAAGTTTGTGGCAAAGTACGGATCGACCGGATTATCCAATGCGATCACTGCATCCGTGTAGGTTGTACAGGGCTGACGACTCGATTTTCCGTATCGGGACATGTGGGGAAAGTCTGAGACCAGTTTGAAATTACGCCAGTGCGTAACGGGTTTCAAGGGACTCGGGGAGTTGTGCATTGCTCCTCTCTCATTGACCAATACGGCTTAAGGTCGGTGTCCAAAACCCCGGGGACATGTTACGGAATCCGGTGGCATTTCGAGGAAACAAAGTGGAACACAATAATAGGTGGGACTTGGCTTCATGGGCGCCCGTAGCAGCGTTACGAGACTTACAGCCAGGAAATTGAGTGATGCCTTTTAAAGACTTGGAAGCAGACATTCCATGGAACAATTACTCAGCAACCTCGAGTCCAAGCAAGGTAGCATACGCACTATGCACCATTCCCCCGCCCAGGTTCAATGAGAAGAAATAACGCGTATTACCGCTTCTGGTGAAAGATGGGAAAGAGACAGTCTAGAACGCCTAAGAGTACAACGTAGTCCGCAGTCAATATCAAATCAAGGTCATAGAGATGACTAAGGTAGACGCACATAGCGTGTCCGTACTCCGTAGTTCGTACGAAGTAACGAGACCTTTGTCCTCCCTGGTATTCATCAGTAATAATTGGTGCAAGGTCCTTGCCATGCATGGCCCATTGCTTAGCTCCATCACGGTCTTCTCCGGTCGGAATGGCATCCCGCTCAAGTACTCCAGTATGTAAGGTACCATACGAAGAGGATGGAGATTCTCTTATAGGTATTGTGGGAACAGAAACATGACATGGAAGGTGGTGGATATGTACGTTGTACTCTGGGGAACTTGCCCCCGTTTTCATTCGAGACATCCGGAGTACAAAGCAAGTACATTGTATGCCCGTGTTCGGTACATACACTCAAACCCCTGATTACTGGTAATTATATATGGTGTACTTACGAATCCGAATAAACTAATAGTGCTACGAGGATAACCGGAGTAGATTATAACTAGATATATATTTTTCTATATAAAATAAACGGGCTTAGATACGCTAAACCACGGGGGACTTAGTATCCTGTTAAACCACCTTATAACTCCTTAATACGTAAAGGTAACGTGATATAGAAGTATATATATAGGTGTTATTAGTAAAGGTACGTTCCTCGAACCTTGAATTTCCTAAAGGAGTAAATTACGAATATACCTTAAACATAATCAAACAGGGGTTATATAGTACCTACCTTGCCGAGTAAGGTACCTATAGAACCTGTCAATTACCTTTAGTCACTTGATGTTCTTCAGAGGGAGCAGAGGCCCTTGGGAGTTTACTTTCCAGAAAGACAACTTCTCACGCCTTGGACCTTTTAGAATAATGTGTCCCGACTCGATTCCCCTTCCCACTCACTTAGTTGTTCATATCATCACGTCAATCCATCCATTTTACCCACTCGTCTGAATGAAGCACGTCCAAGGCAACATTCTTCACATCTTAAAAGCTCGAGGAGATGTATCGTCCCCCGACATCAGCGGTCCACAGCTGCAGCTACCAACGGCAAGCGCCGCAAGGATGGTGGCCAAGCCAACGGAGAGAAAGCTAGGAGCCTGGGTTCGCGGTCAAGGCGTGAATTTACAAGCATGTAATCCGCTGACGCCGGCCGAGCTTACTTTGGCGTTTTCACTGAGACGCACGGCGGCACCCTAGAAGTCTATGGTTTCCTTGTTCGGCGCCAGGCACCCCCCAAACAACTTCGCATCGTGTTACGCAGCGTCTGAAGTCGGCCGTCCTCTTTTCAGCAAGGAGAACAAGAGATCCTCTATCGGCATTCTCTCTCTTTGTGTCAGTATCCCGCCGCCACTTGACGTCTGGCGCTTGGTGATTTTGCTCGATTTGTCGGTCCACGGAACATGGCCTTCGTCTTTGAAGCTGCTGTGCTCCAGTTCATTGAGTCTATGTCGTGGAACAGCAAACGATAGACCTGGATCTGATACAATATCATCACTCGCCTCCCAACGGCAGCAAAAACGGCTTCAAGTGTTTATCGGTACTTTTTTCTTCCTTTTCTTTTTGATGTCCGATGGGAGGGAAACGACTGTGCCGTCCCCCAGACAAGCTACTACCCCTCGATGGATTTCATCAACCCTGGTTCCATCGTGGGCCACCCTACCCCTGGGCCAGCTTTACAGTATGGATATGTACTATGCATTCAGCAATCCTGAAGTTCGTACATCATCCGAAGCTGCTAATTATCTGCCAGGGCGGGCTTGCCAGGGCCTAAGAGACCAGTCCAGCCAGGCTTGCTGAGTTCCTCGACAACGCTCACCCGTTTCTCACAGTAATTTCGTGATATACATTTCTGAGGACATCAGTAGCCCTGCTTGATACCTGTGCACGAACGGTAATCAAAAGGGTCCCGATCAACGCCCAGCAACTACTTGCTTCAATGGAGGGGCCGACGAAACGGGCGTGGACAGTTGAGGCCGTCAACGGATCATATCAGACGTTTTGGTTCCCTTTCGCGTCGCATCTTATCACATCGTTCCCGGTTTCCCATCGGTTTCCGGGGTATGAGCAAGGGCTAGGCACAATCACCCGACCCGTCTGCGACAAGGCTTTGGCCTGATTGTGCGGGTGACCCCTGTCCTGGATGCACGAGATCCCGAGCTTCACCACCTGTTCTACTCCTGTCTCCGCCCTGTCGCCGGCCCGGACATTCGGTTGCCTTCTTAATCATTACCCTTCCCACTCCTTTCACCCTCCGCTTTTCTCTCTCTTTTTTTCTTCTTCTTCTCTTCAACCTGGGTTCATCTTCTGATCACGAAGCGCAGTTGCGTGTCATTCTTTCATCTCCCGCAGCTGGGGTTTTTACCTACCTGTCCAACTGGTTTGGCTGCCCACACTCCTTTAGAAAAGACTTTCGATTCTTGAACACTTCTTTTTCCCATCCACTCCTTTCATATTCATTCAAACGAACATTTTCACGATTTTTTTTTTCATCCCTTCACTTCTTTAGGTCGGTTTGTTCGTCTTCCTCTTGGCTTTTCGCAGCGACCATCCGACAAGCAGCATAACATAGCCTCGAGCCCAGTTCTGCCATCGCTTGCCCAAGAGGTTGTACTGTATCCCGTCCTCCCTTTTCAACCACGGTCAACGCCTTCAGGCTACGACCTTTTTCTTCCTTTTTTTTCGATTCAATTCGCAGCAAGATCTGCAGATTTTTCAACCCCTGTTCCGTGATCGAACAGCGCCGAATTTCCCCCGAAACCAGACTCAGTGACCCAGCGTCTTTTGAGTGGTCCTCTCGTAACGACAAGGCAATGGCTCCTAACGTGCAGACGGCGCCTCAGTCGGCCACTTTCACCCCTACCTCGGACGTCGTGGACCGACGCGCGCAAGGCGTCACCAAGCTGCGGAAGACGGCCACTGGAGGAGGCCGTGCCTGGAGTGAGGACGAGGTGGGTCTTACCATGAGCGTTCGAGTGGACGGCTTGCGCTTGTTCGCCGTGATGCAGTGCTGATATATTTGCCTACAGGAAGCTTATCTGCTCCGAACCCGACTTCAGAAGATGCCGTACAAGCACATTGCGGCTCACTTGAAGAAGACGGAGCTCGCATGCCGCCTGCACTACCATCAGCTCAGCCACGGCAACAACCGCCGGAAGCAGCGTGCGGCGTCTGTGTCTTCCGGCTCCTCGGCCGGTCAGTCGCCTGACACGCCAGCTAGCTTGCCGTCTCCTGCTTGCGAGTCGCCGCCGCCTTCCATCACTCCTCCGCGAAGTGCCGGCCACTACGGACCGCCGTCGCCTCCCGCGGTCCAGCTGCCTAGCATTGTCAGCAACGGCAGCTCGCCCCATCTGCCCGCCATCCTCCCCAAGCCCGTGGGGATGACCCTCCCGCCCCCGATTGCCTCTCCAACCCGGGGCTACCCCAGTCCCATCCCGGAGCGCGGCGCGGCCCCTTCTCCGGCCTCCTTCCCGGGTGGCCAGACACACCCCACGACCTCGCCACTGCGACTTGACTGTTCCTTTGGCCAGCGTCACCATTCCCCTAGCCACCACGGGGCCATCGACATGGGCCGGTTGAATGCGGCCTACGAGGCACACCGCGCCTCGTTCTGGGCGACCATCGCCAACGAATACGGCGGGCGTGCGAGCCCTGCCACGCTGGAACAGGCGTGGAAGTCGGGCTCGTGCTGCCACCAGTCCCAGCAACACCAGCAACACCAGCATCCGCCGCATCAGCAGGTCATTACGCCCATCAGTCCCCTATCGAGTCCTGCCGATAGCCTGGAGCGGGAGGGGTACAGCAAGCCCCAGACGGACAGGACGCGGATTTCGGCCATTTTGGGAATTGATGCGAACCCAAGATCCCCTCGTGACCGCGAGATGGTTCGCCGCATGGAGGGAGGGAGGAGTCACGTCTAGCGTCATCTCGGGGAAATAAAAAGAAGAACCGCCGCGAGGGCCTAGCGGGAATTCCGGCAAACTCGAGTGTCTTGCCTCTTCTCTCTCATTGTATTACTTGCGCGATGCATCTCACCTCATCTATGTTGGATTTTGCGGGGTGTGGGAAAGGGGCGCTCGATGCTTTGAAGTTACCTCGGCCTATTTTCCAAAGGCTTGAGTACGCGAACCATGACCATTTTTTGCGATTCTGTCGTTTTTGTTTGTGGAGACGTCTCTTTTTCTCCTTCTCGCTTTTGGTTCCCGGGAATTCATGTCCCTGGGGGGGTTTTTGTTTTTTTTGCTTCTTTTCTTTTTCCTTGATTCATTTTCACCACACTCATTTCGTTTTTTCTTTTCTTCTTTCAAACAAACGTGCGGCGGAGGGGCGATCGCCCCTTTGGTCCTGGAGGGGTCTTGGCGCAGATTGGGAGCTGTTCTCATCGGGATGGACTTCCTGAGTGGTCTTTCTGAAAGGCTGGAATGCCTGATCAGACTGCTCATCGGCTGGGAGAAGCGGCCGGCAGCATTGCATGGGTGGGTGCAGTCAGCGGATGGGCCGTTTACTTGCCAGTGGCTTGCTATCCGAACAGCCTCGGTTGCCTGTTGGGAGAGCGCGAGTCGGATTTTCGGGTGTTGTCGCGGTGGGGAGGCAAAACGGGGGTTTCCATGTCTTCTTTTCTTCTTCCCCTTTTCACTTCTTTTTCATTTCCTACCTTTGCCCCATGAGTATTTCTTTTTCGTCATTGTTTCCTTACCAATCGCGTCGAACCCAAGGCAGGGAGAGAGATGAAGACATGACAAATGACCTCAGGGAAAGCAACGCATAGCATACCTGCATTGGATGACATGGACTCGCATAGCTGTAGACTGCCTAGCTACATACCTTGTGCAGTATCCAGCTGTCAGGACCCTGTTGAGAGAGACAAACAAGACTTGGACTCTGGGGACGTGGAATGACCAAGATTATTTTTGTTTGTCTTTTCTGCAATCTTTTGAACTGTCCTAGGTGTGAATCGGCCTTTCAGTGTGGTCAAGTCGTAGTAAATAAACCACGGTCAGAGCCTACATTTCATCCAAGTCGGTCAGTCAAGAGGGTTGATGGGTTGATGGGATGATGGGAACACGAGCAGTACACGTGTAAGAGCACGACTGAAGGGAGGTTGTGTGCTGGGACTGCTAACTGTACATGCATGTACCCGTACTTCCGCGTGCTTCTCCGATGTCAGGTATGATGTAATGACATGTACTTCGTACATTGCGTGGGGTAAACGGAGTTCTCGCTCGTTGAAGACCCGAGACGGGGGGAAAAGAGAAGAAAAGGAAAAGGTTCAGCGCGTAATAATAAGGTACATGTACCTTACATCAAGCAGCTTTGCGAAAGGGGGCTACGAAGTAATGGCCCCGGAATCAGACCACGGAAAGCTCCCCTCTCCCTGTGCTACGATATTACAAAGTAAGGTACCTTACAAACAACAAACCACTATCGCCAATACCGCCTCGATACTAAGGCCCCTCATTCTCTGCCCCGCCCCGTCACGGCTGAACCCTGAACTTGGAAACAACCATAAAAGGCGATTCACGAAAGCAGACCCCAATACGATACACCATGTCTTCCACAGAAGAAAGCAACGCTCCCGCGACGGATTTCTCGCACCAAAGCAGCGACTACATCCAGTTCCCCGTCTTGCCCCCCGGTGGCAAGCTGAACCGGTGGTCTCACAAATTGACGAGGGAACATGACTACCCCGGTGCCCAGGTACTTTTTTCATTTCATTTTTTTTTTCATTTCTTTTTCTTCCCCTCCATTGAATATTGGGGAAAAAAACACAACGAGTATGGTTGCTCACGAGATGAGTGTGAGAAAATTGGAACGGCGTAGGCGATGTTGTATGCGGCTGGTGTCCCAGACCGCGAAACAATGAAGAATGCGCCTCACGTCGGCATCGCGACTGTTTGGTGGGAAGGCAACCCGTGCAAGTGAGTACTCCCTTGTAGGCTGGCACAAAAAAAATATGATGAGAGTCTGGCACACGGTCTGCTGACGCGACAATGCCAACTTCACTTTTAGTACACATCGTGAGCATCACCAGTGATGAGACCCCTTGAAGGAGGGCCGGTTTGGCTTCACCGGGGAGTAGACAAACGCAACTAACCGGGGGGCGCTGGGGGAGTAAAGTTCTCGATTTCGGCAAGATTGTCAAGAAGGCGGTGGAGAAGCAGGGCATGTTGGGATGGCAGTTCAACACGGTTGGTGTATCCGACGCCATCACCATGGGAGGTGAAGGTAGGTTGCCTGTTGTGTCACTGTTATGCCTACTACAGGTACATGTCGCTTTTGCTTGCTGACGGCCGTGTCTCCACTCCAGGCATGCGCTTCTCGTTACAAACGCGCGAGATCATCGCCGACAGCATCGAATCGGTGACGTGCGCCCAGCACCACGACGCCAACATCTCCATCCCCGGATGCGACAAGAACATGCCCGGTGTGGTCATGGCCGCCGCACGCCACGACCGGCCTTTTATCATGATCTACGGCGGCACCATCCGGAAGGGCTACTCGGCGCTGCTCGAGCAGCCCATCAACATCGCCACGTGCTACGAAGCCGCCGGCGCCTACGCCTACGGTCGTCTCCAGGCCAAGTGCGGCGCCGGCGAAGCGGGCCGCACGCCGTCCGACGTCCTCGAGGACATCGAGCGCCACGCCTGCCCCGGCGCGGGCGCCTGCGGCGGCATGTACACGGCCAACACCATGGCGACGGCCATCGAGGCCATGGGGCTGTCGCTGCCCGGGTCGTCGTCGTTCCCGGCCAACTCGCCCGAGAAGGCGCGCGAGTGCGAGCGCGCCGCCGAGGCCGTCAAGGTGGCCATGGAGAAGGACCTGCGGCCGCGCAGGCTCATGACGCGCGCCGCCTTCGAGAACGCGCTCGTGCTCACCATGGTCCTGGGCGGCTCGACCAACGGCGTGCTGCACTTCCTGGCCATGGCGAACACGGCGGACGTGGCCCTGACGCTGGACGACGTCGGCCGGACGAGCAACCGGGTCCCCTTCCTCGCGGACCTGGCGCCGTCGGGACGACACTACATGGAGGACCTGTACAGGGTGGGCGGCACGCCGGCGGTGCTGAAGATGCTCGTGGCGGCGGGGCTGGTCGACGGCACCATCATGACGGTGACGGGCAGGACGCTGGCGGAGAACGTGGCGTCGTGGCCGTCGCTGGACCCGGGGCAGACCGTCATCCGCCCACTATCGGACCCGATCAAGGCGACGGGCCACATCCGCGTGCTGCGGGGGAACATGGCGCCCGGCGGCGCGGTGGCCAAGATCACGGGGAAAGAGGGGCTCCGGTTCACGGGCGCGGCGCGGGTCTTCGACAAGGAGCACGCGCTGGACGCGGCGCTCTCGGCGGGGGCCATCCGGCGCGAGGACGGCAACCTGGTCCTGATCATGCGGTACGAGGGCCCCAAGGGCGGGCCTGGCATGCCGGAGCAGCTGAGGGCCAGCGCGGCCGTCATGGGCGCCGGGCTGACCAATGTGGCGCTCGTGACGGACGGGCGGTACAGCGGCGCGTCGCACGGGTTCATCGTCGGCCATGTGGTCCCCGAGGCGGCGGTCGGGGGGCCCATTGCGCTGGTTAGGGATGGGGACCGCGTGACCATCGATGCCGAGACGAACCGTATTGACATGGTCGACGTGGACGAGGAGGAGATGGCGCGGCGGAGGGCTGGGTGGAAGGCGCCGCCGCCGTATGTTCGGAGGGGCGTGTTGGCTAAGTATGCGCGCCTGGTGGGGGATGCGAGCCATGGTGCTGTCACCGATAGGGCAGATTCGTGGTGAGGTGAGGTGCGGTCACTAAGGTGTGGCCTCGTCTCGCTCGCTGCCTGGACCTCTCCTGAGCTTCACTGTCTGTGTCGACATGTACCAATTTATCCCTTTAATCGCGGATACCGGGATAAGCGAGCCGAGTCCCGAGTAATTATCACTCATCTTATTGGTCTGGATCCTCTAATGGAATCGTTCGAAATTCTGAGATTGCCAATGTACTCTGTACATTTCCGTCCGCGCCTGCTTGACCAGACATGTATACCAGACAAGTTCGCTACGTCGAGTACCCAGTACCTTGAATACTTCGCATGTACATATCTCGTCGATGCCCCTATTTTGCCCCTACCTAATGTGCGTGTACGTGTAGTCTCTTCTCTCTCTCTGTCTTCCAGTACTTCGTAGGTACGACATTACGTAAGTGCCAACTTTACCAATGCTGTATTCTACGTTGTACATACTCCGTACCGAAATTGAATCTGCCAGCGCGAGACGACAACACACACCGAAACTCCACCTCTCCGTCTCGTCCCCGTTTCCTCTCCTAAAATCGTCAATGTCCTCTTGAGACAACGTACCATCACAACACGAATCACAGGAATTGCTGCTTCGGGCGGACTTCTTTCTCACTCTTGCTCGAGTTCGCCCGTTCCTCTTCTGGGGAGACCCATCACCTCCCTGCCACTCGTTCAGTTACTTCTTGTCGCCTTCACTTTCTTTCCCCTTCATTGGGTTGCCTTACCTCTAGTTTGGGTTTTAATTTTTTTTCTTCCCTCCTTCTTCGATAGACGGTCCGCCTCTAGACGACCCTTAATCCATATTCTGCCCTTAACTCCGGGCCGTCAAAATCTTAGTCCAGAGCCGTCGACGCCCTACGTTTTTCCTGGCACGCTCGGCTCCTCCAGCTTTACCTTTGGCGGCTCCGAATACTCTTGACGAACGAACAACGAACAACGACCGAACGAACGAACGCGCACGACGACCCAAAGTTTAGACAAAACATTCTCTTCTCTCAGATTCGGCATCTTCATGCGACATTAGATCTCTATAATCCCGTCATTGGAGCCATCATACGCATACCTTGCCTTACTTTTCGCTCCCCAGCTCATTCCGACACGACACCAGCTGTATGCTATCGCCTAATCGCCACCTCTAATACCCTCCTCGTCGTTTATTTGGACGACTCCCACCCGGACAGCCATGGACATCCTCAGGCGAAGCGTCAAGTCTGCACCGACCAGTCCAGCCTTCCTTCCCGTTTCCGACGACAGATTCTCCAGACATTCTCGCTCCAGCAGGTTATCGTCGCGCATTGCGTTCCTGAGGAAACCTCTCCGTTTACGCGGCAATTCCACCGTCTCCATCCCGCTCGGCGTTGTCATTGCCTTCCCTTTGATCGTCGTTATCCTCATCCTCGTTCTCTTCGTCAGCCATCCCAGCTCGCCCGGGAGGATATTAATGCCCCCTGGGCCTCCTCCCGCTATTCGGTATGTTCTGCGTCATAGTCTGCCGCTCGTCATCAGCATCTTGTCTAACCACATCACCCCAACAGAAAGATCAGCGAACAATATGATAAAGTCTTCCAGGAAGGGTGCCGCGAAATCGACACCACTCAGCCCCGCGCCAACGCCACGTTCGTAGTCTTGGCCCGGAATACGGAAATCGACGGCGTCGTCCAGTCTATGAAGGCTATCGAGCGCCACTTCAACCGCTGGTACAACTACCCTTATGTCTTCCTCAACGATGTCGAGTTCGACGACAACTTCAAGAACACCGTGCGGAACTACACCTCCGCCACCATCGAGTTTGGCCTCGTCGGGCCCGACATGTGGGGGTATCCCGATTGGATCGACCCCAACGTCGCCAAGGAGGGCATTGCCAAACAGGGCGACGCTGCCGTCATGTACGGCGGTATGGAGAGCTACCATTCCATGTGCCGCTTCTACTCGGGGTAATAATATACTATGCTATGTGCCTGCAGTGTTGTCCTGAAATCGGTTAACCGCCCGGACACTGTGCTGACCCTTGACCCGATAGATTCTTCTACAAACACGAGCTCCTGATGAAGTACGAATGGTACTGGCGCCTCGAGCCGGAGGTCAGCTATTTTTGCGACATCACCTAGTACGTCCGGCATCCCTAGCCATGCTCCGAGACTCCTTAGCCCCCCCTGTCGAACACCGCTAACCTGCTCTTTTAGCGACCCTTTCCAAGAAATGACCAAGGCGAACAAGACATACGGATTTACCATTGCCGTAAAAGAACTCCGCGAGACCGTCCCCAACATCTTCCGATACGCGTCGGCCTACAAGCGGAACAAGGGATTGAAGTCCAAGGGCCTCTGGGAGATGTTCGTGGAACCCGTCGAGCCCAAGGAGGACGGCTCTGGCAGCGAGGACTCGTCCGAGAAGGTCCTGCAGAACCAGTCTCCGAACCATAACAACAATGCGTCCCCGAAGATTGACCCAGAGTCGATGGAAGGAGAGACGTATAATATGTGCCATTTCTGGTCCAACTTTGAGATTGCCAAGCTCAGCTGGTTCCGGAGTAGGGAGTATGAAGAGTTTTTCGAAACCATGGACCGTAGCGGAGGCTTCTGGATGGAGCGGGTGAGTCGATTTTTTATTTTCTTCTCTCATGCTGTAGTCTCGCCACTAACCACCCTCGCTACCAGTGGGGAGACGCGCCCGTCCATTCCCTGGCCGCCGGAGCCCTCCTTGGCCCTGGCGACATCCATTACTTCCGCGACTTGGGCTACCGACACACCACCATCCAACACTGCCCTGCCAACGCGCCGGGGAAGCAATTACCACGGCAGAAGTACCTCGAGACGACGACACAGGACGAGCAGGCACGCATTGCCGAGGACGACTACTGGGAGCACTGGGACGAGGCGAAGGAGAACGGGGTGGGCTGCCGGTGCCGGTGCGACACCGACATTGTCGACGTCGAGGGCAAGGAGGGGTCGTGTCTTGCAGAGTGGGTCGACGTTGCGGGCGGCTGGGCCAGTCCCTGATCTTGGTCGTGATCCCGCCTTGCTTGATTTCGCCGTATGGTCGTTTGTGGGAAGACGAGGCGAGCTCCTCCCCACGTCTGGCTTGCTCGATTCACTGCAGGATTCACGATGTGAAGTCGGCACGAACACGTGCATACGCGCACGCACGCACATATATATATACGGACCGGACACAGCAAGAGAGATAGCCGGCAGCACCGAGCACTGGAAAGAAGGAAGAAAAGGGTGTGCTGTATATATTTCCATGGTCTGCAGGCGCACGGAAGGGGGGACATGCGTATTCCATCTCCGATTTGGTTTCACCTCCGCTCTTTCGTTCCTTTTTTTCTTGGTTCTTTCTGGAAATGGATTCTGGTTTGGAGGGGGGGTCGTTTTGTCGGAATACGAATACACGGCAGAGCGGACAGGATTGTTTCTGGATAACTCTCTCCCTATCCTCTGTTCTCTTTTTTCTTTTCTTGTTTTTTTTTTTTTTTTTGGAGTTCCGACGGATGCATTGGGTGACTTTCTCCGGCGTCTTGTCTATAATCCTGTCAAGTTGTCATCGTCCATTCTGAGGAGGTTGTGTTTTGGTTTTTTTGACATTACGTCTTCATTACGCACGCATATGCATAGGGATAGAGTGCCGGCGGAGAAGGGAAGACGAAGGCCTAATTAGGCAAGGCAAAGCAATACGATATAATGTCTCCTGTCTACGTGGTTTCTTTCGAATCTTGTGCGGCTTGTCTGGTAACCCGTTGCTATCCATCTTGGCTGCCCTCTTGGTCGACGCCCGCAAAGTTTGGTTCAGGACACCAGAAACGCCGTTCTCCAGCGAGCAGAGGAAATGCGCGGGAGCAAGATGAGAAGGATACTTGTACGCCGAAGGCAACGATATCTCTGAGATTGAACGAAGGGTTGGGGAGAGGTGCCCTTGGGACGCCGTCCTCGTACTGTGGTCTAAGTTAAGGACGTGAATAATGTTGTATCCATGGCATACTTTAGGGCAGGCCATCCTTTTGTGAGAAATATCCGTAGAAGAAAGGGAGAATTGACGGACGGATTTGGTATGGAGCATGACCCTTCTCCCCATACCTGAATCTTCCTCTTCTTCGTTTTGGGCTGTCCTCACCCCCTCTGCGAAGACGCAGTATCCTTGATTGTTCTTTCGTGTCTTCAGACGACACGCAAAAACGGACGCCTGTGTGGTTCTTGAGAGTGTCCGCTCTTGCATATTTTGTCGAAAGGTTGATGACACCAGAAGGAGGCCGTTGTCAAGATTTACATACCACACATGACTTGAGTTGAACACCACGTCCAAATCAAGTCAGACTTGCCCAACTTTATGGCTTGGTAGGATGGCATCCGATGGCACAAAGGCTTGTTGTCCATGCATAACAGAGCACAGCACCCAGGGCAGGGGATACGATGACGGAGCCGAGAGCCGACGACACAGATGGAGTCTGGAGATCCCCGAGGAGATGCCTGCCAAGGAACAAGTGCCTCCTCCCCTGGAGCTCGACGGGAGATTATCAACGGAGCACATACAACGTACATACACGCAGCATCGTCTGATTCTCAGACACCAGGCCTTGATGGAGTCAGGGGGTGAGTGAGGGTCGCGCCATGTCAACGTGTCAGGGTTCCCCGATCGATGACTGACTGCTACGCACAGGTCGGCGACAAAGATCATAGAACGGTCTCGAACCCGCGAGCCAATCGGTAAGCTAGGCTACGTTTGTGTTGCCTCCAGGGTCCCGGGACGTTTGACAAGAGGGGGGGGGGGTTGGAAAGGACAAGTTACGGATTCGATTCCACGACGCTTGCCATCCCTCGAGGCGCACAGTTTCCCAAGTCCCAAGGTCACAGCACAATCTCGGTACCGAATCCATGCCACCGGAGACTGAGTGGGTAGTGAACGGGAGAATCATATGCAGGTGACATGTCCCATTGCCGCCATTCCAAGCTCCACCATCTCCGTCATCCTCTGCATATCATCACTGAGTGCCTAATAAAGACTGTTGTAGCATGGCTAGCGAATGGGAAGTGTTAAGGGCTCTACGGAGTCAGGAGAGGGAGAAGCTGCCAGGGGCCCATGGAGGTGCAGGCCAGGCCAGTGAGAATGACTGCAGGTATGTTACGTTGTATGCACAGCGTACAACGCACAACGTACAACGTACGTGAAATGCGTTATCCGTTATCGAGGGATGCATGCGATCTTGTCAAGTGCTTCCGACCTACTGAGTAGGGAGTAGTGCAAAAGTGAGTGCATGTGGTCCAGGAAGAGGAGAGACGGGCCGTATATACGAGACCAGGTCCAGGACCCTTCGTGTAAAAGTGAAAGCCAGACTCGAACCAGACGCAAGCCACATGCAGAGTAATAAATTACGCAGAGGGCTCATGGGAAAAGAGGGACAAGAATACGTTATACCATGTTGTCTTTTGGGCTGTAGGTAATTATTAATGCTCAGTACCTCAAGCCTGACGAGGCCGGAGTATTGGGTGATGGTCCGTCTACCAGATTTTGTGGCTCCGGCAGGGGCCGAAATTACCTGGAGAAATTGAGAGATTGGCCATCCACGGCGAAGAGAACTAGGTAATACCTAATCAATACCTGCTGCAAAAGGGTGTGTGCTAGGCTCCCATGAGGCAGGCCTTCGAAATTGCCGGACAAAAGCGATCCGTTTCATGCAAGGACCGGGGGAGGATGCGCGAAGATGGAGCCGGCTCGGCCGGCTTGGGGGGGAGAGTTGGAGAGGGCGGCGAAGGGAAAGCAAAGTTCAGTGAGATGCATCCGGGGGGGCAGCTAAAATCCTCACGATAGAAAAGAAAAGACCACGGGTGCATCCGTCGAAAAAGAAGACGCCGCAGAGACAGTCATAGAATAATAGCTTTAGACCCAGTTGTCCTTTGTGCTGTCTGTCGGCGGTTTCTTGCCGTCCCACGGACAGCGTCTTCTTCGGCGGTGTTTTTGGATCCGTGTTTCCGAAGACCGGGAACGGATACAAAAAGCATGACCAGACCACCCCCCGCCCGCCCCTCGTCCGGTAGGGGGAGGAAAAAGTTGGCTGGGCCCATTCGACAGTTTTTAACGATTCAGTATTCTCACTTCGGCCTCGTGCTACAACCCCTCCCCTTTTCGATGTCCTGACGAACAATGACTACCTCTCAGCAATGCTCATTGCCCGAGAAAGGCTTGGGGCACCTGGACGAGAGCTACGGCGACGGCGACGGCGGCCCAAAAGCCACGAAGGGGGTAAGCACTGTCATCCACCGGGCCGGGGGGCCCTTCATGTTTTGTGTTAATGGCGTCTTAGCAGTTGAGCTGACTTGAAGTCTCAACCCCCCCTTCCCCCCCTCCCTCCCCGCGGATAGGATTGCCATTGCCATGATCATCTGAAAACCTTGTTCCTATTTACCAAGAGCGATTTCAAGACGGTCGTGTTCCCGCAGAGCATCTTCGCCATCGCCGGCGTCATGTCGGCAGCGGCGCCGGTGGCCGTCGCGGAGGACGACGAACTACCGGGCTGGTGGGAGGTGGCACGGCGCGTGCCCCTGATGCTGGCGTGGGTGTGGCTCCACCTCCTGGTGGAGGACATCGCCAACCAGCGGCTGGAAGGGGCCATCATCGAGGACTCCAACAACAAGCCATGGCGCCCGCTGCCGTCGAAGCGCATCACGCCCGAGGAGGCCAGGCGGTGGCTGCTGATGGCCATCCCCGTCGCGGTGGGCGCCAGCGCCTGGCTCGGCGCGCTGCGGTCGAGCCTGTGCCTCATGGTGCTGGTGTGGATGTACAACGACCTGGACGGCAGCGGCAGCGACATCTGGCTGCGCAACGCCCTCAACGCGGGGGGGCTCATGTGCTTCAGCTGGGGGGCGCTGGCGGTCCTGGCGCAGGGGGAGGGGCAGCTGCAGAGGAGGGCGTACGAGTGGATTCTGTTGACCGGCGCCGTCGTCATGACCACCGTGCACGCGCAGGACTTCCCGGACCTGGAAGGGGATATGGCGCGAGGTCGGCGGACGATTCCGCTGTTGCATGGCGAGGGCCCGGCGCGCGGCTCGTTGGCGGTCATGGTGGTGGCGTGGTCGATCGCCTGCCCGGCGTTTTGGGGCGCGGCCTTGTGGTCTTGGGCAGGTCCCTTGAGTATCGGCTGCGCCATGGCCGTGTTGACGCTGATGCGGTGGGGCCAGTGGTGGGACGAGGTGGTGTGGAAGCTGTGGTGTCTCTGGGCGGCGTCACTGTATTTGCTGCCCATGTTTGCAGAAGCTGCATGAGATTACGCCCCTATGCGGCAAGCCGTTCCGCCATGTATAGATAGATGGGTGTTTGCAAAAATGACGGAGCCACTGGGGGGGGGGGGGGCGGTGAATTGACGGGTATAACTTGGCAGATACAGGACTGACTGTACGATGGAATGTAATAATGCATAGAATAGACGGCCAATGGAGACGATGAAGGTAGTTCGATAACACGGCTCGCGGCGTCTCTAGACCAGGCAGAGAGAAGAACAGCAAGAGAAACACCTCCATGCAGGTCATCTTTTCCTGGAATGCCGCCTAATCTTTCCATCCTTCCCGAAATGGAAGGGACCGGACTTGACTTGGACCAAGCATACATGTGTATTCCGTGGGTAGTAGGGACCGGCTGCATCTCGATGAGAATCGAATCAACGTGACGAGCCCTAGTTCACTGTGAGTCGGCAACCCCCGCCAGCTTTGAAGTTCCAGGGTTCAAGCAAGCAATGGGACGCAAATGCAGCCTGTCGCGAAGGATCTACACCGTACTTCGCAAGTCGGCACTCCTTCCCCTTCGAGTCCGACTCCGACATTCATCATTCCCGAAATCATCTGAGCGTCCGGTAAGCACACCGGCATGCAATTCAAACCAGGGTTGGCGTTTCTTGCCTGTCCGTCCCCGGTTCAACTTGCGGGGTCATAGCAGTGCTCTCGTGGGGCCATTGGGAGGATGAAGGAAGTGTGGAAGAAGGAGATGAAGTCGAGGCTCCGTTCTCGGTACTTGGGATTGGATGGAAGAAGGAATGGACGCCTTACCTAATCCGTGTTAGTGGGGATACAGGGGTTCAGGTGAGATGGAACATTGTGGGGGGGGGGGGGGGAGGATCCACTTTCGGCCCATGTCAATCCATCGAACCCCGTCAACAGTGTGAACTGGGAGTACCGTGAGAGTCGTGGTACATAATGTATACCTTCGGTATCGGTTTCTCATGTTGCTTGCACTTGGTCTTGTTCGCATTTCACCTTTATCGATGCCACCGTCTTTTCTCTTCTGTACTGTCTTTTCGAGTTTATTGGAAAGGCGATCTCTTAGGACAAGCATCTATCGAGGTCAAAGGCCGAGGCGGGTAGAACTATGTGCCACTCATTTCGTTGCGCACAGGTATTGCGTGCCAAGTGCTGAGTATTCGCACGTACTCCATATTCGTACTCCGTAAGGTAGTGTACCTTACCTTATTACTTCCCACCATCCCACCCACCACCACTGGACGCCTTTCCTAATCCAGGAGTTGTGATCCGTCTAACCGGCACCAAAGGCCAAACTATCGGGTCGCGATCCTACCAAGACGGTGGTTCAGGCCAGAACTTCTCGGGTCTCATTGACCGTTGGTGCCACGGTCATGCATAACGACAACTCTTATTCATTTCGGGAAGCATACGACATACGACCTCAAAACGTGTAGCAGCAATCTATTCCCATCGTTCTGGAAACCTCTCGGTGAAACCAACAGCCCGGGGTATTGCAACTGTCCACTTATCCGTACACCGACGGTTCCTCTCGCCGAATAGAAACACAGTGGGGGCTTGATGTGATCCTTCGATGAATGCGATGAATGTTCGTACCTTCTATTACTGGAGGTATGTACAGTAGGTACGTACACTGTAGCTGGGACCAAGCAAAGAACCCACTTAAACTGTTCAGATCAGCCAATGAAGCCTGTTGAAGATACTGCCCACTTGGCAGAACCGCTCCGGTCCGTAACCCGCAATCCGCCGCCACACCAAAAGCCACTTCACCCCTGTCTTTTTCGTACCTCGTACGTTGGTTGTACACTACTGCGTACAGCGGACAGCGTACAACGTACACGTACAACGTATGTACACGAATATTAATTTTACTCCGCATTCGTACTTTGTACAACGTACCAGCTCACCGCTAATTAGTACATCGTACAACCTGGTCCCTGGCCAGGGTTCTGCCATTCCGGAGTAGCGGTATCCCGCATCCCCCCCTCGGTCCTCCGCAAGCGCCTATCCTATTTAGGGCGCGCTCCAAGGGCGTTCCTCGGCTAGGAAATTAGCGTCTGTGCCTAAAGTCCCGGTACATCGTGAGATCGTGGATATAGGGAAGACAAAGAATTTTTATCCGACTTACCTTAGATGCTTTAACGTACGAATTCGCTGCTTATTTTGAAGCTATTTGTATTGATCTCGAGCCTCAAAATCTCACTATGTCCTTCCCTTGTCCGAAGCCGCCTAAACACCAACGTCTTCGTGTCCACGGTCTCACGATGTACCGGGACTTTAGGCACAGACGCTGATTTCCGAGCCGAGGAACGCCCTCGGGCAGCGCGGCCTAAATAGGATAGGCGCTTGCGGAGGACCGAGGGGGGGGATGCGGGATACCGCTACTCGCCATTCCGACTTCCATCATCGTCTAGTGGCTTTTTCAACAAAAGTTCGCCGATAAGACTGCGGCCCGGACAATCGCGGTACGATGATCCTGCGAACAAAAATCGTTCCAGAAGAAAAAGAAAGAAAAAAAGACGAAACACCCCCCCCCCCCCCAGTCCACCCCAGAACGCCACCGCAGCCCGAAGACCCGGCTTTTCCGCACATGTACTGAAAGAAAAGAGAATCTAGCCAACCAGAACCCGTGAACACTCCCGCCACCTCAGGCAAGTCCAAGCCCAGCGAGCAGCTCCTCCATGGCCTGGCCCAGCACCCCGGCCACGAAATCCTTCTCGTAAAAGCTCGTGTTAAAGCAGCCCTGCAACGTGAGGGAATCGCGGAACGTCCAGAGATGGCACTGCAGCGCGCGCGAGAGCATCTCGACCCCGAGCCAAAAGTCCGTGACCTCGATCCTCTCCTCCGGGTCGTCGTCGTCGTCGTCGTCGTCCACGACCACGTCGCCGCAGGCGTAGACGTACCTGCGCCGCAGGACGGTCTCCACGGGGCCCAGGGAGCTCAGGTCCGGGTTCTGGATCGGCGGCATCGTGCCCCCGGGCACCGGGGTCGTCATGAAGAGCTTGGTGGTCCGCCGCACGTAAGGGGCCACGATGTCCTGCATGCTGAAGGGCGCGCCGCGGTCGTCGACGCCCAGCCGCGCCAGGTCCTGGCTGTAGACGGCGTGGAAGTCGGCGGCTAGGCGGGCGAAGGGCTTGTCCTCCTCCTCCTCCTGGGCGCCCTCGATGCAGACGGGCACGCCGGAGCTGAACATGCCGACGGCGTAGGGGACGCCGTCCCAGGGGGCGCCGAGGCGGCGGCGCATGTCGGTGGCTACGAAGGCGGCGTAGTTCTTCGCGAGCGGGTGTTGCGGGTGGCGGGCCACGACGCGGAGCAGGGCGGCGTGGATGGCGGAGGTGACGGTGAAGCCGCGGGCTTTGCAGGCGGCGAGCACGGCGGCCGTGGTGGCGCGGTCGAGGGAGACTTGGGCCCGCGCGGTCGGGCCCGGGGTAGCGTGTTCGGAGCCGGGGATGGTCGGGAGCCCGACGGTGGGGAGCCCCTTGAGGAAGGTGGCGATCAGGCTGTCGGCTGCCTTCTTCAGGCGTTCTGGGGTGGAGGCCTCGTCGGCGGGGGAGCGGACGATGTCGTCGAGGCTGGGGGTCAGGGACCCGTTGGCGGCGGGCGAGGCGTGGGCCGAGAGATCGGCGTCGAGCCCCCGTCGCAGCACCGAGACCAGGGTGGTCATGAAGGCGTGGGCGAGCATGATGCTGCCCATGCCGTCGATGCGCCAGTGCGACGAGCGGAAGACGATCGTGCTCGTGGCGGGGACCCAGTGCAGGGTAGCCGTCTCGGTGGGACGGAGCGAAAGGGCCGCGGTGGCGTCGTCCTCGACGAGGGTGGTGTCGTCGTGGGCCACGAAGGACTTGGCCAACCAGGCCTCCGGGTCCAAGGGTGGCACGGTCAGGGCCACCTTGGAGGTAAGATCGGCCGGGTCGGTAGGCGGCGCTGTGGAGCCGATACCCGGATGCAGATGGCGGACGGCGAGCCAGGTACGCCTGAGGTATGGTAAGGGATCGCCCAGGGAGGCGGGGAAGGCGAGGCGGAAGGACATGGTGAGGGCCCAGTGCTCCCGGTTGAGCTTGGAGCTGCTGTCGGCGAGCAGCTTGTAGAAGTTCTCGAGCGTGTCCATGGAGCGAGTTACGGCTCCGGGGGCATCTGGGCCGGCCGGCGACCAGTACGTGGGAGCCGGGGTACACGGATTCACCATCGACCCCATGGTGGGAGTTCCCGTGGCGATGGCGAACGATGGGGAGTTCATGTTGGCTTGGTGTAGCTGTGGTGTCCGAGACAACCGCTCACTTGGTTGGCGTGGTATAAACTGAGTGGCCATGTTGAATGCCCTGGATGCGGCGAGGAATGACGGCGAGAGAGGCCCTCAGGGGTTGCTGAGTTGCTAAGTTGCTACTGCCACAGGAGAGCCGTGGGGACGACGATACGACGCGAGAATCAAGGTCCAGAGATAATAAGATAATAACATAGATACATACATATCATAGCACAGGTATGCTCCGTTGAAGGAAATACCCCAGCAGGCGAATTCATGGGCTGGCTTCAGGGTATTATGTACCTCTCTATTACTGGTACGATGGGGCCCGTGGCGTGGAGTAGAGCTAGGGGGAGCGGAGCGCATCACGATCATGCGCCGGAACCCCCCGGGAGATGAGAGACGGGGGGAGGGGAAGACGAAGGGACAGGGTCGAAAAACGACAGAAGTGGCGAGATCAACCAGCCAGGCCATGACGGAACGGGCGTTCATCCCGGACTGACGATGAAAAGGTGTAATTAGGTGGTAGGAAAGATCAAGCCAAGTGGACAAGTGGCCAAGTGGCCAAGTGATGGAAGACTAGGGTCAGGGGTTTACATCTTGAGACGGGACGACAAGGCACACGCTACACTAGAAACTACATATCATATTCTGACCATTCGTTGAGCAAGTCCGTTATAATAATTAAGGTTCACCGGAGAGAACTCCGGCTACGCACAACGTACGTCGAATGCTTTCGAGCCAAGACAGAAGAAACATGGCGGCGATAGTGAGGGATACTCCAGACAGGGGTTCTGCCGGGTCAATCCGAAGACTTGGTTGAGCTCCTTGCATTCCCGTCAGGGCCGCGGTGGCTGTCGACGACGTTACGTTGTGCAACCCAACGGACCAAAAGGCTGGAACAGCGCTGTACTACGATAAAACGTGGGTGGTGTAGGGGAGAGAGAGGTCTATTAGTCGAGGTGGTGTTGTGACGAGGGGAGGGGGCGGATTACGGGGATGGTTCGTCGTTCCTATGTTCGGCACAGCGGCAACAAAGAAAAGAAAGAAGAAAGGGATTGAGAAGACCGAGGAAGCCTTGAGGTCCGTGATAGGACAATCAATAATGGCTTTACCCGAAATTGATGATGCAGGAAAGGGCATGATACGGTGTCAACCATCTGCACTCGAATCCTGCTTCGTGGATTGTGGCCGTTGTCGTCCCGCTATATGCATCTCGGAACTGCACAAAGAGAACCGGGGGACTGCGGAGTACCCCGGCAGAGCAATCTTTCTCGGCTCGCCAGCATTTCCCGTGTGCCGAGGGAACAAGAATGCATAGAAAGATGCGAACGAAGTATGCAAGGTAATAATTAGGCCCCGTTCGACAATTTCAACAACTTGTTGAAGATTTTCCAGTTTTTTGTGCAAGTGACCAGTACGAATAGTGGTGTTGTACTTATCACACTGTGAACAGACCCCAGGGGCTAGGTACCCTCTCGTGGCAGGGTACAAGTACGTTGTAAGGATGGAGCCGCCCTTCCCGTCTGGCTGGTGGGGTTCGGTCAATTGCACTGGGCCCGTTGCCCACTAAGCGTCCCCGCCAGACCGGGGGTTCATTAAGGCATTCTTTTTACGCTATCGGGACCGGCCCCGGTGGACGCTCCGTCACTGGGTGTCTCATGATAAGGACGCAGCTACTTACTCTGGGCATGATCGCATAGGTATTCCTGACGTCTCTATCAATCAATCACTCTTGACCAACCACCGTTCTAGGCGGACGTTTGTCGCCAAGTTTTCTGACAGCTTCTTCCACGGCAGTCAACGGCAGTTGTTGGTGCGTAGAAACAAACCGCCGTTTCAACCTCCGCCTCTCATGCAACGGACAAGACTCGCGAATCATGTTGGCAGACGTAACTAACGTGGTGCCATTCTCATCCCTTTGTTTCTTTGTTGGTCTCTGGTCTCGCGCTTACCCCCTGATCCTCTGGGGCATTGGACAGGGGACCATCGCGGCTATGTGAATCCCCCTTTCGTGTGAACCCGTCAAACGCCGGCTTTTTGTCGATCATCTAATCCTGGCTAGATGCTGTTGGTTGTTGGTGATGATGATATATCTATATTTTTTTTTTATTGATTGAGCGAGTGACTGTATAAGGTACCTTACCTTAGTTGGAGAGAAAGATGTGTGGGAATTAATCGCCCCCTTCCTTTCCCCTTCCAAGTGGTCGCTCTTTCCTTCATGTCGATTTTCCAATATATTATCATTTTCGTTGTTTCCCTTTGAGACACAGCCGCGGTCCTGCCTTCCATTTCTGGATTCACCATCAGTAGGTACTTTCCCTTGTTCTCCGAGTCGCGACTCGGTACTCCGTGTTTCGTACAACCCTTCACTGACTCGGAGTCTTTCTTCAGCTTGTACTTCTTTCCGCCGGTCGCTCTCTTTTTAATACACAAGGTGCCTTACCGTACACACTTCCTGCCTGTTGCGAGTAACAAACATCCACTGGCAACATACACAACCAAAACGCGCCTCTTGACAATCGAGATCTGTGTACCATACGAGCCAACACTGGCCACTCTCACCCGCCGTCTTGCGAGAACACCAAGATGCGCCCCGAATTTGGATTTTCCGTTCTCACGGCGGCCCTGGCTTCGGCTGCCTCCATTCCCGTCTCCGCCACTGCTGGCAAGCGGCAGGACACCACTTCCAAGGTGCTCGTCGGTGCCCCGGGCCAGATTCTTCTCGCCAGCTTCGACGGCTCTAGTTTCGATATCGTCGCCGAGAGCTCCATCGAGGGCACCACTGCGAGCTGGATGGCCTTCAAGGAGCCCGACCTACTATATGCCGTCGACGAGAACAGCAACCAGCTTCGTCTTTTCAAGGCATGTTCGGGCGTCTGCCTGCTTCAGAGTCGAAGAACGTGGTTAACCCGACGATGTAATGTCACTTAGCTTGACCCTTCTACCAACGAGCTCTCTTCCGAACCTGAAATCGTCGAGGGGTCCACCGGCGTTGTTCACCTCGAGTTCAACGCCGACAAGACGCGACTCGTCGGCAGCTCCTAGTAAGCCGTTATCCCTTGGATCCCAGCGTCTCGCCCAGCTTCTCGCCCCCTCTTTCCGCTCGGCACACTAATCTCTCTTTCTTCTAGTTCCGAGGGCCAGATTGATATCTGGGACATCTCCGAGGGCACCCCCAAGTTGATCAAGAACATCAAGTCCGAAGAGGAACTCGGCCCCCACGAGCGTCAAGACACGTCCCGCGCACACCAGTCCGCCCTCGACCCTTCGGGCCGCTACTTCGCCGTCGTCGACCTCGGCACCGACTCATCCTCCTCGTCGACTCCGCCGACGACGCCTGGGAGCTCGTCAACGTCGCCCGCGTTCCCACCCCGGGCTGCGGGCCCCGCCACGGCGCCTTCCTCCCGTCCAGCGAGGACCCAACCAAGGCCAGCCACTACGTCGTGGTCTGCGAACTCGCCAACACGGTCGAGGTCTTCGCCGTCACCTACGACGACGCGGAGGCGGGGACGGGGACGGGGACGGGGATCGACTTCCGCCCCTCCCAGCCCGCCCTCAGCACCTTTGGCCGCCGCCCGACCAACTCCAGCAGCTCCGCGGCGGGCGCCATCGAGACGAGTGCGGACGGCCGCCACATTTACGTCTCCAACCGGATCACGGGCGGCGCCACCGATTCCATCGCCCACTTCCGCGCCGCCCCTGCCTCGGCCTGCTTCGGGGGGTTGAAGGTCGAGTTTGTCGGTTTGGTGCCCTCTGCGGGCGTGAACCCCCGCATGTTCAGCCTCGCCGCTGACGAGGATCTGCTCTTCACCTCCAACATCGCTGCCGGTTTCGGGCTGTTGGCGCTGTCCCGTGACCCGTCTGATGGTACGCTGGCGGAGACGCCCGTTGCGAGTGTCGATGTTGAGACGTTTGGACCCGAGGGCTTTGGACCGCAGTTTGTCCTGCAGATTGCTTAGATGCAGGACATGCATATTATATGGCAAGATCAGCGCGTGATGTCGTGGGCAATATGATCGTATCGGCATGGCGTCAACTGCATCTTTCAATTTCTTCTTCTTCTTTTTCCTTTTCTTTTCCGAACTCTAGAGGAACTCATTTGAGGCTGGGCTTCTCGTGAGGCAAAATACCCTAGATAGATAGACATGGTATGGTGGTGAATACAGCCCATCGATTGATGGTTAGACAAGTGATATGACCGGTGTCGTCGGTCAGTGCTCGTCCTGATTGTACGTGGGATTGAACTTGTGCTGTACCGTTGTATCTATCTCCAGCGAGGGTTGTGGTGACAGTTGGGTGACTGTCGGTGAGGCTCACATTGCTCAAAATCCTGACACGGCTCGAGCATTAACAGGACAATAAAGGGATCTCACTAGCCCATCTTGCACAATGATGTATCTGGACAATCTCACTCCAGACAGAGCATCCAAATTTCTCGGTCGGTGATGCTTCCAGAGCCTACCTCGGTAAGGCACCTACCTTACCTAGGTAGGTACCTTTAGTGTTCACAGGGCGTGGAGAGAAGAGTAAGGTACAGTACGAGCAGTGAAGCGTGTTTTCTTACAAATCACGTGACTTTGTTGCTCATCAGGCTTAGCCGTTGGGCTTTGGCTGGCTTAGTCATTTCGGGCGTGGACCGAGCAATAGCCGCAGCTAGGAAGCCAGGATCCAAATCATCAAATCAGACCATCACAAATCCCTCTTCAATTCGACCTCTTTTCAACGTCACCTCGCCTCAACACCACCGCCCATTGCCGCCCGCCATGTACCTCTCACGATCCGTCGCCGCCGTCGCCCGCCGGGCTGTCGTAGCCCCCATGGCGAGGCGCGCCTTCACCACCACCTTCGTCCAGCGTACGAGCTCCAATTCGTCTTTTCCCCGTGCTGCTGTGTGCCCCGGGCACCATCCGCACCAGCAACGTCGAACCGGGTTGAGCTGACGGGGAATTGCTTTTGTCTACTCTAGGTGACGCCATCAAGTCCGCCAATGCCGCGGCTGCCACCAAGGACGTCAAGTACAAGACTCTGAGCGGTAAGGGTCCCGCTGCTGCTACCGACGACGATTGGGTGGGGGTTGGGGTTTCGAGCTCGATCACGCTACACTGCACGCTGTGTCATGCCACGGCAGCGTCGCGATAAACCCTCCCCATGAACTTTGGGGATGGGGAATGAAACTTTTTGCTAATCAAGACCGTTACGCACTGGAACAGAGATCAAGACTGAGGACGACCTCATCGGTCCTGGTGCCCCCCCCGGCACTATCCCGACCGACCTCGAGCAGGCCACCGGTCTCGAGCGGCTCGAGATTCTCGGCAAGATGGAGGGTGTTGACATTTTCGACATGCGCCCTCTGGACTCCTCGCGCACCGGTAAGCATGCGACAACCCAGCCATTTCTTCCTCGAGAACGAACTGGGACCGAGGAAGAAATCGAAGAAAAGAAAAATAGACACTGACACGCGTTCGATTCGCAGGTACCATGGAGGACCCCATCCACGTGCGCTCCGCCGGCGATGAGCAACATGTTGGCTGCACGGGCTGCCCTGCCGAGTCCCACAACGTTCACTGGCTGACCGTACGTGTTCTACCCTGGACCTACGCCAAGGCTCGAAAGAATCCTCTCTGGCATGCCATGCTGACTTGCAATAGATTTCCCGCGAGCGCCCCATCGAGCGATGCCCCGAGTGCGGCAGCGTCTACAAGATGGACTACGTCGGGCCCCAGGATGACCACCACGGCCATCACGACCACCACGGCGTTGAGGAGCCCAAGACCTTCGCCGACTTCGTCAAGCCCGAGTACCGCTACTTGTAAAAGAAACGGTGTCGGAAGGCGTGGAAAAGAATATCGAGTTCAATTTGTGAAATAGCGGAGCGAAGAAAATACGGTCAGGTATGAATGGATGTGGCGGTAGTGGATGGCCGATATTGGGGCGCAGGCGGTGCGGCTTGGTTGTGTAGAATACCTCGACAGACGGCTGTATAGAAGTCTTTTTTTTTTTCTTCTTTTCCTTTTGTTCCCTCACTCGAGGCTGCTCCTCCGGATGGATGGATAATTACGTCTCTCGCGTCATGTTTGTTTTCCCAACCTCTCTAGAGCGAGTCGTGTCCTAACATGGAATGCTACGGGGGTATCTAACTGCTGGTCCCCTTGTGCTTCTGGCATATGGCAGGGTTCTTGCGTCCCTTTTCCAGATGCGCCTCAGACGCAGCCGCTGGGCACATGAAAGGTAATGGCGAAGGCGGATCGACATAAACAGGGCCACATCATTCCGGATCGAAGCTCAGCTTGATCTTCTTCGCCTTCTTCTTGGTCTTGGGCGGATCACCTTGACCATGGGCGGTCTTTGCCTCTTTCTGCTCGCCATCTTCCTGCTCGCCATCTTCCTCTCGCCTTCTTGACCTACTTGAACCTTCTTCGACTTCGCCCTTTGTGGTATTTCCCCCGCTCTTCACCTCCGCAGCCCGCTCTCCCTCGTCGCCACCACCAATAACCTTACCGACCTTCCGTTTCCGACCAGGCCCGATGCCGGCAAATTTTGCTTTTTCCTTTTCTCTTTCTATTTCCCTCCGAGCTTCGTCCGCCTCTTCCCTTTTGTCTGTCGAGTCCTCTTCCCCAGGCGCGGGTAGTTCTTGGAGCCTCCCCTCCGCATCGAGACCGACCTGGACGACGTCGCCGTTCTCGTCTACCACGAGGGGCTGGTCTTCGGCTTCTTCGCTGGCGGAGCGCTTCTTGGTTGCGCGCCGCCGGGCGGCCAAGATGGGGTCTGGTCCTGATGCGGCGTCGCCCGAGGCCTGGGCGTGGAGGGCGCGGAGGAACGGGGGGAGGGTCGAGTTGTAGGAGAGGTTCTTGGCGTTTAGCTTGGGTTCGGGCATGGTTTCGCGGCTTTGCTGGCTGATCGGGCAGAGCGTTGGGTAAGTCAGAGATGGCGACTGGCTTTCGTGGTCTCGGAAAAGACTGTTCGCCTTCTCGCGGCGTTTCGGGAGTTGCAGACTTGTCGTCGATGCGGGAAGATGAGGTTCTAGAGACGAAAAGAAAAGAAAAAGAAGAAGAAGAAATATTAAATAATGCTTCTGGATGTACGCCTTCCGACTTAGATTACACGTCGCGAGCGAATGAATGGATGCGAATTTGAGAGGCCCGTACGAAGCAAGTACAGACTAATAATGCCTTCGGAGATAGGTGCTACGGATTATCCACATTGGTGACCGTGCTAGCTCAGTGCAAATACAATACATTATTACTGACTCTGTGCGCCCAGCAGTACAGTGCATGCTCCGCGAGTTCGACAACTTTCAACGCTTCCTCCCTCCTCCCCAAACGTTCATTATCAAGACCGGAAACAAAACGAGAACTTACAGGCGATGTATGATACAAACTCTCATCGTAATGCCACATCCCAATAGCTGAAACGTCAAATCTTTACTTTACGTTTTCCCAGCTGGTTCCCCAGCTGTGGAGTCTCTCATTCTCCTCTTTCAGTACGAGGTTCCTCATCTCGTTGATCGCTCTAGAAGCCAGGATTAGACGTGTTTCTTTGCCGTGGCAGGGGTTTGACCTACTTGATCCTGAGCTCTTTCTTATCATAGTGCGTCACTGACATGAGCACATGATGCTTGAGCGCATAAATCGCGTTGCGGGTGTCGAAGTCTTTCTTTGGCTCCGAGGGCTCGGCATGCTTCCAGTACGCATCCATATAGCTCCTTCCGAACTGATAGTCATTGAGACAGATCCCAAGGTCGGCTATGGGCAGGAATCCAAGTCAGTCCTTGGAATAACTATCTTAGACGTCGGAATGTTGGGGGTTTGAACAAACCTTCGAAATGACCCCAATATGCCGAGACACCGAACATACAGGTGTTGTTGGACTCGTCTATGGTCTTCGTGTTACCAGGCCGAAGGTCGGAGTGAATCAGGCATGGTTGAATCGACCTCCCATCTGCCTCCAGAGGACCCAGGTACCGCGGCAGCACGAAACGGAAGAAGGCCTCCTTCAGCCTCGTGTACTCTTCGTCCGGCCCATGCCGCCTCTCCTCTTCATCCAGCAGGGACTTCATCTGGTTCGCCCAGAGCGTCTCCCACGTATCGCTCCAGCGGTTGTCCACTGGCACATTTCCCAGATGGGTGACGGCCCCGAACCCGAACTTTCCAGCGGGCGATTGCCCCGTGGTGCGACGATGCAGCTGAGCCACGACCCGGGCCCATTGTTGCGGGCTGGGAACCTCATCGGTCACTTCGATGAACTCAGATATGTAGAAGTGGGTGTTCGGGTCGGCGCTATAGGTGCCCCAACCTATCGGTATTGGTACATGAAGCGGAATCGCATCGAAGAGGGCGTTCTCGGCCTCCCAAGTCCCTTCCATCATGTGTCGTCCGACATCCCCTGTGGTTGCCTTGAAGCCGCCAAGTCGTCAGTCATGTCGCCCAAGTCAACTTTGTCGTTATGTGTGTTGCAGAGGTGGTGTGTGGCATTTATACCTTCATGAATACCTGCTGGCACTCTCCATTTGGACATCGGATCTGAATGTGTCGGCCCAGGTGCTAGTTGCGAGCGGGGTGATGGAAACAATCTTGCTGCCGGGAGGTAGGTCTACTAACTGTGAGAAAATGTTGTTTGCCTCAGACCTTCAACGACTTACAAGCGAGGACATTCTGGTCCAAAGGCTCTATAAGGACAACCTTCTTCATGTTGGAGGCTGGGATGTATCTGGCAGCCATGACAAACGACGATGACGGCTGCTCCGATGTCTTGGACTGTTTGGTAGCGAAGTAGGAGATGCGAAAGCTGACTTGAATGTTGTTTTCTGATGTTTTCCAGATCTTCTAGGACTCGGTTCGGGGCGGATGGATGCTCGGCACTTTATATCTCCCATCCCTCTTCTGCGAGGACCTCGTCCATAACTCGAGCTCTATCTCCTTAACCCTCCCACATGAGCTACACGCGCATATCCCAGCCCTTGATTTTCTCTTTTCTCATGCTACGCGCCCATTGCCGCTACATTTCAGAGTTTGATGGGGCTCACATCTTCGTAACCGCCGGCTATTCCCGTCAAGCGACGCATGATATCGTTGGAACCGTATCTCAGCCCGGTCAGAGGTCAGAGCCGTTACTGTCTGTTGGTGATATTCTGCATTCTTTTGCATTGGGTGTTCGAGCTCGACCGGGGAACTGACCGGCTTGTCTCATTTGCATGCTTGCAGGCGGGGCGTATCGCCTCTGGCCCCGCTCTTGGCCATGGGTTGAAGATGGGGGGGCAAGTGGAGCAAGGCGGCTCACAGAGGCAAGATTGGCTCCTCCACAGTTAGTGCAGACTAGCCCGGAAATCTAAAAGAGTAAAAAGGACTCCAGAATAGAAAATCTGACGCGGTAGGTGAAACATCCACGAGCCTCTGCGTCTCAGCCCCCACGCGTCCTCGGATTCTCATGTGCACTACATACAACTACTCCCGAGTCTCTGCTTGCCATTGCACGATGGTTTCAGTCTTTCAACCGCCTCCGTAGGCAAACAGCTTCCAACCCTTGCGTTCTGAATCCACGGCTTGGCGGGCGGCTCCCGCAAGACATGGACTGACAAACCAGAGTGCGCCTTGTTCTAGTCGAAAGAGTGCTTCAGCCTTCCCCTTCCGCGCGCGCCTCGCTTCCAACCTACCGGTATCCATTACTATGGCTGGATTTCTGGCTGGAATTCATCCAAGAGAAATTATCCGACAAACCGTGACTTTGTCCAGAGTTCACTTTTGCTGTCATCATGCCTTTCAAAAGCTAGACGCGGACTCAATTAAGCAGTAGTCCCGAGAAAAAGCCCCAGCTCGCTCGGCCTCAGCTTAGACCGTAGACATACGAGGGACGTGTTCCTCTTATCACACTCAAAAACGTACTACTACACCAAAAGAGAATTCTCTAATATGTAGGTACTTCTTGAGGTATATATAGTTTAACACACCCCCTAGCCTGTATAAGGACGATCTTCGTGCTTAAAGGCTGACTAGAAACACACTTACATCGACACGGCTTATTTCGTATAAGCGGTCTTCTAGGGCACTAAAGCTTATTTAAGGCATCTCCTCGGCTAGGTTTCGAACGGGTAGTCTTAGCAGGGGAAGTTCCAGGAATACACTAGCGTATTATATTCCTCCCGGGCTTATAACTATTAAATTAACGGGAGCGTGCTTATAGGGAGCGTTGATTCAGGAAATGTATAATTATATTATCCATAAAAGAGAAAGAAAAAAGGGGGCGGGTATACATGTCCTAAATATATCTGCCACCTTCCAAGCGAGGATAGTAGGGCACCTCCAACTAATAGGAGAGCACTATACCGTGGCTCACGTAATAGAATATAATATATTGAATTAACGGGAGCGTGCTTATAGGGAGCGTTGATTTAGAAAATATATAATCATATTATCTATAAAAGAGAAAGAAAAAAGGGGGCGGGTATACGTGTCCTAAATATATCTACCACCTTCTAAGCGAGGATAGTGGGGCACTTCTAACTAATAGGAGAGCACTATACCGTGGCTCACGTAATAGAATATAATATACCCCCTAATTATTACGCCGTAATTAGCGGAACGATTACTTAGCCTAACCTTAACCTAGCCTTATTTTTAACCTTAACATAGCCTCAAAGGGTTATATAATACCCTTAATATCAAGTTAAAAGGCAGGAATAAAAGCCATAAAATAGTAAAGAATAATAATAATAGTAGTAAATAATAAAGGAAAAGTGCTATTAATAATAGTAGTAAATAGGTAATAGTAGGGCCTTCCGTAGATAAATTAAAGGCGTTATGCCTGTTAACGACTAGTCATAGGTCGTGGCATAAGTGAGGTCGTAATAATAGATTATCTAGAACTAAGGAAGGAAGAAGAAAAAGGAGAAAAGTCTACAGCGCTAGGCTAGCTATAAGGTGGCGATAGCTAGGCGATATAGGTCCGTTAACTAAGCGCGTAGCTAGGAAGATCCGGAGTATAGCCGGATCCTCTATATCGGGGCTAACTCGTAATATATCCCCCCCCTCCTCCCTCCGGGGGTTATATAACCGCGCGCCCTTATTATGCCTTAGTTCCCTCTTACGTCGCGGTGATAAAGGAATAGGCGCGTCTTTTTATCTTACCTCGCCCTTACCTCGATATTAAAGAAATCTTAGGTCGCCTGCTAACCCTTTATTTATATACCTAAAATAGTAACGTAGGCTCCCTCGCGTAGATCCTATCCGTAGATATATTATGCCCTTTTTTCCCTTATAGGCTCTCTCTTCCTCTCTTCTTCCCTAACTATAATAATAATAATAATAGCTATAGCTATTCTATATATTCTCGCGCCTCCTTATTACGACGATTCCTCTAACTCCTTTCGGTTATAGATTCCCCTTATCGATACTCGTATAGTTTAAGAGTTCCCCGTCTAAGGTAAGCTATCCCTTTCTCGCGATCTTTATATAAAATAACCCCGCTAATTTATAGCGTTTATAGGCGGCGCTAGCCCCCGGCGATAATAAGCGTAATAATAGTAGTAAGCGTGCTACCGATAACGATATAGGTGCCACGCTCTTACGCCTTAGGCTATATTAACTATATAATAGTTCGGGTTATCACCGCCGCCTTTACCTAATAAGAAGAAGTCGGAGGGTAATTAGCCTCCTAAGCACCTTCCCGGTAGCGTTTATACTAAGCTATACCTCCTTTACACGCGCGACGTCGCCGATAGAAAGTATAAGCGCCTTTATCGTAGCTAGATCAATCGGGGGAGGAAATACTATATATACTCTACGAAGATACACCGATATATACCTCTCCTAGCGCACCTTAAAGGCCACGCGTAAAGGTTATTCGAGACGACTACCCTTATTAGCGACGATAATAAGAATAGCCCTATAAAACTACTTCCCCTTTAAAGTCGCGAGCTTATCACTAACCTCTCTCCTAAGAATAGGACCCGTATCTTAACGTCTACGCGGTGTTTTAGGATACCCTTATAGCTAGGAATCTGATAACGGCGATATTACCTATAGCTATATATCCCGCGGAGGCTCCCGACACGGTAATCGCGCTAGCCCCTTCTCCTCCTTAGGAGGTCTAAAACGCTATAGCACTATAGCTAGCCTCGCTACGTTTCCTAAGGTCGTTAACGAGGTGGCTAAACTAGCCTCGCTTCTTTTAGTAATAGAGGTTACTAGTAAGGTGGTTATACTAGTTTTTTCTCCTCCTTTAGAGGTTTTAGAAGAGATAGCGTCGGGACTAGATATATCGCCTCCGGAGGAGGTGTTACGACCAACGGGCCCAACACACAATATACAGGAAGGATACCCTGGTACGTGACGCCGCACTAAGACATAACCAGAAGATGACTCAGGAAGGAGTCACGTGTCAGGCCACGTGATACAGGGAAAGGATACTTTAGAATAATATAGGGAGTGATCACTAAGGGTCTAGTAAGCAAGAGTGAATAATACAGGGAGTAATCACCAGGGGCCTAGTAAGTAAGAGTAAATAATATAGGGAGTGATCACTAAGGGCCTAGTAAGCAAGAGTAAACAACACACTATATATACCTTAGTATTCTAGGCCTTACTTCTACTAGAGAATAAGGCATCGATTAATCTAAGTCTTCACCTAGACTACTATTCTACGCTTAAACCTACCTTATAAAGAAGACGCCTAGTCTTTACGACGTAACTACGACTAGACCACTACGAACGATAGTTACTGCTCTTTAGTTAATATCCTCTTCTTATTTTAAACTAAAACCTCGACGCTAGTCTCCTATCGTCTGCTATACTATAGAGGACCGGAAGCTGTTATAATATTTTAATCGATTCTATTCGGTAAGTAGACCTTAACACCTAATAAGCAGTACTCTCTCGATAGAAGGTAATATATCGAATAACGCTAATACCACGGGTAACGCTACTAGCAACGCTAGAATAACGGCTACCGCGGCCGCCGACCTAATATAAGCTATACGTAATCAAATTATATAACTCTATTAAGAGAACTAGTAACTCCGAGCTTAGATTAAGGCACCACGTCCTAGTAACCTAAGGTATAAATACCCAGAGCCACCTAAGTACGATA